CAGTGACGAGGTTCCACAACCGCATGCACCGTTCGCCCTTGCTGACGCTGATCATCAACTTCATGCTGGGATGGATCGCGAAGTCATTGACACCAGAGGGTGTGCCGCCAAAGGGGGCAGTGTCACCACTGGGTCTACCAGAGGCCTGAGCTATGGGCGCCTTGATCGTCGACAAGACAGACCAGTCTCTTGTTCTCGCGACGGCGATGGTGGAGTCCTCGCTAGAGGAAAGCAGCTTCGACCGTGTAGGGAAGGCCAATTTGGTGATGCTCGATGAATGGTGCAGTAATGTTCCAACCTCGCGGTTCTTAGGATTCTCAAGAACTGGTCGAGCAGAGACGGCGGACAGAAGCTCCTGGTTCTTACGGCTAGGGGGGTGCGCCGACAGATTGTAGAGGTTGATGCGCTCGTCAGTGCTACCGGACGCCAGCAGGACCTTCTGGCCCTGGCCTGGAACCGGGGCAGAGAGAGGCGACAGAGCGATGCAGCGGATGGCTGAAGTGTGCGCAGAGAAAAGGAACGTGTCGGCGAATTCGACCTTTCCTTCAGGCTTTATCGTAGCAGTGATACCATGAAGGACTCTGTCGTAGGATCCGGTCACGATCTGGATCGTCAACTCATCCGCCGGGGCGGCGCTCGAGACTGTCTCCTTCGAAGCCGAGCCATTGGTAGTCGACTTGGCCTTCTTCGCAGTTGCCGTGTTGGCCGCAGGGGTCGCCTCCGCAGTCTCGGCTCTCTTTCTTTTTGCTACCATTCTGAATCGTCTTCGTCGTTGTCTGTTTAAGCGCGAATAGGGTTTTCTAGCGTGCGAGATAAAAAAATAAAATAAAAAAAAAGATGTAGCTCTGCAGCGCATCCAAGCGGCTCGAGATCGCCCCCAAGTAGGAAAAACCATAAAAAAAAATTATCGGCCGCTCGAAAGAGTCTCTTATCGTTATCGTGTATCGATAAGCAACTACGTAAGAGTACTCCGTACCTGAGCTGAAGAGCTGAAGGGACAGAGTGACACCCCCACTACTGTCGGGATCTTGGCCTGACCGTTTACGGGATCAGATGAGATTCACAGTTGTCGCCGCCTGGCAGTACCCATTAAATCATGTATAGTAGCCAATGAAAGCTGCATCCTGCATAATCCGACAATTCCCTGACTTGCATTCCGAAACATTGAACAGAGTGTGCCAGGGTCTTGGTTAGCTCCCCCAAGCCTATGCCAGCGCTCCACCACTAACAGCGGCTGATGGGCGCTCCGTATTACCTACTGCGAACCACGCACTCAAGGTTGGGTTCAGCTTGACGGCAACCTAGAACCAACTCATCAAAGACTATAGTAGACACCATCGACACCCAAAGAATGGCTTGATTGTGCCTTTCTAGGGTCGCCAACGCTCTTCGATGCCACTGTCGTACTTGTAGTCCTCTATCCTCTCGCTCTCCCTCTCACCGACTTCAACTCCCGCTGATCCTCTACTTGCCAAGTCCCCGCTGCCTCGGGCGGCGACACGACACCTACTGCCGACAACGCATCCTCGAACGAATACAGCCAACATGGCATCGTACGGTCATCATATGCCCTCTTCGGCTCCACGAGCCGCCCATCCTGCCACCTATGGCGCCCCAATGCCTGTCCCTGTGCCCACGGCGCCTGCTGGCACCTTCGCACCTGGCACGAAGATCCAAGTTGGCGGTCACAGAGTGGTGATCCAGAAATATCTGTCCGAGGGAGGTTTCGCTCACGTCTATCTGGTCAAGCTCCCGAAGCCTGTCGACGGTACGGACATGGCTGTTTTGAAGAGAGTGGCTGTCCCCGATAAGGAGTCCCTGAGAAGCATGCGAGTTGAGGTCGAGACCATGAAGCGGCTTAAGGGCCATCGCCCTATCGTCACATACATCGATTCTCATGCGTCTGAAATGCGGAATGGAGGCTACGAAGTGTTCTTGCTCATGGAACACTGCAATGGAGGTGGCCTGATCGACTTCATGAACACGCGTCTCCAGCACCGCCTGACCGAACCCGAGATTCTCCACATCTTTACAGACATAGCTGAGGGCGTCGCCTGTATGCACTACCTCAAGCCGCCACTACTTCACCGCGACCTGAAAGTCGAAAATGTCTTGATTCTCAGCCATGGTTCCCAGAAGCGTTTCAAGCTTTGCGATTTTGGATCCGCTGCGCCGCCCAAACCCGCGCCCCAGACCGTCGTCGAGTGCAGGCTTCTTGACGAGGACGTGCAGAAGCACACCACTATGCAGTACCGAAGTCCAGAGATGATAGACGTCTACCGAAAGCTTCCCATCGACGAGAAGTCTGATATTTGGGCTTTGGGCGTTTTGCTGTACAAATTGTGCTACTACACGACGCCCTTCGAGGACCAGGGGCAATTGGCCATCCTCAACGCAAGCTTCAAATACCCCAGTTATCCCGTCTTCTCAGACCGCCTGAAGAAACTCATTGGTAAGCTTGCATAGACGTGGTCCATACCTTGGTCACTAACGTGAATCAGGATCCATGCTGCGTGAGAGCCCACAGGCCCGACCAAACATCTACCAGGTCCTCCGTGAAGGATGTGTTATGCAAGGGCGTGATGTACCCATTCAAGATGTAGGTTCTCCCAGAATTTATCTTCTTGACTCTCAATTAAAATGTAACAGATATATGCTGGGGGACAACGCTCCGAGCCGTCGAGTCGATCTTCGGCGATGGACAGGCCACAACCTAAGCCAGTTGTTGGCGCAGTTTTCTCCCCTCCTCCACAACAGGAGAATGCCATTCCCGACATAGTTCCTATGAGGAGAGGAAGGTTGCCGGCCGCGAGCCAACAACCGCAACCCCAGCAAGCCGCCAAACCCGGCCCGTCTCCCATACGAGTGACTGACGGGGATCCGTTTGCCGCTTTGGACGCACCGGCTGCTGCTGCTGCCGCTGCTCCGGCGGCGGCTGCGGCGGGAGACGTTGACGAATTCGCATCTCGCTTCCCGCCTTTGGATCAGTTTTCCATCCTTCATGAGCAAGGCTCTAAATTCAACTTTGACTCGCATACTCCTCCCCCTACGCAGCAACAGAGAGTCCCGGTTTCGCAACCGACTGAGAAGCCTAGGCATCAGGCATATCCGCCGGTACATTCTCCGCCGAAGAACCCGGAGTCGGCGCGGCCGAGGACTGTCGCTCCGGCCGTCACTGCTTCTTATACGCCGCCGACAGTTAAATCTCCTCAGGCTGCTGTGGGACTTACGAAGACGACATCTGCCCCTTCAAAACCAGCCGAGGTGAGCAGAGCACATGCTATCATCAATAAGAATCCCGAATTGCAGGCCATCTCGTCTCAAACCCAGGCCCAGTACCATCCTCAACCTCAGCCATCTAAATATGTGTCGACCGGCACGATGACAACCTCTCCACCAGGAGAGCAACAACCTCCCCAGCCGGTCCCGGTGTGGCGGGTTCCCACATCGGACCATCACGGGTCGTCTAGCCTTCCTCGTCACGAAGACCAGAATGCGTCATCTAGGCCAGGCGGAGAAGAAGGACCACTGCCTCGGAACTCTTCGTATCAGCTGCGCCCGACCCATGTCCGGCATCCATCGTCGTCGCGACCGTCATTGGAAGGCGGACGGCCAAGCCTGGATCTTCTTGATTCAAGCAGTCAGTCAAGAAGATCCACTGATGGCCGTCCCAGGCCTGCCAGCACCTATCTCGAGTCAAACCTTGACTTTTTGCGCGAAAAAGAAAACTCTTCAAAATCCGTTCCTCCCCCTAGTCTCATGTCTCCGAAGTTTCCTGACAGAGTACCATCGCCTGCAATGGCGGAACCAGAAGAGGAAGCTCCCATCGAATCCAATGTTGAATTTTTGCGTAGTATAGAAGAGTCGGACTCGAAGAGAAGGGACTGGCATTCGAAACACGGCAAACGCGGGAGTCTCAGTTCTCTCTCCGGGACGAAAAACATATTCGCTGGAAAGTTTGGCGATGCATTTAAAAGGTTTGAAGGAAACCAAGCACCACCGCCTGCTCGAACTCCGTCGCCGCTCAAGCAGCTGGAACGTGGCGTGCTGACCCCCATTGAGGGGTCGGAGGCCACCGATGGCCGGACCGACGATGGCAAGGGGCACGAGGAGATCGAAGACACGCCCGCGATGAGACGGGAGATTGAACGCCTGCGTCTCGAGGAGGAGGAGCGACGGGTCGAGGCTGCGGCCGCCGAGTACCGCCAACGTTTCTCCAGCCAGCCAGGCAGCTCTGCACCTCTACCCAAGAGTATTGGCGGGGTGTCCCGGGCTGTCAGCATCCAGAACAGGGTGCAAAACCTGTTGAGTGAGGGCCAGAAGTCTTCGGTCCAGGTTCCGCGCACTGCTCAAGGTTACGGCGTGTACACAGACTCTGCCGCGGGCCGTCTGGACAAGCAGCTTCCAGATATTCCGAGGAAGCCGGTAGGCAACGCCAAGCCTCGGCCTATGACGCCGTCCAATTCACAAGATGTCATGGTCAACAAGGTGCGGCCGCCCGCAAGCGAGCCTCTGCCAGCAGCGGGACGGTCCACGCCCGGCTCGCGACCGGTGGCACCCCGAAAGCCGATGCACCTCAACAGCCTGCCGACCGGCGGCCGACCAGGCTCGCCGCCGAAGCAGCACCAGGCTCCGCCTTCCATGTCTTCGGAGCACCTTGTCGGCGTTGGACTCCCCGGGCGACCGGTGCTGGAGATGTCGGCCAAGGAGAAGGACGACTACGTCCAGGACTTTTCGAAGCGATTCCCTAGTCTGGGCTCAATCGAGATGGTAGAACGAGATCTCGCAGCGGAAGCGGGCGAACAGCGCACGAGTAGATAGACCATCCTGCCGACCACAACCGGTTCTTGGCGGCGGGTCGATTCCAATACTGATGGGTTGGGCTTAGAATTAAATATATACACTGGATAAGCGAGCGTAGAGATCCTCACATGTTTTGTACGCAAGCAGCATCGCGTACTGAGTCGACATATCCTTTCAATAGAGCACTTTCCTGTAGACAGGAAGAATAGTCTTTTTTCAAAGACACAGAATGTGTTTGTATACGCTTGCATGTATTGTGGCCAAATATGTATTCACTAAATACCTGTTCTGTGTGCAGCTGCCCTTGGCATCTCAAGTTGACCGAAGTGATTTGAGTTGCCGAATGCGGCCTCGAGGTGTCAAGTTTAGAGGGCCAGCACCATTCCGCGAGCTTTGACGAAGGGGGCGTAGTGCTGCCGGATTGTTTGTTTGATGGGGATCATAATTAGTGTTATGTATTATGAAATGCTCCCGCGGTCTCCCGACCCGGGTCAGTTTGTTGCCTCCAGCTACCACATTCTCTCCTTCTTACAAGCTCCATCACGCTTTCCTAATGTAACACCATCCCCTTCTCAAGTGAAGATGGGGGATTGCGCACAGCCGAGACTGCGCTCTCCTTTCTGCCGTTGTCTAAAACAGGCCGCCAAGCATGCGGCGAGGGAGGTTGGTCCAGGTCTTTGTGGGCTCGGGCTCGTCGCTGGGGTCAGCCAGCACGACGCCAGTCTTGAGGTCGACATCGCGGAGGCGCACGTACAGGGTCCAGTCGCGGGAGATGACCTTCCACAGGACGTAGAGCAACAAGACGATGGGGGCGGCGAGGTAGGCCTGGAAGAAGGCCTTCGCGTCGGGCTTCGCGTTGGGGTTGGGCTGAAAACAGCAGCATTAGCGATGGGTTTCTTCTTCGATGATGTACGGGCAACAGACTACCCCCAGGGCCAAGAAGGGAAGACATATGAGGCACGGAGGAAGCACTTACGTAGAGAGCGTTGTAGAAGGTGGCGATGAGGCAGACACAGTTGAGAAACAAGCCGATGGCGCTGCCCCAGATGCCCAGGGGTACCTTGTAGGGGATCTGTTCGAGCGTGTAGCCCTGGACCTTCCAGGCCATGCGCATGCGGATGTGTGACAGGCAGATGGAGCCCCAGACGAAGAAGAACGAAAGACCGGACAGGGCAAGGAGCCAGTTGAAGACGGTGCTGCTGTCGGCAGACTCGCCGATGAAGGCGAGCAGACCAAAGGCGAGCTGGATCAGGACGCACCAGATGGGGCGGCCGTGCTTGTCGACATAGGCCAGGATGCGCGGGGCCATGCCACGCTCGGCCATGGCCTGCATGGTGCGGGTGGAGCCGAAGGTGCAGCTGTTGGCGACGGAGATGACGGAGATGGTGATGACGGCGTTGAAGATGGATGGCAGGACCTTGATGCCGGCGTCCTGGATCGCGAGGACGAAGGGGGAGGCCTTGGTGTTGGCGCCGGAGGAGCCCAAGAGACGAGGGTCATCGGCGGGGACGATGAGGCCGAGGATGAAGAGATTGACAATGTAGAAAAAGGCAATGCGGAAAAAGACCTGCTTGCTGGCTTGGGGAATGGCCTTGCGGGGGTTGTCCGACTCGGCAGCAGCGAGGCCGACGAGCTCCGTGCCGCCAAAAGCGAAGGCCGCCACGACGAAGACACCGGCGAATCCGTTGAAGCCGTTCCGGAAAGCACCCGGGTCGTGCCAGTACTTGGCACCGAGGTAGCCCTTGTCGCCGACGCCACCACAGTTGATGACGATACCGAGGATGATGAAGCCCGTGCAGGCGATAATCTTGATGATGGAGAGGATGAACTCGACCTCTCCGTAACCTCGGACGCCAAAGACCTGGATGACGGCGAGGACAACGAAGAAGACGGCGACCCAGATGCCCATGTTGAGGTCATCTCTCCAGAACTTGATGGTGATACTAGCGGCGACGAGTTCAAAGGGGAGAATGGTCAGCCAGGCAATGGCGTAGTCCCAGCCCATGGCGAAGCCCCTGGGAACTTGTCAGAATGTGCTTGCAATATGTGTGTCGCTGCGCGGGAGACTCACCAGGAGGGATCGACGAATCGGCAGACGTAGGTGTAGAAGGCACCGTTGACAGGGTACAGGACAGCCATTTCAGCGAGAGCTTGGGTCGTGAACAACAACATGACTGCAACGATCAGGTAGCCAATGATCTGGTCGTCTCATAGTTAGCAAGGAGAAGCCAACCAGGAAAGAAAGAGAGCATACCAGAGCAGCCGGGCCACCGGAACGAAGAGCACCACCGGATCCGACGAAGAGACCAGCACCGATTGCACCGCCTGTGTGATGCAAATCAGTACTTTGTAACGTATCGTTTGTGTGTAAGTCGAGGCATACCAATGGCAATCATCTGCATGTGTCGGTTCTTGAGGTTTCGCTGGAGGGTCTCGCCCTTGTGGACAACGCCGACCTCCTCATCGTGAGAGCCATCATAGCTGCCGACGGTAGGCTCCTTGGCGTGGGTTTTCTCGTCATCGACGACGACGGGCGGGGAAGGCATTTTGGCGGGTGTCTCCAAATATACTTCGAACCCCTCGTTGATGGTATAGAGACGGACAAGCCGGTGAAGGACGAAGGCACAAGCTTGAGTTCTGGAAGGCCGGTGCCGAGAGACCCCTGGTATATATATGTATATATGTATAGATGCAACGGGACAGAACAGCGATCGACGGCTCGTGATAAGAGTGGGAGACAGTAAATTATCTGGCACGACGCAATCTTCCTTTGGCCCCGGTTGCCTACCACAAGATGTTCCAGTACCATGGGGTCAGAACTCTCTGGCCTGCAGGCTGCAACCCATCCGCCCGGCCACGCCACCGCGTTGGGAGACAAGTCATTCATGAGACCTAGACCCTTGGCTACCCTCGGACGAAAATCAACAAGACAAGCTTTGGCCGACGATATTACGGCCCACTCCCCCCCCCCCCCCCCCAAGAAGCCTGATCCAAAGCAGATTAGAGCCAGCCGGGGGTGATAACATTGTCACCCGGCACGGCGTGCGCTTTGCTCAATCAGGATAGTGCACTCGCTGGAGCTTGGTCTACGTCGCATGGTAGTGGTGGTGTCAAGCCGTTGGAACGAAGCCAATGATTGGCGCAAGAGGGTTTGATATCTCGACTCGGCGGCACTCTGGGATCCGACACTACCTCCACAGGTTCTCTGGACCAGCCACCCCTTCCTCCCCTTGCACCGTGCCCCTGTGAGGATGGTAAACTTGCAACGGTACAGATAAGGAATGTAAAGTTCGAGCTTGTTCCATGACCCAGATTGAGAGCAACGCTACCGGTACTTCGGGATCTAGTGCTTGCCATTGGGCGTGCTGCTTCTGCCTTTTTATGCATTGTCTCCCAAGACTGTTTGGCTTTTGACGCTCCAACGAAGAAAGCACAAAACAAACGACTTGTACCAGCCGGGCTCGACACGGCAAATGGGTTTGCTGTCGTTGTTGTGGTTCCGAGACGGTATATGTAGAGGTTCGGCCTCTAATCAACAAACGGTTAGAGGCTCCGAAGGATGAGAAGGGGCATTCCGTCTTTGGCGATAACGCTCGAGCACACGATTGATGGACCCCCGTGACGCGGGGCAAACGATTCGACAACGACAACAATGCAGCCGCCACAACCCGTATCCGAGAAAACAATTGCCGCATATTGTCGCTAAGTTCTAGTCGTTCTGGAAGGTATGTTCCAAAATGCCAAGCAGGTCAGACTGGGGCGGACTGGGGAGTCTTGATTGGACGGCGAGTGGACGGTAACCGGTCGCGTCCCCCCAATGCAAAATGACATGGTGCCACCATGATAGCAATCAGTTGCGTCGCAATTTCAAAACGAGTAAGCAGCGCACAATATCGGCTACTCGTGCCGGGGTATATATATAGCAGTTGCTTCCAAGGTCCGAGAAAGCTGCAACTGAGAAAGACTTGTTGGGGATGGGAGTTGAGGGTATCGACACCTGAAGTCCATAGGTCTCTGGGCGCCGAGAAAATCAAGCTTTTGGGAGAAGCGAGATGCAGGAACACTATTGGCCAGAGCGAGGACCAAGCAATATAATGCATCTTTGCCGCTTTCTAGCTCCTTGGCCTCCTGTCAACCCCCATCTTCCGTCTGCATGTCCTGCAGAACAGGCCTTCGGCTTGTCGCACTCATATGTCCACTTTATATCGAAACGAGGTTGATGTACTTCTGCGCTTATCTGCCAATGGCGATGGGGCAAAGGGGGCTTTTCGTGGAATCATTCGTGAAAACCATGTCGTAACTTACGTTGGCAATTGCCCTTATCATGTTAGGTGGTTTTGCCGTTATCAGTCATCCCCTGCCATTGTCGAGCCCGGGATCGCCGAAGAAGCTAGAGGTGGCGTGTTACCCTACGCCAGCCGGTAACCATGTCCGTGTGCTTACATAGTATACATCAACCGGGCGTAGGGCGTTGCGCTTCACCAGGCGTCCAGCCCGCACATGATGCTCAGTTGCAAACGCTCCCATTTCTGGCTCTCAGGTTTAGCACTTCAAGGTCGACCCGAACGCCGTGCAACATTCTAGCGTCCTTCTAGCTTCTCTCAAGCTGTCGGCTGGCCCCAACAACCGCTGAGTGCTGAATGAATCTGATTGGATGGCTCGGGTTGATGTTCCATAGCCCAATGCCAAGGGGAAGTCCCTGCAGAAAACAAAATAGTTTACTAAAATTCCACCTGAAAACGAGTGTAGTATCCGTGGTAATCTTATTCAACACAGGCTTGTGTCTAGCACTGTTCCATGGATTTGGCTCAGCTCAGCCCAACCCCGTCATTGGCGCAAATGCGAAGCCCTCAAGTTGCGGCGTCTTCAGGGGTTCGATATGCCCTTGTTGATACAACACCAGCCAAACGGCATCGGCATTTACCGCTTCTAACGCCTGGCGTGCCTCGGGGTCCTGGATAATCACTTCGGTTAGGAGCTCTAAGAACTCGTCGAATACCTCTGCCTCGAGTCGAACATGCGAGACAATGGACATCAGCAGACGAACCACGGCGTCCCATATCTGTGCGGCTTGGGCGAATTTTCCCAGGCCGCTGAAGGTCGAGCCAGAGGTTGTCTCTGTAGACTGATGCGCTAGCAGGTCCCCTTTTGTTCGAATGGGAATCAGGACATCCTGACTTGCAGATGCTATCATCTGGCCTGGCCTGGCACTTTCTCGAGGTGAACTCCCTTTGCTCCGAGAGCGAGCGGCCTCTACCTTCTTTCTGCGACACCACTTGCCAAGCCCATCCCACCATTCTGTCTTGATCCTGGAGCCCAAGAAGTCGCCGGCTGTGGTACAAAGAATGGAGAGAGCATCGCATGCTGAAATAGTAACAAAGGCCTCAGCGTCGTATAGCCTGCTGACGACCACAGGCCAGACAGCATTGACAAGGGGAAGAAAAGAGTCCTCGTCTCCTGACAGAGCTGGAGAGACAGTCGCCAACAGATCGAGCAAAGATTTCCGCAGCGTGGGGCTCGGCGATGTAAGATAATGCTGTGTCAAACCCGTAATTCGTTCTAGCAGGGTATACGTCGGCGTCTTTGGCGGTCTCTCCTGGTCGACTTTATTACCTGTTGCATCTTCATCGTCCTCAGAATCTTGTTTAGCCTTGCCGTTACCGTCGCCCCATGGGGCTTGGGGATGCCCGCCAGCGTTTCCGAGAGTGGTATCGACAGCTGAGGCTGCAGCCTCTCTCTCGCGACGCTTCTCCAGTAACTGGACAATATCCTCGATTGTCACCATGTCGCTTGCTGCCTTTCTGTGACTCTCAGGCCCGTTCTTTCGGCCCTCGAGGAGAAGTTTGTCCGATTTGACACCCTGGTTGACAATTTCCTTCAGGACCGAGAAGAGACTCTCCACAAAAACGGGATAGCCGTGATAGTTGTCCAAGGCCGCAAACACGGAAGCCACGACATCGTCCAGGTAAGGAAGCAGGCGCGGTCCGGTCAGTCGAGTCATCATGATCAACACCTTTGTGGATGCTGGAGAGATGTCGAAGGTATTGAGGCGCAGTGAAATGGAATTGATCATGTAGTCAACGTTCTCGATGATTAGCTCGGAGACACTGGTATACCCACAGGAAACGGCCAAGATATTCAGAGTCGTAATGGCATGCTCCCTCAGTTGTGGGATTGAAGAACCCAAGAAGGTCGTAATTGGGTACAACACGTCGATAAGTTCCGGTCTGAATGCCTCGCGAGATCGAGAGGCTGCAAAGGAGGTGACCTCGAGCGCTGTTGCCTCTAGTCTCCAGTCGACATTTGACATTTCTAAGTGAGAGTCGAGCAGCACCACTGCGAATGAGTATAATTCCTGGAAGACCAAGTCGGCACCATCACTGGGAGAGCTTAGTGAGGTGAAGTCCAAGAGGTCATCTAGGTCGCTGGATCGAGACAGAGCGCTCTTGACAAGCTCAAAGCTCAACCAGAAGGACGACGTCTGAATATCACCAGTCGAATCTCTGGCGCAATCCAACATCTCGGCGGCGAGCTTGGTCTGTTGGGAAGCCGGGCCCACGTTGGATAGCAACTCGAGCACCGCCAATCTTGTACCTAACTGACTCTCTTGGTTCAATAGGACGCTTTGATACTGTCTTGACGCATCCCCAGCTTTCACTATATCTTGGTTGTACCATGAGGCATCCGTTGCCGTTTGGTCCAACACTTTCTCTGGCTTGGCTTCAGTCACCAAAGAAGTGACGCTGTCCCGTAAAGCCGCTGCTATAGACTCGTCCAAGAGTGAAGAGTCCAGCTGGAGACTGCTGACCAGAGACATGCCCCTCATCAAATTTCGAACCGCCGTCTCTTTTTTACCTTCGTCGGCGTACTGGATGATTCTGGGCAAGCTGGTGATCCAGTTGTAGCAAGTGACTTTGACGGTTTCCCCAAGCTCGGGGTAGATAATTGCCAAGTCCTGCAGGCTTGTTGCTACTACGGATGAAGTCTGGTCGGCTGGCGACAGAATCATGGCGGTCTCTACGAGAATCGAAGAGCAGTTATCCAGCGAGATATGGCACTCGTCGAGAAGCCCCAGGCATAACGTCAGCAGAGCTTCGCGCACGTCTTGCGAATCATGCGTGCGGAGCTTTAGTATAGTTGCTAAAGCCAACTTGATTTGTGCTTTTGTGGCGGTTAGCCATGCCGGACTCAATACCCCACCCTGGTCGGCATTGGAAGAGCCGTTGGCAGTCGGCCTTGCGGTAATGCTTCGAGTCCTGATATCGCCGAGAACTTGCACAATGACCTGTTTCATTGACCCTATAGAACCAACGAGAACCCTGTTCTTCTCTCTCGGGGGTTTGGCCAGGAGCTTTGTTAGGGAAGACACGATACCCGGGAGGAACGAGGCGAGCGCAGCGTGATCTTTGACGCCCGTGTAGAAGCAGCCGAGTGTGCGCAGAGCTTCGAGCTGAATTTCAGGTGTCCTGCCATCTGTGACACACTCTAAAAGTACAGTTATGGTGTGTCCCAGTGTGGGAATCAGCTTCTCTTCGGTCAGCGCCTCTGCTGCTTTGGCTGAAGTACCAGCCACAGTGATGAGGGCTGTCAGGGCCCTCAGTGACTCGAGTTCGGTTTCCTCGGGCAGATCACGGGAATCCTCTCGCCCAGGCACGCCACCAACGATGAAAGTGAGTAGGATGAGGAGCTGCTGCAGGATCTGAGGCGAGATGTTCGACTTCCAACCATGGATGATGATGATGGTGAGACACTTGATGGCGACCTCAATGAGGCTTTTGGGATATTGATCATGGTTTCGAAAGACATGGGAGAGCGGAAAGAAGACGTAATCGGCAAGCTTCTCGTCAAATACGGTGGCATCTCTGTTCACTTGATCGTTGAGGATACCAAGTAATTCCCCAGTCAACTCGGAGAGCCGTTTGAACGAGGATGCTTCACCCTGCTGCCTGATCGCTAGCTGACTGATGGAGACACAGCTTGGCTTGAGCTGGTGAGGAGGTCAGCGAGTGCTCATGGCTGATCGAAGGCTACGAACCTGTTGGAAGAATTCATTCCGAGCCGGGTTTGCGTTGGCCAAACTAGTCGCCATTGTGAGGTATCACTCCGCTCATGCCAGTCCGGAAGGATCTGTGATGCTGCTCGGCTGCGGGTTCAACACGTCTGAACGGAATAGTGCTCACTTTAAAAGGAAGACTGATGATGGGGTGATGTTAAGTATAGCTGAGAATCAAGCGGTTTTCAACTTTGCTGTGGTGACGTGAGAAGCACGTCCTGAAAGACGTTGCTAACTTCGGCAGCTGTTCCAATCGGGAGCCTTCCTTTACAGTACAGCTAGCAGTGAACCCCACTGCCGGATTGACTGTACTGGGGGTTCGTCAACCTCCAGTGTACCTAAAAATGAGGTCTGGGTCGGCAACAGCAAGCCAAGCACTGAACACAGGGGGTGGTTAGCAGCTCTTGCACCAAGCGCTTCCCCTCCCACCTTATTACATCAGCAGAACGATGCCATCTCCAACTCTGCAATGAAGTGATTGATTGCATCTCGCGCAAGCCATATCGAGCATACTCTTCAGCGGCGGAGTCAACAACGACTGAGCCTTGTGTTCCCACCCATCCCAAATAAAAATGTCGTCATCGCCATTCTCTTGCACTGTTCACCATTACGAATCCCCGACCTCTCATGCCAGCGCCTACGAGATCGGCCCATCTGAAGCTTCGAATGCGATACTCTTCATAGGAGGTCTCGGCGATGGCCCCCATACTGTGTTTTACACCAAAACCATCGCCACACATTTAGATAAGACGGGACAAGACTGGTCCATCTTTGAGATCCGAATGAGAAGCTCCTTTTCCGGCTACGGCTATTCGAGCCTCAAGAACGATGTTGAGGACATCTCGGCCCTCGTGAGGTATCTCCGAGGCATCGGCAAAAGGAAAGTTGTCCTTATGGGCCACTCAACTGGATGCCAGGTACGTGGAGCCGGTCACAAGACGTATGAGGGCTTTCTTTACTCACTTTACCAGGACTGTGTGGAATACACCAAGCACAAGGAGGACCCCGTTGATGGCTTCGTCCTCCAAGGCCCCGTTTCCGACAGAGAAAGCATCGTTGACTCTACCGATTCGGCATGGCTAGAGAAGAGTTTGGAATACGCAGAGGATATGATTTCTAAGGGTAAGGAGGGCGAAGCGATGCCCAAAGACCTGGTGCCCCCTTTCTTCTCGACGCCGATGACAGCATACCGCTGGCATTCTCTTGCAGCCAAGGGGTACGTAACCCCGTCTACTCATTATCGCAGCTTGTACGCTTATCTGGTTCATAGTGGAGATGATGACTACTTTTCATCCGACCTCGAAGAGTCGTTCGTGTCCGAGGTCTGGAACCGGTTTCAACAGCCTGTCATGGCCTTGCAATCCGCCGAAGACGAGTTCGTCCCTGCCAAGATTGATAAGCAAGCTCTCGTGGACTCCTGGAAGAAGAGCAGCCCCAAGGTGCACGAGCTATCTGGTCTGATCCCGGGTGCAAGCCACACGGTGAAGAACCTAGAGTCGCAGCAATGGTTGGCAGAGCGGGTGGTTCAGTTCATCCAACAAATATAAGATAAGACCTCGCCGTGTCTCCCTACCACATGACAGAGCGTCTAGCGAGTCCACAAGTGGCCAATAAGTGAACAACTCGTGCAGAGTAATGAGTTCAGATGTATGTTACAAGCGGCCGGCGGACGTGCCTCGGGATGATGCGACCTACTTTCAGTTTTTTGTCCGCTTTGCATAGAAGACACTCCCAAAGTTTCCGGGTTTTTAGCCCAACTTTGTTTGTAATAACCCCTCCTCCTCCTCCCCCGGAATAGGAGCGGAGGTCGGCGATGTGTAGTGCTAGTCACCGAGACCCCACTCTTTTCTGTTAATGGCCCGTGGCGATGCCCAATGCAGGTCGGCGACCCCAAGTGCGGGCTGGTAATGCGATCGCGGGCACCGCGAATACTTAATCCCTGGGCGTCTCACGGGACGAGATGTCCGCTTAACTCAACTTGTTCCAACTCAAAAAATAAATCAATAAAGGACGCTACTTCAATCTCGTTGTTACAGCCTCCCACTTCGTCTCGTAAACTATCTCGACTGTCGAATCTGATCCCCCGCCAACTCATCTTTCCCAGCACAGTATCCTCCGTTCCGCTTTCAAAGATGTGCTTCGGCGTCACCTGCTCGACTTGCTGTAGGATGAACTCAAACCAAGCGCACTGCTAGAATGTGCAACAAATCACTAACGCCCGACTCCCCGAGCAGCAAAGGCAACCTGGCGCGGCTGCGGAGCGCACATCCCCGCGGCGCTCAGCGGCGTGCCCGAGGACCAGTGGTGCACCTGCACGCCTAAGGTCACGGTCAACGGCAAGGAGTACCCCCGGCGGGAACGGTGTCGATTCCTGGTATGTCTTGGTTGAGCGGCTTGTTGAGCAGAGGCAGTTCGAATGACAAGGCGGCACAGGGCACTGAGAGACGGGACGAGCTGTGACGAGCTGTCGGCTTGATGCGCGAGCTGTCGCCGTGGAAAGGCGGCTGTACTTGTATGATCTGACTGGGGGGCGTTGGTGAATGTTGGCTTGCAGAGGGACGACGAGGGAACGGCGACGATGTAGAGGAATCTTGAGTTGAATTAAAAATCTATCGCATCCTATGCCTTTCTCAACAACGTTCACATGGCTCGCGGGAAGCACAAAATGAAAGAGACCTTTGCAGCCGAATTCCGGACACTGTCACGAGCATGCGTTCGAGGCAGGCCTATTGGTACCTAGGTAGGTACGGAGGGGTAATCGGCGTTGTATCAGTGCCCCTCACCCCTCGCTTTGGGGCTCACAATGGGTTCCCCTTACCTAAACCCCATCCTCGGGTACCCCTATCGGCGCCGGCGCTCAGTCGTTAACAAATCGAAACCATCTGATTGAGCCAGCGCTATCGGGTCTCCGGAGCTGATAAGAGTGCCACCGGTTTCGCTCACGACTGGACGGACCGCCTTCTTGGACTCCCCGTTGCGATTCTCACTCTTCTCTGACCGAATACGCAATCTTTCTCTACTGGTGTGAGAACCCGGACGATGTTACTGCTCTCTCCTCTGCTTCTCGGAGCGGTCTCCGCCGTGCTCCTTGCGCTTTATCTAGTCCGCTGCGTCTCGTCGCCCTTGTGGAAAGTACCCGGCCCGCGGGCATCGGCCTTCACGTCGCTCCTCCTGAAGTGGCATGAGCTGCGTGCGAACCGGACGAGATACATCCACAGCCTGCACCAGGAGTATGGACCGGTCGTCCGAGTCGCGCCGAACGAGGTCTGCTTTACCTCCTATGAGGCCGTCAAGGAGATTTACTGCTCCGGCGGCAGCGGCTACGACAAGACGGAGTTCTATGACTTGTTCAGAGTCTTTGGACGTAGGTGTGTGTGACGGATACTGAACCTGACGTGAGCCGGCACTTGCTTACGTTCTCAGGACTATGTTTACAACGTTGAACAAGGAAGATGTACGGCTCCTGCCCTGGCCCCCCCAACTCGTGATTCGACGTGAAAGTGTAGAAGGGGCAAAGAAGAGACTCATTATGTAACCAGCACGCGAAGCGGAAGAGAATCATAGCAGATAGGTACGCGAACAGCAATGTCCTCCGGCCGGCGCCCCTGAGCGGGATCCAGGAAAGGTCACGACGGTTCATTAACCGATGCGAGGCATCCGTGGGCAAGTGTCACGACATCTTTGTAAGTCGGGAATGCCCACAGCAGCAAAGAGTACATCCCCCCCCCCCGACGGGCGTATTAACCGCGGTCTCCCATCAGATGAGTCTTCACTCATACGCTTGCGACTGCGTCACGCACCACCTGTTCCACCCGTACGGCAGTAACTGCCTTGAGGACGAGGCAGACGAGGAGATGATGCACCAGGTCGCCGCCGACGACAGCCTGCAGAGTGAGTAGTAGCCCCAAAGCCATGCAAACAACCAGAACCTATGACCACCAATCGGGCTAATGCTCCCGTGCGCGCTCGTCACGCAGACCGTCTCGTCCAACACTACAGCCCCATGCTGCACAAGCTCCTCTCCAGGATCCTCTACCTCTTCGCCAGGCCCCGCGAGACGCCCCTCGCCGACACCTTCGTGGTTGAAGCCAGCAAGAAACTCGACCCAGCCTCGTTCACGCTCCTGAGCCGGTTGCACGAGAAGTCGAGCGGCGGCCAGCAGGGGATGGATCAGCTCGATATGGCGGGCGAGTGCCTCGACCACATGGCGGCGGGCATCGACACGACGGGCGATGGGCTGTGCTTCCTCATGTGGGAGCTCTCGCTGCCGCGGTCGCTGCGGTTCCAGGAAGAGCTGCGGCGGGAGCTGAGGGAGAATGCCGGGGCCGTGAGCGCCACGTCGTTCGACAGGTTGCCGTTCCTGGACGCTATTGTGCAGGAGGGCCTCCGGTGCTTCCCCGCCATCCCCATGTCCCTGCCGCGGTACGTGCCCCGTGGCGGGCGGACCATCGACGGCTACTCGATCCCTGAGGGGACGGTCGTCAGTTGCCAGGCATATTCGGTCCACCGCATCAACGATGACGTCTTTCCCGAGCCGGACGTGTTTGATCCGAACAGGTGGATGGGGGCGACGGGCGATGCCGAGAGGAAGCGGCTCATGTTTGCGTTTGCCAACGGAGGCAGGGGCTGCGTCGGGAAGCAGTGAGTTCTCGCGCCCATTCCCCTACATGCGAGTGACAACGTCCGTCGCTAACTTGGAGATGCGTGTAGCCTGGCACTGGCCGAAATGAAGACGCTTCTGGCGGACATTTACTCCCGTTACACGACGCTTCCTGAGACGTCGATGACGTCCGAGTCGATGGCTATGTCGGACCAGCTCATCTCGTCGCGACCGCTGGGTCAGAGATGCCTGCTGCAGTTTATCCCTGTTGGTGAGAAACGAGAATAGCGCTTTTTTCTATTACGAATGGGACTGCATGAAACGAAAAAAGACATTCATCGCCGGGAAACCAGAGAGCTAACGGCTAAGCATTCCTTGGAGCGGTTGATGACTTTTTGTTTTATCAGCATTGTGGTACAACTGGGGAAGGAACGTGGATAGAGAAAAGAGAGGGAAAAAAGAAAGAAAAGAAAAGAAAATGGTGTCTCGTAACGGATGAGACAGCTTGGCATGTTCCTGTCAAAATAGTTACGTGGACGGCTCAGACAGAGTTTGCGAGTCGGGGATGACGCTTGGTTGGCCAGCGTCAGGCGAGGCGATGCGAGCAATGGCGCGCGTGCTGCGCGGGCTGCAGATTGCAGGCTGCAGACTGCATTTGCTGGCCCACATGGATGGGATGGCAAATCGGATTGCACCCCATGTTCATTGATATTTTGTCGCTTATTGTGACGTTTATATCCTGTTCCAGTGTCACTCTCCTGACTCCCATACGTTTTGCTGTACGATTTGCGCTTCCTGAAGTGGTGGGGCAGGCTGCTTAGGGCCCGTGCGTCCAGCGCGGAGCTGTCGCAGCCTCCCTTTGGATGTCAGCCAAGAGGAATCCGCGCCAGTGTCTCCTCCATATTTCTCGTCTCAGTGTTGCCTGGCAGTCGAGGGAGAGAGAAAAATCGGACCATGAAACATCGCTGCAGAGTCGGATAGGCCCAGAAAGTGCAGCCAGGGCTGATGCCTTTTCTGTGCGGGGTTGATATCAATCATGCAAACCCGCAACAAAATTTGGATTGAGGCCAAATAACATTGCACTGCCCACCTACTTACCACCTTACCTACCTTACGTACACAGTAAACCGAGAGGTGTCAGGGCAGCGTGTGGGCTTAAAATATCATATACACAATATCATATCTACAGATAAAATGTATATGTAGGTACCTTATGGCGGTGCGTGTGGCGTTCTGGACACTGGACTGGTCTGGTGGCACCCCTTGCGTGGCGCAACCAGCAGGGCTACTTCTGAAGCGAAAATGGCTTGATTCAGAGTTTAGAGGGTGCCGCGCGCTAGTGACAGGTAAATTACCTACCTACTCAGCAGGGTCTCGCCAGGCTGTCAGGCCTGTCAAACTTTCCACAGCCTCGGTCTCTGCAGGGAAGGTAGCGTAGGTAGGTACCTAGTGTAGGTGCCTACGAATAATTCACATTCTCCAGGTAGGTACACTACAAGCCCAATGATTAGGTAGGTTAGGTAGGTTAGGTAGTGAAAAGGGTTGCAACTGTACTCCGTACTGGCAAGTTCTACTGGTAGTACGGCTGAGTACCTACCTAGGCAGGTAACTACACGTACAGCTCAGGTACCTGATCTATGTACAAACAGTGCGTTGTTAACCAGTTTTTACCATTGTTCCACGTGTCTCCGAGTCTCCGACGCTGTCCCATCCCTCGCCTCCGCCCACACTCCACCCGGACCTTTTTTTTTTTCTCTCTTCTCCGAAACTCTTCCCACCTACCCAGTCACCTCCGTTTTCTCCTCTTCCCACCCACAAGAAAGAAAGAAAAAAACCGCAACAAAAACCCTCCGCTCGGAGATTCATCGAGCACATATCGCAATTATCGCAAAACCCACCTTGCCCAAGTCCCACTTCACTGCCCTGCTTAGGCATCCTCTGCACGTCGTGCCCACTTGCGGTAAACTCTGACCCGTACAAAACCTCTACTCCCCCTCTTCTCTTCAGAAAACATCGCCACCTTCGTTCAAATACCACAACCTATCGTCAACAAAATCTACACCAGCAGCATCCTCTCTCGCAGTGTTAACGACCGCTGAGTCCTCACCCCCGCGAGAGTTGAACATACAACGACACCCTCACGCGGTACACGGCACATAGCAGTTTATGTATCAGCACGACAATACCACCGTCTTCAGACACTTCGTCCCCAAGCTGCAATCATTTCGCATACCGCGGAAACCTTGTAGCCACAACATCAGTTCAGTCGGTTGAAATCCCGTCACATAGACGAGTTCATGAATTCTCGACAGCAAAGACGATCTAGTCTCGCTTTACCACATGTCCATCAACAATATCCTTGAGCATTGAGTCCGCCTTCTTGCTCCCTTCCCCCCAAACCAGCCTCGTTGCCATATCGTCGATTCCGATCCTAACCACCGACCTCGCCGGCTTCTTAATGCTACCCGTCCGCTCAACCGACAGCACCACCAGCTTCGCGAGCCCATTACTTCCCACTCTAACCAGTCTCCTATACCATTAACTTTCCCTACACACCCTTCTTCAGTCATCCAATTATCAATACCGCAATCATGGCTTCCCTCATCAACGTTCGCCGCGACGTCAAGGACGCTTTCTATCGCTACAAGATGGAGAAGATCGTCACCAAGATCGAGGGCAAGGGCAACGGCATCAAGACCGTTGTCGTCAACCTGAGCAGCGTCGCTCAGTCCCTCGCCCGTCCCGGTGCCTATGTCATCAAGTACTTCGGCTTCGAGCTCGGTGCCCAGACCAACGTCGACCCCGCCGACGACCGCTGGATCATCAACGGCTCCCACAATGCCGCCAAGCTGCAGGATCACCTCGACGGCTTCATCAACAAGTTCGTCCTCTGCAAGAAGTGCAAGAACCCCGAGACCGACGTCAACATCAAGGACGGACGCATCCTCCTCGACTGCAAGGCCTGCGGCCAGCGCTCCGAGGTCGACCTCCGCCTGAAGCTCAGCGGTTACATCCTGAAGAACCAGCCGAAGAAGGGCAAGAAGGACAAGGCTGAGCGCAAGGCCGCCCGCCGCGCCAAGGCCAACGGTGCCAACAAGGAGAACGGGCAGGGAAGCGGAAGCGGCGGCGAGGGATCCGAGAATGGCTCCAACGACGCCGATGACCAGGACGTTGGTAGTGACGACGAGTTTGAGAAGATGAAGAAGGAGGCTCCCGAGATTGACAGCTTCGAGACTCAGGAGCACGAGTGGGCTGTCGACATGAGCGAGGATGCCGTCAAGGCCCGCCAGGCTCAGCTTCCCGTCGAATTCAAGCAGAAGCTCAACATTGGCGACGACGACGAAGAGGATGGTGAAGCCACCGGCAACACCGTCTACGACGAATTCGGCACCTGGATCCAGGATGAGGCGTCTTCCAAGGGTGGCATCGATAATGTCGATTCCATTGACATCTTTGTCAAGGCCAAGGAGCTTGGCATCGAGGCCAAGCACCGCGCCGTCCTTGTCTTGGTCCAGACCATCTTCGACGAGAACATTGTCGCCCAGATTCCCAAGCGCGCCGGCATGATGAAGCAGGTTTGTTCATCATTCGATGTCTGTGCTATTGAGATCCACAACTGACTGACCTGTCTCTTCTTAGTTCATCACCTCCGACCGCCACGAGAAGGCTCTCCTCGGCGGTACCGAGCGCCTCATCGGCCAGCTCAGCAAGGACCATCCCGAGATCTACAGCCAAATCGTCAAGATCCTCCAGCTGTATTACAACCACGACCTGCTGAGCGAGGAGGTTGCCGTCAAGTGGGGCAGCAAGGCCAGCAAGAAGTATACCGACCTTTCCATCTCCAAGAAGGTCCGCAAGGCCGCCGAACCCTTCATCAAGTGGCTCGAGGAGGCATCGGAGGAGGAGTCGAGCGACGAGGAGTAGATGGGCGTGCTTTGATGGAGTTTAGCCACGTTTGGGGGGGCTTTCTGGGACGGCGCTTCGCTCATTTGGGAACCCCCCTCGCCCCTTCGTGTTCAACGCTTACTTTATTTTTATCTGCATCGCAACCCTGTCTTGTCATACTCACTCGTTTTTTCTTCTTCTTCATCTTTGTGCTCCCGCGGATGATGCCGCGATTGCGCGGTCTCATCCCTGTGAGATGTCTCATTGTTGGATCCACAAGTCGTCGTGGCTTTAGGTAGCTCTGATACTATAGATTGCAGCAAACGGCACAATGTCCACTCCTTCTAGCCGCACAATGTTCTCGTCCCTGATGATGATTCATTTTGCTCTCATTGTAATGCGATGTTTCTATGTTTTCTCGGCTGACCCGACTTCCAGGGGAATAGCCCAATATCACGGTCTGTCTCGTTCGCGCCCGTGTGTGGTAAATCTCAAAACTCACGTGAACGAACCCCGTCCTCCGTCCTGTTTGGCGCCAGATGTGCTGCTCCTTGCCTCATCCCCCGACAATGCCGTGCCAATACGAATAAGAAGAAGACTATCGGACCAGACACGCCCCTCGCCTCACTCCTGACAATGCAATCTCAAAAGAAACCCCGATGTTTTTGGATCTCGCAACCTCACCCAAGGCAAGGACAATGTCGAGAACACCGGGTCCAAGCCAATCAGTATGCATGCTCTTCCAAGTCACCGCCCGTCATTGCAGACCCGGTCCCACTCCATCCGATACACACGAGTACGGCATGCCCCGCTTCGGTTGAGCTCTGTCATCGACATCAGCTTCACCAGTTGTCCGCCGCACCGCCGGTCGACTGGGCCATAGATGTATCACCCCAGGGGAGGTTGTTATCCCAGGCACCTGGCATGCTCTTGCTGCCGCTCGAGGCCTTGCTCATCTCTGTTGCGGTCGGATTCCAGTTGTCGCCGCTCGTAGTCCCGGGGCCCCAGTTGTTCGGGCTTTTGCTGTTCGTGGGCACTGCGTTATTGTCGGTACCCCAAGCCGATTCGCCGCTGGAGGCCCATTCATCTCTGTTTTTTGATGTCTCCTTCGAGCTCTGCTTGGATCCCTTGCTATTGTTAGAGTTACCCACGGGGCTGTCGGTCGTTGGACCAGCATTGTTATCCCAGTCGCCGTTGGTGGAGGGCTGGGACGTATTCTTGCTAGGCTTGTTCGGCTTGTTCGAGCCATTCAAGACGACATGCCCCGAGTAGCCGACGTTATTTCCCTGTTCATCCCAGTTGGTAGCCGGTTGGGGTTGACCACTGGGGCCGCGGTTGTCGCCGCTGTTGTTATGCTGGCTCTTGCTTGACTTCTTCGAGCCAGAGTGGTTCGAACCCGTCGACCAGTTGTTGTAGTTGCCCTCTGCGTTGGTCCAGGCATCACCTGGTTGGTTATTGTACGCCCCCCATACATCCTGATTGGTGTTGGAGTCGCCCCAAGTGGTGCCATTCATCGTTGTCCAGCCATCGCCGCCAGAATTTGCCTGAGCATCGTTATTCTGGGTATTCCCTGAAGTATTCCATCCGCTGTTGCTTCTATTACCGCCAGTCGCAGCCCATGCTGAGTTACTTCCTTTGATGCTTCCTTGGCTCTTCGCGGGAGTACTCCATCCAAGATCCGGGTGCTGACCGCTAGGTATCGGTTGCCAATCAGACACCTTCTTTGATCCCCATGACTTCCTGCTTCCGTTGGATCCGCCACCATTTGTTTGTGAACCGTTCCTATCCGGACTGGGCTTCTTGCTGGTGCCTTTGGCGAAGGCAGCCCAAGGAGTATCTGGGTTCACCGTCAGGTTGATGTTGATAGGGGAGGTTGGAGCGACCTTGTTGGGGCTGGCCGGCTTTGTCCCAGGGGATGGAGTCTTGATATGCCGAGGTCCAACATTCGTATCCCATCCCCTATCCTTATTTTTGGCGCCCGTAGATACCCCGTCTTCTTGAAGAGCTCCCGACATGACGGGCTTCGGAGATCCCTTCGGTGAACCAACTTTCGTTGGAGACATGGGACCCCACCACGACGGTATCTGTATCTGCATCGGATCGACCGGCGCCATGACGGGCGGTCCTCCAGGCATACATGTTATCGGGACAGAGCCCCATGGGGACTGGCTCTTGAAGTAATTGTCTCCGGGGTTTTTAGGGTTGGCAAATCCATGAAAGTAGGGGTTCTGCAGAGGATGAGGTACGCCCATAGGCAAAGGTGCCTTGTTCGGATCGCGGGCAGGGTACAACATTCCATAGGGGTTTCCATAGGCCGGTCCATGATAGACCCGGACAACACCGTGCTGAGGATCGTGAAAGGCGTTGGGTCGGGGATCTTCGACGCCCTCAATAGTATGCTCAACCTGGAGAACCTCGGCGCGGACCGGCATGATAAGATTCGGCCGACGCAAGTGAGGGGACAAAGCTGCCTCTGGTCTCAACTTTTGTGGATTTTTGACATTCTGGTATGTCTCCTTCTTTTTTGATGCATCCACATCCTGTTTCGTATTGCTGGAAGGACCGACATTACTCAGCCCGGCGTCGGCAACGGAGGCGTTCTCTTTGCCCTTCTTCGAGGATTTCTTGGTGTCATTTGTCTTTTCCCGCTTTTTAAGATCGTCTACATTCTTCTTTTTCTTGGGGGGCGGCGGTGTCTCTTCCTCGCTCTCATCTGTCTCGGTGTCGGTCTCTGTCGCCTCAGTTTCGCTGTCTTCGCTTTCTGATAAAGATTCTACTACCTTCTTCTTGACTGACTTGTCGCCTTTCTTCTTCTTAGACTTGGACTCTGCCTCGGACTCGGAAGTTCCCTCATCTCTGTCCGGTTTGTTTCTTCCTTTTCCTGCCTTATTTAGCATCGTCTGTAGCCATAAGATCTGTAAACATACAGTCAAGCCAGGGTTCATAATTACCTTTGGAGCCGTCGTCGGAGTCAGTCGTCTTCAGCGCAGACTTTGGAGCAAGCTTGTCGAAACGGACTTTCTTGACACCCGAGTGGCCATTGGGGCTCTTGCCAATGTTGGCGCGAGGGTACGTAATCTTGACCGTTTCTTCTTCAGATTCGTCGTCGGTAGAGATCTCGACGCTGATGCGTTGCCTGCCACTGGACTTCCTGCTTCTGCGCCTGTCGACAGAGTTACAATACTCTTCGACGCTGACTCCAAGAGCCCACTCGCAGATGGTAGAGCTCCGGGTCTTGCGCGTCATGGCTGCGGTTGATTGCCTAGGCGACCTGGTCAGTGGTTCTATAAAGTAGATCGACACGAGTCACCGATGTAAACTCGTGATGAAAGTATCCTGTTATATCAGAAGTTCATCATTTCCTCATGATGGTAGAAGACTTTGGGGTTCAAGGATAGAGCACGGCGTTCTTTGGGTGAAACGTTGAAAGGACGTTAACGTGGAGAGAAGGTGCCGTCAAGGCAAATGAATGGACTGTTCAAATTAGGAAAGCGCCGCCCAAAAAAGCAAGCCCGACTGCTCGGGCACGCTTGTCGTTTTAGAATCTTGTTTCAAAAGCGAGGAAGAATGTTTAGGTAAACTCATGCCTGTGTCACTGTCTCTTCTTAAGTTGGCTAGAGTGGCTAAGGTGAGAAAATGATGTGCCAGGCGACGTCCTGTTCAAATGAACCCTCGATTCAAGAGGGTGGAATGGGAATTGTAGCAGAAACACCACGATACCACGAATAAGACTGGGTTTTTATATGATTCTCAAGGTCTCAGTCTGTTTAGGTTGGTGCGAAGAGTCTCCTCCAGAGATTCACAATGAGCCTCAGCATGGAGATGCTGACCTACATCTAAACTGCTTATCGAGAGCCACATCTAGGTCGACTGACACATTCAGCCTGACGTTCGATCATGGAATGTGTCGTGTCGCATGTAGGCATAGGAAACAACGGCGCACTCTTCCAATCTGCCCATCCAAATCCGACCTCCCTATTCACCAATGGCGGTTTTCTCAGACACTCTCGTATATATGGAGATCTATTTTCGTGGTCTCCGTCTCCTCTCACACGTTAGGCTTCGCGGAAAAAGACCATAAAGGCAAAAAAAGAAGGAGAAAAAAAGAAAAACGCTTGAGTCTGGCTGGCTTACCTTGGTGAACTGGGTGGTGAAGATAAAGTGTTTCCGCAGGGGGCTTCGTTGGGGAAGCGTGGACTCGCAGGAAATTGTGTCAGGAGGTTGAGGTAATCTACCGCTATCAGTATTATGTCTTTGTTTTCTTATGGCAACTCACAAGTAAGCCTGCAGCGCATCATCGTCGCAAATTGTCATGCCCCGACCTCTGCTAGGCTTGATAGCTTCGCTTAATGTCAGTGCATTACACTCCATGCGTATTTTATCCCGGTTGACTTACCAATTCTAAATGACTGGTCTAGTTGGGTAAACGGACAGCGTAGAAGTAGCCCTCGTTGGTGATGTACCAGCGGCAGTCGCCAAGGTTGTCAATAGTGAAACGATTGCGCTGGGTCCAGTTACCGTCAACTTCTCGAACAGGATAGTAGCGGGACGGGTCGTCATCAGCAGGCTTGAAGTCCTGGGGCTCAAAGAGACCGTTCGCATGGGCGAACTGAGCTTGCTCCAAGGCAATCTCTCCAGCGGTTCTGCCGAATCCGGTGACATCGGGAGGAAGATGAGAATTACCTGCAAAGACAGGAGTACCACCACCACCCGGCATCTGCAAGCCCATGAAAGGGGCACCTTGGAACACGGAAGGGTTCATAGCAACCGGAGGGGCTTGGAGCATGACGGGTTGGCCAGGCATAGCCATACCAGACTGTATGACAGGCTGCTGGGCCATGACGAACTGGGGGTTCTGAGGAGCCTGGCCAATATAGGTGATGTTGTTGGCAGGTTGTTGCTAACAATCCGAAGTCAGCATGAGACTCAGGGAAACACGGGACAAGCTAAAAAAGAAGGAAAAGAAAAAGAAAAAAGAGAATAAGACGTTAAATCGATAATGAAGATCCACATCCTCGACTAGCTTCATGAGCCACTTGGCTCAATAAACATCCGAAGCATCGAAAGGCACTAGCGTAGAGGTTATTGGTAACTTGCATAATACTGATGGACAAGAACAAGAGGCGGACCAAGAATGACTGGGGCCGCCCGAGGAGCAACAATAGAAGTCAGCGGAAAGACCTGTACTTGAGGGAGACCGACATGATAGACAGTGCCGGACGGTATGCCGTTGTCGAAGCGAGGCACGTAGACGTGCTGCATGACACCGTGGGTGGTGTCTGGGACAGGCGGCTGAAAGTGAAGCCCACCAGCCGGGGGAGCGGCGTTTTGGTAGTCGGCCATGTTGACGTAATGAGGAGCTTGGAGGCCGTACGGGTTGTATTTTCCAAAAGCTGCAAAGTTGCTTGGTTCGTTGATGTGATGGGTTGGGTTGTGGGGGATAAATGGACTAATGTGCTGGTGAGGCGTCTGACCGAAGTGAGGAAGAGCAGCAGGGAAGTTGTGGCCAAGATTGACCGAGGCAGAGGGGTTGGTGGAGGTGTGGATAAAAACACCAACGTCTTCACTATGGTCCCCTTTGGGTCCGCTGAAGGCAGGAGCGGCCGAGGTCTCGGTTTCCAGGGTGGTTGGAAAGGAAGCGCTGTGGCCACTGCTGTCGTTCTGGAAGCGCACCTGGCGGGGGTTGGTGCTGTTGGTAGCCGACTTCAATTTCGGGGACTTCATGTCGAATGTTTGCAATCTTCAATTAAAGACTCGGCTCCGACAGTGTTTTCTTCGAGGGGTGAGTCTCTTTTTGTTTCGAGGAGTAAAATCCTGTTCGAAGAATCCGGGAGGGAGTCCAGGTCTCAAGTTTCGATGGATGAAAGGCCGGATGAGGTGGTTTCTTTCACTTCATTTCTTATCTCCAGGTTGAAAGAGTACAAGTTGAAGTACTCAAAGAATGATAGAGTGGGGGAAGACTTAGTTTCTAGCTCATAGCATGAGTCTCTTTGCTCCCCTTCACCCAGCCGCATGATGACCCGCTGTGGTTGAATACTCACGGCTTAAAACAGCCGCTCACCGCAGTGAAGCCGCAAGAAAGTCCATCAAGGTGTCCACAGAATCTGGAGACGACAGATAGGGAAGAGTGAGGGCAGATCATCACCGCCGGTATCCAGCAGCTAAGGGTAGAAAAACAACAGGTAGGTTACAATAATACAACAAGAAACATCCCACTTACATGCTCCATGACGTATCTTTGGCCATCCCAAACGTGCCTATATACAACAGGCGGGTCTTCGTTGTCGTAGTGAGCCTTCGAGAATGGCCAACATCCACACATTTTGATGGTACTTGTGGGTTAGGAGACGAGGTAGGGTGTCGGGTAAGGGGGGGGGGGCAAGGGAGAAGGGTGGTTTGCTGTTTGACGATTGCTGATTATAGGTATCTACCTACCCGGGGTTGGAATAGCCGAAGAAGGTGAAGGTTGTCACCAGACCAAAGGTGGCCGGTAGATTTGGTCCAACAGGGCCACGCCAGAGGCACCTGCCATGATCAGATAGCCGAACTCCAGTTTCATGCCCAGGTGCCCGACGCGATTTCCACCCGCAACCTGATATCTTCTCATACCTGAGCATCCACGGCATCGAAAAATCACCAATAGACACTCAGCCAGTAGCCAAACAAAATGGACCCTGCTCATGAGCTCCGTATACTTGCGGACAGTCTTTTCGAACTTGAGCTGGACAATATACGAGCAAGGTCACGGCATATTCCCTGTCACGAGTACAACCCATGGTCGTCAAACGGAAGGGGAATTCACGTATCCCATGAGCTTGGCGGATGCATCTTCTTGCCCAACGATGTCTCGACTCCGCTCCCCAAAAATACACAAGACCTCCACGAATCCATCAGTGTACGGCATAACAATCTACAATCATCAATTCAGCCGTTATCAGACCACCAGCTTTTGGCTTTACATGATTTACTGGACGAGGAGATTGACGACTACGCCTCTGACGATGAAGCTCTGATTCTAGGAGGTGGCATTTTCGGCTCCGTGGGTACCACGAGGCCTAAGCTTGTTCCGCAGTCAATTCGCAACGGCCTCTGGGTCAAAGAAAAGGTCTGAATATAACAATCGCAGTTCTTCCTTCCATCGGCCAAACACGAAGTCATACTGATCTTTTATCACAGGCCCAAAAGGTTGCCCAAATCAGACTGTCAACTTTCCGTGCATCCCCACTCCTCGCCAGCGAGTGCTTCAATGTCATCCTAATCCACCTCGACATGACAGGAAAAGTGGTCTCAGAAGAAACAACCTGGCCCAACTGGGCTGATTTTGGAGCATTTACGAAACGGATAGAAAGGAACTATGTCTCCATGTCAGACCTGAAGGGTGACTATTGGGCGGGTGTTCAACAGCACTATCTTCTCAGAATCGACGGGGTCTTCCGGTCTCAACCGAATCCTCCGCAAAGGGCAGCCGCCACCTTGTACCAGGATTGGCTTCGGGATCTTGACACGCAGAAAGAAATTTGGGTTTATACGATTGTGGATTCCGGCTGTCCTGTGGCCAGTCCTGAAAGCTAGGAGCACTTCAAGGAACTCGACAGCACATGCGTCTTTGTTAAGATGAAGACAGAGGGCCAGGTGAAGGGAAAGTCCATCGCCATGGCAAAGGTCTGTTTTATCACTTCGCATTATGACTAAGAGAATGAATTGTTGACTTGCTACAGCTTTGGCAGATAAAAGTAAGAAAGCTGCTGCCCGATATTCGGAAGCTGGAGGGCAGAGTACCCTTGGAAACCCCGGCTTTGGACGATGCAGAGGCCGCATTCAGCATTGGCTTGTTGCTCGAGGAACGAATTAACTCTGGTACGCTCGCGTCAGTTATGGAACAAACAAAGGGTCTCAAGTACGAAGACATAATGGAAGAAGACTAGCTTCAGGCTGGGTCGTATATGATGCGATCTTCTTATAGACCAAGGTCTTGCGCGAGAGCACTAAATAGCGGATGTCTCCGCCAAGCAGCGTTTACTCACAGTAGCCTCAAGACTGGCATTGTATTGTTTTCAGAGGGTCTAGTGTAGCACAGAAAACAAAATCACAAATGGAGAAATAGATGCAGCTCGTATGTAGCTGGGTGTCGACGAAGCTCCCTGCTCATCAAATGGTTGGTGGGATTACAACATGGTCACGATTCGGTGGGAAACTGAGAAGAACGCATAATGTTGCCTTTGTCGACAAGTACGTATCGAACGCCCACTACCACCCAGTGATGCGGTCTTCTAATGCTCCTTCCTAAAATACTGTACAAGGGTCCGCCAGAGGAGAGATCGTCCGTCACAATGCCCAAGACTCCCCTGAGGCGCTCTAAATTTCCTACTCAAATAACAGACAGAAGAAGCTCGTTTCGGGCGAGCAGTGTCGACCACGGATCCATTGTGATCCGCAGAGGTAATGGATTTTCATTAGTGGTGCGGGGTAGATTCCACAAAGATGATTTGTAAGTTATGTTACGTCGTAAAATTACAAGGCGGCTCGCTCGGAATGCACAGGCTCCGGGGCGGCGAAGAAAGTGCTGCGAATAACCTGTGGAGGAGCAGTTAGTGTCAGATCGACCGATGAGAGTTCGGAAAGGCCGAGGCTTACAGCCCAGGTACCAGCCACGGAGGCCACGATACCACCAGAAATCAGCATAGGCCGCAAACCCCGTGTGCTCTTGAAGACCATTCCGCTGAGCGCGCCGGCCAAGATAGTGTTTGCGGCGTCGTGCTTCCCTCTGAAGTAGCCAATACCAGCGTTGAACAGGTTGTAGGTGATGGCGACGACGCCGGCCGAGTTGCCGAGGAAAGGGCCGCGGCGGGTGACGGCGTTGAGCACTGAGTTGAGGCGCAGCTTCGGCGGCTGGTTGACGGATCTTCTCAGTCCCTCCTGAAGACCCCAGGCTCCTCCTATCGACAAGGCAGCCAAGTATGTGACACCGGTTCCGTAGCAGAGGTCGTCGGTGAAGCCTCGAGAGGGGAGGACAGACTGGCCAGGAGCGTCGGCCAGGGTCGCATCATCGAGGGAGAGATATTCGAGCGTGTCCTTGTTCAGACCGGAGAGGGGGTGTAGTTGCGACGGGTCGGCAAAAGAGGAGCTTTGGAGGAAAGACTCGACACCAGATCCTGCTGATGGGTCGAACTGGGTAGTGGTGGTCGCAGGCGGGCTGTTGAAGGTGGTTGTGGGTTCTTGGGCGGCGGGTGTATGGGGAACGCCTGCATCCTTCTGAGAGGACTTGCGACCAGAAAACGTATCCCAGAGTGATGACATGGCGAAATGTTACAGGCTCTGTGCGGATGAGATGAAGCCAGGGATCGGAGTTTGGGACGCGTGGACGGACAACAGGAATCGTAGGCTTACGAGCAGGCAGGCCGATGATGGAAGCTATCGAAAAAATTTGGGCAGACCAGTCGCGACTTGGACCGTGCGTTCGAGGTACAGTGGCAGCAGAAGTTGACGGATGCAACCTGCTGCAAACAAATTTGGCAGTTGGACCCCCACTTATTCCGGCTATCTTTCGGAAGGCTCGACTTTGGATTCTCCGGCTTACCTCATCGACGATGTTGCATTAAGCTCCGAGTATGAGTCAGCAGATGGGACTTGACCAGCGGGGTATGTTAGCTCAGCATCCATCATCTTCGCAACCTCTTCGCTAAGGGAGATGAATGCAGGAGTGGTGGAACAATGGTCTGAACGTCTCTGACCTACCTAACATAAGGTAAACTCGGCCGAACGCTAGGTGAAGGTCGGGGCGGTTGGTTGACATATTGATTCCAAATTAAACCTGCAAACAACCTATCACCCCCTCACCCTAGCCACTCAGTCGCTGTTGGTTCATCCTTTGAGCTCAACCGCGGCGGATAGTCACAGTTGGTTACTTTCCCGTAGCCAACAGCCCCCCTTTAACCGTTACTTTCGTCCAACCGGATGCCTTCACGTTGCTGATCCTGAGGCTACCCTAGACTACACATTGTATGGAATCACGTTTGATCCTTGGTCATGATGGGGCTGGCCGCTTGCTTATTGGCCTGCTGCAAAGTCTGAGCGAACAGATGGCAGGGTGCAGGTGATGTATGGCCGACAATGGATCTAAGCGCCCTGTCGGCACCCGGTAATTGTTGTTTAGCATGCAAGCCGTAGACGATGTGACTTGCTGATGACTGGCTCGTCGAGGCGCAAACCTGCAGGAAAATCAATATACATGCCACATGTGCCTCGGGGGCGGCGTGTAAAACTTGCTGCTGTGCCGCCTCAGCCCTTGGGGACTGCCAAAAACCATAACGTTCATTGTTAGTTGCCTGTCACATTGAGTGGCACCGCACGGTGTGGAACAACCTCTTTGACTGAATCACGTTATTTAAATGACAATTTAGTTCCCCTTCTACGTCGTACCGGCGCCTTCATCCTACGGTTACTTGTGTTGTATGTTGCTCGCCCGAACTTTGGGCAGACATATCGCTGGAAGAAGCTATTGGACCGCTCCAATAAGACCTCGAACGCTTACAGACCACACAAATCAACTCAATCGCCAACGAAGATGTTGGGCTTCATCAGCCTAGTGATGTGGTCGCTCCAGGTTCGCGGCATCAGAATTACAAAGCCTTGAGGGTTCGTGGCGGCTAACATGTGCACGTCGTGCAGGGCATCATGGCTATCGTTGTCCTCGGTCTATCAGTCGATCTTGTGAAGGGCCAGTTACTCGGTGATGCTCCAACGACGACAAAATATGGAACATTCACTGGCGGTTTCGGGCTGGCAGTTGCTATCCTGGGTCTCGCCTCTGCGTTCATTGACGCAATTCCAGCTCTCGTTGTCATGGCTGCCGATGCTCTAAGTGGACTGCTACTGCTTGGTGGCGGTATCGTACGTCTACTGGTACTGTGTATTGTTGGTGGTTGCTAACATTCAATTAGGCGTTTGCCATCGGGTTGCGTGGAGTGACCTGTGATGCCACCAACGACCTAGAGAAGCTGAAAGCGCAGTATCAAAATGTGCTCATCAATGCTGGAGCGGCAAAAGTAACTGGCGAGAGGTACATGTTTACACACCGTCAAATGAGCACTGACCGACTTTTGAGCAACTGCAAAAAGGCCACCGCTGATCAGGCCATGCAGTTTGTGACGCTCGGGTTTGTGATCAGCACTATTGTTCTTCTTTTCTTGGTGTGGAGGAACGGCCGTGGCAGCAAGGGCGGTGCTTATGTCTGACCAGTCGGCCAGAAAGTAGTACCACTGGGGTTTGCTCGGGGCAGAAACAGACCTTGTTGGTCCATCCTGCGAAAGCATAGCAACCGTCATGGCTGATGGGCAGATTTTCATTGAAAGAAAGCTGGATCCATGATCAGATTAAACCGACGTTCAGTGTCATAACCTGGATCCGATCCAATCAAAGCCGCTTGCATGGCAATGAAAAATCCAAGATTTATGGCCTTCTTACGGTCCGTACGCATCTCACGACGTCTGAATCCCGTGAATATTGCAGTAGATGCAAGCGCATGACCCCTGCGGAGGTGGGCCCGGACATGTGTGGCAGCGGAGATGTTTGTTGCTACCGCTAGGTAACGCAGCGTTGTTTTATTTTGAAAGGTTCGATTCAGGACCTGGGCCGGATACGGATCACCTCGCGAGACTGTCTTGGACAGATGCGCCTCAAGAGACAAACAGGCTACGAGCACTGTAGATATGCAGTCGAAAAAGCCTAGAATGCTCTAAAAGAGGATGTTGAGACCACCCCACAGTCAAATACCAGGAAGAGTTGTCGTACTCGGCTGATAAGGAAAGGTGTTCACATGGTGTTTTATTTAGGGGGCCGGGAACGGAAGGAAATCCACGGAGAACAGGACAACCCTCAGCAAGCCGCATAGCGGAGCCGCCATTAGAATTAAAATACACATGACGGTGTAAGTTTAACCCATACTGATGTAGTGAAGAAGAAAGAAGAAAACGAGCCTCCGCAACGTAAGAAGAGATTTTATGGCCTGCAAAGGGTGGGGCCGATTGCGATTGGGCGCTAGGGCTGCCGCCGCTTCTGTTTCTCCGGCCCGACCAGGTCAGACCCCAGGTCCGTGCTCAACTCCAGGATCCACTTGCCGCTAAGAGACCCCAGCCAGTACCACTACATGACGGCACGCCATTTGTTATGGATGATGTAGGTAGCTGTACGGATTGTCTGAGATCAACAAACGGCAGGAGCAACAGTCGAGTGAGCTTTCAGGGAACGCATGCAAGTGTTGTGACGATGACGCGCGCCGCACCTGCATCTCTGACCGCAGAGGTCAAGCTTCTTGTTCACCTCCCCCCCGTGTAGCCAACTCTCCGACTCGCAACCTTACAACATCCATCAAAATACAGCAGACAATCAGTCAGTGCAAGAAAACATGGCGCCGGTGCCGCTAGAACCGGAAGTAAAGTGCGTTATGCCCTGGCTGAAGATCTAATAGAGAGTTTTTACCTAATACAGTCTTCAGGTATCTGCCTTTGAGCCTTGTCGGTGGTCACGCACTTGCAGTGCTCTATCTCGGCTTCACTGTCGCTCAAAGCCTGTACAAAGCGTATCACGATCAGCCGCCGTCTCAGATGACAAGAGCAAGACTTGATCGACGCGCCATTCTTGCACCTCTTTTTGCATGCTTGGCTCTCGTCAGCTTGTATTTTGCAGGCTACTGGACATTGAGCTACGCGAAGCTCTCATATCGCGTCTGGGCGGATCAGCGAGGAGTTGAAGCCCCGGTTCGGTTCGTTTGGCCCTGTGGCCTAGCTTCTTTGTCCCAATTACTCACCATCCTTTAGCTTCTATGGCGATCATGGTCTCTTCCCCAGCCAAAATGCGACTCGGGTTTATCCTGGTCGCTGGCTGACAGATACTTCAGTCCACATGGACGCTCTGGAGATCGTCGCGGAGAAGACTCGCCGGTTTTGGTGGGGACAGCAGATCGAACTTGCAACGATCTCGTGGAGCTTGTTGCTGGTTGTTGAAGGGCGACGGCGGAACATTCCTTTTGTTTGGGCCTATCTTGCCTTGGCACATCTCGTCAGCTTGTCTTTCGCCCAGAACCTATTTTATTTGGCACTGCTTCTCACGCCAGCCTCAAGCGCTACTGGACATCAAGAGCGCCCGACTTCTACAGTTGGACGTTTGCGCCACAAATTATTTCCCCCGAAGCCTGCAAACTGGCTCCCACACCCCGCATTACTCTTGGCTTCGTTCTGCACTACGTATGTTCTGATCCACTGGGCACCCTCAACGGCAGGCACAGACACGTTTGCCAAGATTGCAGTGGCCGGGCGGATGCTTTCGTTTGCTCCCGTTGTTATTCCCTCCGTGGTTCCGGCCAGCTGGGGAACAGTGTACAGCGACCCTCATGGGGCATACGGTATCTTCGTTGAACTCTTCCGATTCGTTTCTACGACAAGTTTCGTTTTCCATGCTAAAGGGACCGCACTTGGTCTGCTCTACAACACGCCGGATGCCCACTTCCACCGCCACAGTCGATTCCTACCCTTTGACAAAGGCCAACGCTCGACTTGGGAGCGGACAACAACGGCGATCGGCAAGGTTTTGGGATCGGCATCCGATCACCCTGTTGTAGCTGCTGTGGCATGGGACGTTTTGCTCAGTGGGGCCAGTCAGGGGTTGTGGGCAGCAGTGCGTGCGTTGGATGTAAACGACATTCTAGCCTCCGCAACTCCGTTCGTCCAGAAGGATCTTTCGAGGGCGCAGTCATCACCCGGGCTGCTAGAAGAAGCCGATAAACCAACGCCGGAACCGGAATCGGCTAGCCACGCCGGCGCTAGTACCATCCGACGCAGGGGCCGCCCACCAAAAGCCAAGTCTGAAGAGATGTCAATTTCAGAGACGCCTGGGTCTAGAAGCATCCGCCGAGGGCGACCCCGAAAGCACACAGCAAAACCCGAGGAGGCGCCGGAAGATGATGCCTATGAGCCGAGCCCGGCAGAAAGCCGTGCTGCGGTGGAGGGCGACGAGCTGCCTGATAGCGATCTGGACTGGGAGTCCGCAGCTTTGGCATGGGGTCTCACAGCTTTGGGCGGGCTTGGATCGAGCAGTGCTGGTGTATTCGGGGCCGAGTGCATATCTCGGTAAGCTAGTGAACAGTAAATCCAGAGCAGTGTGAGTAGGGTAGAGACGGGTCTGCTACGCGATGCATCACTTTCAACAAATTCGAGTGGAACTAGGTAGGGCATGACTACCTGTGGGCCTGAAAGCCGCCAGGGGAATCGTGACTTGGTTTATGGTAAAGTTCCGTAAAACCTAAGAGATTTTTGGAGATAGAGATGTAGGAACCGATCTTCTTTCGTCTAATACGTGCGTGTTTTCTGCTTACCCAAAGTCGCTGCTTACGGCGGTAGCGTATTGTATGTGACTGGTCTGCCTAGCACCCGAACGAGACATGGCTTGAATCCGAGCCTTGGCCGCGCTAAGCGGCTTAGTCGGGACCGTAGGAGGATGCTCTGGCTTTTCTGAAAGAAAGCAGCTTGGGATAGCCAGCTTCTAGAACAATGAGTTTCCGAGACCGGGCTGAGGCCGTCGAAAGACCGTCACTCCGCCACGTTGGCGATCTTTTCGCCCAGCAGCGAGAAGAGAGGCCTACCACTTCCGGCCATTTCCGCTAACCACGATGGAGCTTGGACTTGAACAATGGCTAAGCTAGAGAGGGCTTTGGGAAAGCGTTGCCCCGCATCCGCAGCAGCACCCTCGCGTGCGCACATAAGCTGGAATGGCGCTGTGACCTATAGGAAGCTTACCACTCAAACACGCGTAATAGCGTGGTGTCAGAGGTTGATCCCCGGCCCGGATGTTGTCCTGTTAATATATGAGGTGACAGCCTTGCATATGGTTTGCGGGTAGTGGAGGCAGCGGCCAATATGCAGATATCGGCTTCAACGGTGCTTGCTTTGCGCTTGCCACATCCGGCTCTCTCCCGGGCTACCAAAGGTTTTCGGCCTTTGATCACGCCTTTTTAAATAACATTAGATCTCCCCCTTTATGATTCACGATCGGCCCTTTGAAGCATCGCATACAACGCCGGGGAAAGAGTTGAGTCTACCTCACCAACAACACCTCTTACACAAACATCCACCGACTCGAACAATTAGTACTTGGCACCATAATACTTGCCTCATCATCACTCGCTCTCCGGAAGCCCATCTGTTACAAAACACACACACGCAATGGCTATTCGAGACCACTTTCGCCGGCGCAAGTCTGTCTGCGATCCCAGTCAAAGTGAGCGGCACAGCTCCACACCACCGAAGTCGCACGCCCTCCGCCTGGCCAAGACATTCGGCTGGCGCTCAACGAAAGACGAGAAATCCAAGAAGAAGCCCATGAAGGAGAAGAGCGACCCGCGCGAGCGGCCCTTCAGCGAAACCAACCTCAGACACCAGGAGATCCTCAACGGCTTCACCATGACTTTTGGGAAGAACCACCAGCAGATGAGCCGCGACCAGCGGTCGAGCTACATCAGCGTCAACGTCAGTCCTGGCACGTCACGGCATAACAGTGTGGACGTGGACGACAGCCCTCTCAGAATGAACCCACTGCCCCGCAAGCGGCAGTGCCGGTCCGTGCCGGAAGAGGACAAGAGATCCTGAGCGTCGGCGAGGAGCTCCTTTTATATCCGGGACTATTTAGACGAGAGGTTATTAGTGAGGTCACGTCCGGTAGATATGGCATTGAAGCACATTTCGGCATCGACTCGGAGTTTTGGATTTCTGGGGGGGGGGGCAAATCGCCCCATCTCGCCTATGGTGGGTGAGGCAAAAGTGTGCGAGCATTGTTATCCTAATAAGAAGACTCGAGCCATAGTTATTAGGCTGACGAGGAGGCTGTATGAGCATATTGATATCACTTAGATTTACAGAGGCTGCAAGAAGCAGGATTTAATACCCCACTTGGATGTCAACGACAACCATAAGAAATTCTACTTCATTTATCATACAAACACGGCGTTGCCGAATCCTTCTCCGCAAAATACATCACAAATGCCATAGACCTGGAGTCTTACCGCTACGGTAACAACTTTGGATATACTGTGGAATACTAAGCTTGTTACTCCCATGACAAAGTAATGTTCACGTACCTTGGTCTGGGATTACAGCATCACAGGCCCGGAGAACAACCTCTGGCTGCATTAGGCCTCCTCATAAGGCTTTGGGACACTTGCAGTGCTTTTATCATGGATTAAAATACTCACAGAGTGGCAGGTATGTATCAGCGGAACAATATCTACCTACTCATATCATTCCTTGCTTGCCCTGTTCTGTCTTTGTTCACTGTATAACTTTGTATGAGGTTTTCATCCTGTAGTTAAGAGAAGAAGTTATCGGTGCGCCTATTTAGCCTCGTCGTATTCAGTTTTGTTTAGGTGCTGCGATTCAGAACTAGTCATCTTGAGTAAACCCACCTCTTGCTGTTGGGTTTGATGGCAGTGACTGGCATTCGATCATCTGATCCGATCTCCCCTTCTCCTCACCCATCGCACCTTCTCTTCCCGCACCTACATCACCCGAAGATTCACATTGGGTACTTATCTCCTATTTCCTCCACAAAACTTCCTCCTATTTTCCTCATCACAAATCCAACTTCAAGCCCGGTAGTTTTTCACAACAACACAAACTCGACCTTAAAACCAGGATTTCATAGCCCATCCGTGGCAATCCCTTCATTCTACCCGCCAAACGCTTTCGCCATCTCGTGCCTGCCTTAGCGAACTGGCACTACACGTACACTCTTTCCTCCTCGGCTCACAAAACCATTCCCCTTTTTCACCCTCAACACTACAAGTCACCGAGCTAACTCTGCATCAGAGCCACTGGGTGAGTGCCACTGAAGCAAGCGCAGCCGTGTTATAAGTCATTTCTCATGGTTTGAGCGTAGGTAAGTTCTCAGTGCTCATTTGTCACCCCTGCCACAACTTGTCAACCGTGCTGCACCTGTCTCTGGGGGTATCACAGACATTAAGAAAATTTATCACGCATCTTCACTCAACTATTTCCCTTCTTTACCCCTAACAAACTTGACCTTGGACTGATATTATACAGACTCACTTGGTAGAGTATTCGCCAAGACATAAAACTTCACTGACCCCTATTGGATTTCACGCTCAATAGGACAACTGTGACGCACCTGCAGTAACGTATCTGTTTTGATTGTGCATCACGGTCGACCTCACAGGTATGGATTCATCACGCCTTTCAACATCTTTGTCCTAGCATCACCTTCCACACTGTCTCTTCATATTGCCTTTACATCTCTCACCAACTACAGCTGTTGTATAATTACAGCATTGCATTCACTTTAACAACATTCAAGACAATTCATTAGCTGATACTTGATAGTACAGCCTGCAATACGGTCGGCTTGCTCTTAAGAACCACACACAGCTTCACTACCCGCCTTACCAATCACGCCTACTGGAGAATGCGCTTTGGGCATCCTTTTATTTCTACTCTCAAGCCTTTCAGCAACTCTTCCCATCCGAAAGAAGACACTAGCTTTATTCTGTGAAGAAAAATTCGGTCTTACATCAAGCTCTTACAAACATAAGAGTGATTAATACCCGATCGATTCAGCATAAGAGCTCTGAAAGAAACAACACGCATCAATCCTCAGTGCCCTTCAAAGCATTGAATCGCCAAGATGGTACTCACAATGGATTCTTGGTTTGCCCTGAGAATGTTTAACGTCCCTCAGCGCCTGGGCCTCTCAGAAAACGCCAAGGTGATGCTGCAGGCTCTCGAAGACCACAAGTGCAGATCCCTCGAGGAGGCTGAGATCGGCCGCATGCTGCGTCTGAGCCCTGGCAGACGCCTGTCTATGATCGAAACCATCCGGAAGTGCACCACCATGATGGCGAAGAAGCAAGAGGAAGTTGCCGTCTGTGTCTTGGTCATTCAGATGTGCACCGAGGTCTTGGAGATTGCCAGTAAGTGTCTCTGCCAGTGTCCCCCTCTGCTCGTGTTGCAAGTTCAGGACTGGAACTGACGTTTGCGCTACAGATCGCCCTCCTTCCAACACTCAGTTCCCCTTCATGAAGCTGCCCCGCGAGATTCGAGCCCGTGTGTTGGGCATGATCATCGACGCCGGTCCCAAGAGCTGTCGTCTGCCCCCGGTTAAGCGTTCTCAGCAGTATCACCCATGCAACTGTGCCAACCCGGAGAGGCGCCATGTGGAATTCCTGACGCCCAAGCAGTGGGCAACGTATAAGATTCTCGGCAAAGCGCTGCGTGAAGAGTTCTATCCTATCTTTTACGAGCGACAGACCCAATACTTCACTTGCTGCTGCGATCTTCTCAGCCAGCTTCAAGCCAACCGGTGCCTTCGAGACTACCTGCACAAGGCTGAGATTCACTGGTGCGGTCCCAAATCTGACAAAGCGTTCAAGGAGTTGGCAAAGTGCCCCAACCTCACGGAGTTGACCATCAAGCTCTCCAAGGGTACCACTGCCATCCTCAATGACCGCGAGGAGAAGCTCCAACCTTTATTCCCCCTCAATTACAGGAGCAGGAGGATCACTGACAGCCTTGGAGCCGACGAGCTCTTTGCCATTCGAGGTGTCAAGGTGGTGGATGTCCAGCATGTCCAATCGGCTCAGAAGCTTCAGCTGAACGACTTTGAACGCCAGGGTCTACACTCAGCCCTGGAGGTCACCGTCTTGCACCCCAGGCAGTGTATCCACGAGAGCTTTCGACCGCTCCCTTCCTACTAAGCAGAAGCATTCGGCAGAATGACATTCCAGCCTACCATCCAGGTTCCCGATTTGTCAACTATGTTGACGATGAATGGGGGTGAAAGGTTGAGTACGGAACAAGACTGAGGCCAGCAGAAGAGGCTGGCCGGCAGTCTCTGCTTTGATGCGGAACAAATTGAGGAACAAGACTCTAATTGGCAGCCGACAGCATGCGGGCCACTACTTTGATTCGAAACTGGGGTATAGGAGTTTATAGGCTTGATTTTGAGGACTTTGCTAGCCGTCCCCTTCTTTAGGTAGGAAGACAGGCCATAATGAAACAGAACAATCATTGCATCATGAGAAAACAAGAAATGCCTGACACCAAGGAGATGTGACAACAGATAAATTACGCAAGCCTTCACTTCAACAATAAAGGTTACGCACTCAAAAAGCATTGTCTGGAGGTTGATCTTGTCTCATACAACCGCACACGAGGCACGGTGTATCCGGCTCAAGATCAGAAGTCGAAGAGGCTAATCTGACCGAGCAATGGCAAAAGACGGAGTAAAGGCTCTGGACCTTCATGACTTCAAGGGCTGGTTTGTTTGTTCTCTCGACTCTACAAGCAGGCAGTACCTACCTTTTCCCGTGGCAGCATTCTGTCTATTGCTCTTTTTCGCCGACAGCCCCGTCTTTTTTTTTCCTTGTCAGGTCGGGTATCATAGACCGGTTGACACGGATGAAAGAGTGTTTGCCTCGGTAACATCAAGAGCTGCGTCGCCGGTTGCGATGGCAATGCAAACGAAGCATGTCAGAGTAGCAAGGTAAGAGCAACAGCAACAGCAAAAGGATGAGGAAGACGACGAGTGAGGAAGGAAAAAAAAAACTTTTAGCCGAGAAAAAGAAAAGTCGCGGTGCGCCTTCTTGGCCAGCAGGGTAGCTGCACTGGCCAAGAAGGTGGGCCACACTGTGTTTGCCCGGCCAGAGGTGTGTGTTTGGGAAGGAGTTGGCGATCGCTGTCGTAGGAGAGATTATTGGCGGTAATAGCGGGAATACGGTCTGCCTTTATCCGTACTGTGCCAATGATGGGCAACTCGATGATTACACTGTGTCCGGGTAGGTGCTTCCTTCCCCACAAAGAGGTGGTCTGGTCGCGTGTTAGTTATCCTTTTTAAGAACTCGCGACCCAAACAAGGGTTTATATAAAGGGGACCAGCCTGGTGTCATCTGGGAGGGTCGCCCAGCTTGCTAACTCGCTTGCTGAGTGGTTCATATCCCCCTCCATCTTGTCGATTTCTTTCCCATAAAGGGCCTAATGCAATGCAGTCCTTCTTCCTCTCCCAAGGCTCACTCCCCTTCCTTAGCCCAAGCCGAGGAAATGGGGTCTTCCCACGTAGCGGCCTCTTGGCAGCGCCAGACCTGTCATCCTTCCGCTCCTTGGCCTCGAGGCTCTTGGCTGCTGCTGGGGTTATAAGGCAAACATCAGCCGCGCTCGCGTGCTTGCTTGGGTAGTCGTCCCAATTCTGTTCTTCTAATTTCGCCACTGCTTGATCTCGTATTCTCCCCATCCCCTTGTCTCGTCGAGTCCTGGCCTTGGGAGCGACGATATCACGAGTGTCTTACCGCCCCATACTTGGAAGCACGCTACCAAGCAGCCCGGAGCGGGTTACCACTGGGGGGAAGACAATGCGGATTCCTGCTGACAGCCGCCGCCGCCGCCATCAGTCGGAACTCCCATTCACACACCGCGCTGTCCTTTGCCGTCCATCGTGCCGCAGCCCCTGATGCTCCGAGTCCAGAAACTGGCCGCCTCGGCCGGAGCCTCGACTTTCCTCCGAAGCCTACCGCGGGTTTCTCTCGCGATACTGCTTCTTTCCGTCATCTATCAGTATTTCGGTTACGGTACGGTCCAAGCAGTTCCCCAGCCGTCCTCACCTTCAGGGCCCTGGACGTGCCCAAACCGAGTCAACCAAGCTGACATGAATTTCAGGTCAACATGATCCCTTCAACTGCAATGCCCTCCTTTCCAGCGGCACATGGCGCTCCAGGGCTGGCTCCAATCTACCCCAAGATGTCTTTTCCAAGTGGGAGCCCGACGGCTGCAGGATGCGCGTCATGTCCCGAGATGATATCTCGAGCTGCTTCAAAGATCGTCGCCTGGTCGTCGTTGGCGACTCGACGATGCGTCAGATCTACTTCGCTGCCATGACACGCCTCGACCATCACGTCGCCGAGAAAGCCATCCTCGACTTTGCCGTCTCTGCTGACAAGCACCAGAGTCTATCAAAGGAGGTTGATGGCGTCAAACTTGAGTTTATATGGGACCCGTGGCTCAACTCTACTGGCCTTCTCAGCCAACTGGTCCGATTCCGGGAACGTCCCGGTTCCGTCGACTACGAGAGGCTAGTTCGACAAGAAGGGAGAGACTCGCCCGCCCTGATCGTCGTTGGCACCCCAGGTCTGTGGGCGGCCCGCCAGGGCGGTGGTCGGTACTTGGAGCTCTTCAGGGAAGGCATCAACGTCCTTATGCCGTACCTGCAAAATAGCATCAACGAGCTGATGGTCTTGCCCGAGAGCAAGTCGCCGTCAGCCTTCGACGAACTGTCCAATCATGTGCTTATCGCACCTGTGCCTATCCCAGCCTACGACAAGCTCACCTCGTCCCGCGCGCGAACCATCACGCCAGAGAGGATCGACGCTATGAATTGGAACCTAGAGCATTTGGAACGGTCTGAGCAATCGCACATTGTTTGGAGTTACCATGCCATGACGGAGAATTACGACAGCGCCGTGCTCGAAGACGGTATTCACGCCGTCGACATCGTCGCCGAGAGGAAGCTCGACGTCGTTCTCAATACCCACTGCAATGCCGGGTTGATCAGACAAGGATACGCCAACCAGATCACCTGCTGCGTGCCATATCCCCCTCTTGGACGGGTGCAGCTTCTACTCCTTTGTCTCAACGTAATGACTTTGCCTCTTATATTCCTGAGCCGGCAACAGGATGCGTTTCCGTCGTCTCGAACATCACGCGTCATGGACATTCTTACGGCGGTAGCCACGTTACTCGTTGTTGCAGTATACTGCCTTGTCGCCGACCGGACTCATGTCCTTGCGAAACAGGATAAGCAATTTGACGTGCCCGACTTCATCACGCCCTTGATCGGTCTCGCCGTGCTTGCGGCGCTGTCTCTTCGCTCTAGAGCACCCGTCTTGACATCAGCGAGGGGTTTCACAACGACATCGTTCCTGTCTCGTGAGCAGGCGGATGAATGGAGAGGCTGGATGCTAGTGTTCGTTCTGGTGTACAATTATCACGCAGCATCCGAGTCCTTGGCGATGTATAAGGTACACAAGTTTCTCATCGCAACTTTCATCTTCCTGTTCGTCTACGGTCACACGATGTACTTCCTTCGGACCGAGGACTACTCGCTACGCAGAGTTGCGTATGTGTTGTGTCGACTCAACTTGCTCACCTGCCTCCTGGCCTTTACAATGTCCAGCGAATGGATTATCTACACCGCGCCGTTGATGACTTTCTGGTTCGGCATCACCTTCGTATCCTTGGCATGCTGCAAGAAGCTGAACAGCAACCCTGTGGCCTTTTTCCTGAAAACCGTGGCCTTTGCCACTTGTACGGTCTATCTGGTGGAAAGCACGCGCGCCCCAGAGCGGCTCATGTCAATGCTCAAAGCAATTTGCGGTATCTACTGGGACTTGAGCATTCTTCGCCGGCACTTTGAAACGGATCGCTTCATCCCGTGGTTTGGCATACTCACAGCTGCAGCCACACATCGGGTCTCGGTCCTCAGGCGTCGTCAACACGGCATCAACGCTCAGGCGTTGTTCGAAAGAACCAATAACGCGCTCGACCATGCATTGTTGGAGATTGTCCATCCCGAGCGAGACGCGATACCGGTGAAGCCGATAATGATCCTCTTCTCCTTTGCCTACCTCGTTATTTTCATTATACTCGCCTTCGTTGCCGGGGTCTACCGTAACAACAACTCGTACAACGCTTACCATCCATACACCAGCCCATGGTTTGTGCTGTCAGCCATCATCGCAAGGAACTCATTCCGATCTCTGCGCGAGCTTCACGTTCCGCTTGCGGCAGTCCTGGGACAGATGTCTCTGGAGCTTTACGTTTTGCACCATCACGTCTGGCTTGCAAGTGATGGAGCGGGAGTCTTGAGGATCGGAAACCGAAGCCATGTCCCCAGAGGAGTGGAGGTGATGATCATTGCCGTCGTCTTCCTCTGGGCTTCGTCCAAGTGCCACAGATCCACGCTGATCATCGTCTCCGGACTGATTGGCACGTGGAAGGAGCCGACCAAAGATGGCTCTCTGAGTAGGACACTGCCGGTAGTTAAGGACGATAGGAGAAGTCCTGTTCCCTGGCAGAATACAGCGGCGGCGGAGAAGGTAGTAGAAGGAGGCAATGCAGACATCTCATCCGTTTCGCCCAGCACCTTGCGACTAAGGATCGCGGGCTTGCTGGCTGTGCTGTGGTTCGGAAACATGCTTTGCAGCGGTTGATAGCAGTTGCACGATCGCGAAGCCGGAAGGGAGGAGTCTCTCTCAATTGACCGGTACACCGCACATCAAAAGTATAGTTGATAGCAGTAATAATCAGTCAAGAAAAAAACGGCGCAGAATTGCATATGACAAATTCGCCAGCTCCGGGGTGGCGGCTCCTTGCATAAACGTGTCTGCTCTTTCAGACAGGGACAAGGATGAGGTCCTCACATTTGCGTTTCGAGTTTGCTCCATCCACCGGCCGTCAGATCCCAATCTGGCCAAGCAAAAAGTTTTGCAGACTTCGTTCGCCAAGGTGCCATCGGAGTTTTAACACAATTCATGCTTTAACCTTCTGGGATTTTGACGTGGGCGCGTTGGCTTGAGCCTAACTCAAAAGGGCACTCTAAACCCCCAAGTTTGAAGGTGCTGGGCCTCATCTCGAAGAGCCGCAAAACCAGGCCGGGTATCTCTCTGGACTTTTCTCGGCGATCGCCCGATCGGAGTTGATGGTTGTTAAGTAGCCGCCTCGTTCTTTGTTCTCCGTTCTCGCTGCGATCCCTCTTAATAGGTTGATCATAAGCGAGCCCCGAGACAAGCACGGATGTGCAGATGCGTCGCCGGGTATTGTCGCGAAGAGTTGCCTCGAGTTCGTCGCATGGCCCTGCTGCCGCCCTTGCATCCGATCCTGACTCGCGAGAAAAGAGCAGCCAGAGGCGAGAGAGCCATTTCCCGAGTGCCAGCAAGCATAGCACCCAAGTGAAGGGTTCCTTTGCTGATGTCCGTTTCGGGCATGGTCGAGAGGTCGGGGGCAGGAGGGGGGAAGAGGAGACCCGTTGGCACCATAAGCGATCGGGTGCCAATTCCGAAACTCGTCCTGTCCTTTATGGGACGATGACTGTGCGTCTTTTTTGACAGGTGGGATGGCGGTAGGGTATGGGACGGTCGAGATGGCTGAAGCGTAACGTCACGCGGCTTCCGACGCCGGATGGAAGGCCAGGGAGAGTTTTGCGAGACTGGCCTCTCTCGAGTGGCTTTTACCCCTCTCTCGAACAGCCTCCTCCTTGTCGATGGAACTGGAACACCCCCCACCGAGTCTGTATCCTATCGACGTCTTCGTTCGACGTATCCAGTCGCGTTTCTAGATGCTCATCCCAAGGCTTTACTCTTCTGGGCCGGGGCCGGGGTGGATGACGAGACGATGTCTACTAGATCACCCTGTCCCGCCCATCCTGAAAGTCTGTGCCTCACTCGCTTGATATGAAGTGGTCATGTTGTGGAAAGACGGGACTGTAGCTTCCGGCGGCAAAAGAGATTCATCGACAGATGGCGAGAAATGCGCCACCACCTGCGTCTCTGACGAATGGCATCAATGTTTCACTCGTGGACGCGGGCTCTGTCGCCCATCATCATCGTGACGGCAGATCAGAGTATATCATCGCCCTCGCCAAAGATGATCTGTCGGCTGTCGCCTCGACTTTCCCTGTTGTTCTCCATCTCGCCGTCTTCCTTTTTCTTGTCTCTCACATTGCCGTCTTCTCTTCGCCCGTGAGCCCCAGAGGCCACCCTCGTTGTTTCTCAAGTCCTTCTGAACGTTATCATCATCGGGTTCGAGTCGGCTGTGCCTTCGACACTCTTTGGTTCCTTTCCTCCTTCCTTCTCGCCCCATATTATTCCATAATAGCCGCGTGAGCCTCCGAGAGCCATGCATCTTAAGCACATCGTTGCCGCCCTGGTGGCCTTCAGCTCTTTGGCAGCTGCCGGTGAGTCTCCGAGCGCGACGAATTTGACTGAGGGCCAGGCTGAACCGTGACCGTCTCGCAGCACCCGCACAAGACTCGAAAGCCGTGGTCAGGAGAGAGGATCCGAAGCAGAACAAGGACCAAGGTCAGGCCAAAAACAACAACAATAACAACGACAAGAACAACAAGAACAACGACAAGAACAACGACAACAACAACAAAAACAACAATAACATCAATAACAATAACAACAACCGCAATGGGAACATCAACATTATCCAGAACATCATTAGGCCCAACATCATCGTCGTCCAGGAGAACCTTGCTGCGATCGACCAGCTTCAGCGGCAGAATGAAGTAGCGCTTGCGGCGTTGGTGCAGTCGCAGCTCGCGCTGGTGACGCAGCTGCAGACCGTCAAGGACAACATCCGGGTCAACCACTTCAAAGCGCTGTTTCCTCAGGCGGTGAGTTTCCCTTGCCTTCTGTCGAAGGACAGCCATACCTGCGGGTTCGAGACGGGCACAGGAATGCTGATAAAGGCTGGCCCGCGATATAGAACACCGTCATTGTCACCGTCACCAATCTAGTGGACAGCAGGAATCAGGGACAGCAGAACCAGCGGTACCTCGTCAACCAGCTGCTCGCCGACAACGGCGCCCCAGGTAACCAGACTCTCGTCATGGTCACAGACCCGACGCCCATGCAGATCTCAACGGAGCAGGCGGCCTCCTCGCAAGCAAATGCCTTTGGCGCCGCCAATGTTCAGTTGGAAAATGCCCCGGCCGTCGGACCCAGCAACTCCAGCAACCAGGCCGCCGGCGGGGACCCCAACGCGGCGCTCAACGACAAATCGATCAACCTGGCCGCCTTCGACCAGTCGGCGCCCTTCGGCCAGATCGGGCAGTCTGTCATCCTCCCCGCCGGCACGCTGGCCCCGCAGCTGGCCTCGGTGCCCGACCCGGCCTCCATCATCCTCCCCGGGCAGCAAGGGCTCTTCGTGCAAAACGCGGCGACGTTCCTCTCCGACTGCGCGACGTCGGTGGCGGGCGGGAACCAAGTCCTGGCCGGAGTCGCGGCGCAGGTCTTCTCGTCGTTTCAGCAGATCGCCGCCGCGCAGCTCGCGGGGCTTTCAGGCCTAGGCATCTACCCCGCAAACCAAGGGCAGAAACCGCCGCAGGCGGTACCGCCTCCCGCGCAGGCACAGCCTGCGGCCGTTCAGCCTCCTGCGCAAGCCGTGGTGCAGCCTCAGGCGAGCGCTCCGGCTGCTCAGGCCGCGGCCCCGGCTGCGGCCCCGGCTGCGGTTCCTGCTGCGGCTCCGGCTGCAGCACCGGCCTCGGCACCGGCTCCGGCACCACAAGCAGCCAGCGGGTCTGGTGTAGTCGTCGTGGGATCGACCGCGGGAGGGGCGAGTGCTGCCCAACCCCAGGCCGCCCCGGCTGCGGCGCCAGCTGCAGCATCCCAGCCGGCGTAATGATGGGCATGACACGTCGGAACGGAAGTCATATCGGGATTTGGGAAGGGAACGAGGCTGATGGGTATATTTGTTTGGGTCACACGGGGCGTTGGTCCAGGGAGTCATGAAAGAGAAGGGAATAGTGGATTAATATATGACTTCAGAATGCGCCACGATGGTGCCTCATTCCAAGTACGTAGTGTATAAGCTTCAGTAGTAATGACTCAACACATTGTACGAGGCGCAATGGGAAAAGTACGGGAGTTCTGGCTCTGGGCAAAGTGCCTTTAGCAAATGAGCATTTACCTAGTGAGGCAGTGTAGTATCGTGAGATGTCTGGACATCTGACAAGGTAACGGCTTCGTATAAACACGCTTGTGTCGGCAGCACGCCAGAGCATTACGAAGTACGTTCATGGCCAGAGTGGTAGCATTACTGCCATCCAACACTACTCAATGTGGGAGGTACGGTGCGTATCGCTGCAGATGACGGCCGGAAGGTCTGGTCCTGGGCAGTACGCCGGGTACTCTTGGAACAGAGAGGCAAGCAGCAAGTGCCTTATGCCGTGTGTGCCAAAGAAGTACGAAACGAAGCCGGTATGAGAAGGATCGGTGCTGGCTTGAGTAGAGAAACAGAGACAGGAGATAAATGGGCGAGGAAATGAAGCGGTAGCTTACTCCGGGTCCGTCGTCTTCTCAGAGCCGGAGGGGTGTGGCCAAGGTACACGAGATTCCCGGTCTGTCACTCAAAGACGTCGGATCCATGGAGTCGGAAGCATACGTTCGAGGCCTTTTCTCAAGAGACCCAAGTGGTGGGAAGGAAGGAAGGAAGCTACGTACGCCCTGACCAATCGAGCTCCAATCCCTGCCAGCGCGCCTCTGCCACTTTGCAACGCCTCGGTGGAGACCATCTGGCCAATAGGAGCACCGGGAAAAATTCTGGTGGGAAACAGGCGCCGGACAATCACGTGACCCTACCCTACCGAGCCCACGCCCAAAAAATTGTCCCCGTTCCCTCCACCACCGTCGATTCGCACCAGAGTCTAACCTTTCGACCGATCCGTCGTCAATCAACAAACTTCCCGACATCTAGGAGCAGCCTTCGTACGACAGTTGCCCAGCATGTCGCTCGTCTCGGGGGAGAAGTGTTCGTCCTGCCTTTACGGTTCCCAGAACAATGCGCGATTGCTAACCATCTGGCTGCAGCGAACTTCCAGTTCATTCTCCGTCTTCTGAGTATGTACTCCCCCTCAATCGCCACACCCTCACCACCCCATCGAAGGGGCCGACGACCCGTCCCCGATCGCGATGCAGTAGTCGACAGCTGGAGGAAGGAAACCGGTGGCTAACGTGTATTTGCTCGCAGACACCAACGTTCGTGGTCAGGAGAAGGTCATGTACGCGCTCACCAAGATTTCTGGTGTTGGTCGTCGTTACTCCAACATTGTGTGCAAGAAGGCCGATGGTACGTCCGCGAATCCCGTCCCCCGCAGAATCCGCACACGAGGACTGCGCTGGAACACCCCTCCTTTGAGAAGAAGTAGAAGAAGAAAAAGAAGAATGGGAAATATTGAAGAACAGAAGAGGGCGGCCGCTAACCCGTCTTTAACAGTCGACCTGAACAAGCGCGCCGGTGAGCTCACCTCGGAAGAGCTCGAGCGTATCGTCACCATCATCCAGAACCCCACCCAGTACAAGATTCCCGGCTGGTTCCTCAACCGTCAGCGCGACATCGTCGACGGCAAGGACAGCCAGATCCTCGCCAACGGCGTCGCCTCCAAGCTCCGCGACGACCTCGAGCGCCTCAAGAAGATCCGCGCCCACCGCGGTCTCCGTCACTACTGGGGCCTCCGCGTCCGCGGTCAGCACACCAAGACCACCGGCCGCCGCGGCCGCACGGTCGGTGTCTCCAAGAAGAAGGGTGGTTAAGCGTTACGTTACCGAGGATGATAAAAACGGGGGTTTTGGCGTGGGGGGGGAACAACAATCATGGCGGCGCGATACGGCTGGACGTTTTCTCTCCATTCTCATCACTTCTCATGATGACAAACTCTACTGCTGGCATTACAACGAGGGGATTGCTATTCTGCGCAGGATGGTGGCGTCTCTAGATACCGAATCGGAAGAGTCCATCATACCAAAAAACAAAAAGCTGAAAAAAGTACAAACTGTCCCCACGTGATGTGTTGATATGCAGTGACGGCTGCGTCCGAGTCTCGCCCTGCCCTGGTCACGCCAGATGCGACAAGTAACGTGCTACAGCTCACTCACTTTGAGAGTACTGGGTAGACCAGAACCACGTATATTTCTCTAGAGACTCTTACGACTCTGCACCGAAGCGTGGGCAGGCAGGTTGGTGGGAGCAGTGACATGCCAGAACATGCTCGCTTGACGGACGGCCAGCTTTTCCCAAAATCTGTGCGACTTGCAAGCGAGGCCCGGAGCCCACCGCGTGCCGGGTCCGCTCCGTGTCCGGGGTCTGTGGGATTATTACGACGCACCTCGGGCGGGAGAAGTGCCCCCCCCGTATGGATGACCGGATCCCAACCTCAAGGGGGTGCGGTGTGGTGCAGTCGAGCTTCTTCTCTCAACAAGGTAAAACAAACTCATGCCCGCCATTCCCACCCCGGCCCTCCCCCCCTCCTTCGGGACCCCACGCGCTCTTACGGAGAGACACGGCCGGCGTACCCCCCCTCCAACATGACGAGAGCATTCGACTCGGGTGGCTTCGGGAGGACGACAAGACGGCTTGCGATGTCATTCATACCTCTGTGGTCAGAAACGTGGCTTATTATTGTATGTTGATTGGTATGGTGTTAGGGCTGCAGCGGTGCTGGAGCCGCCTAGGACGAATCTTACGTTGGTGCATGCCGTGAAAAGCCCAGAACGTGAGCAGACTTTTGTGAAGGACGTTGTTTTCTCCGTCAAGCAGCTGCTAAAGACCCTTAGTCTAAGGGGTATCGATAATCACGAAGCCCATCCCCCCCCCCCCCCCCCCCCCCCCCCCCCCCACCAAACCCGTGCCGGAGCCGCAAGCGACGCCCCCCTCCCTCCGCATCTCATCAGTCCTCGTGAATGACGGCCATATCCAGAACCTCGACCCTGCCCATCCCCTTCGTCTCCCCGGCGATGAAATCGCCCAGCCCCTTGAACGCTCCCGGCTCCACAAACCCGACGACCTCCCACTCGCTGCCCAGCACGTCCTGGCTCTCGATCTGCTCCACGAACCCGAGGATCCGATCCTTGACCGTGCCGGGTTTCTGCTTCGGTTCGTCGCCGTCGCCGTCGTCGCCGCCGCCGCCGCCACCACCACCCCCCTTGCCCTTCTCCTTCCCGGCGGCGGGCTTTTCCTTGACGGCCTGCTTCAGCACGCTCGTCGCGCACGTCACCCTCAGCCTCATCCGCGCCCGCTGCACGGGGATCGGCTGCGCCGCGATCAGCGCCTTCATCGCCTCCAGCGCCTGCGACTTGGCCGACTTGGTCGTCGTCACGCCCGTCCAGTGGAACCCCTTGTCGCGCGGCTTTGCGTCCCCCTCCTCTCCGCCCGCGGGCGTCCCCGCGCCGCTCGCCGTCTTGGACCCGGCCTTCTTGGCCTCCCCGCCCTCCTCCCCGTGCGCCGCGGACGACAGCATGTCCAGCGCTTTTTCGATCATGCCCGTCGTGTAGACCCTCTTGGTCCTCGGGTCCACGAGCCGGCTGGCGACGATCCCAATGACCTCGTTGTGCACCCGCTCCAGCTGCTCTGCCCTCTCCTTCCCGCCGACCTGCATCTCGCCCTTCTTCAGTATCTCCAGCACAATGTCGTCTGTGCTCTTGCCCTTGCCGAACGCCTTCTCCAGGTCCTCCTTGGGCGCCGTCTGGCCCTTGGACACGTTGAGGAACACGTTGGGGATCTGCAGCACGTTGTCCAGGTCCGTCTCGATCCCGGACCGCCACTCCATGACCTTGTTCTTGTAGCACGCGATCTCGAAGCGTTTCTTGCCCTTCTTGAGGCGCACCAGCGACACGTTGGTCAGCTTGATCTGGTTCGACGGCTGATTGATCATCCGCGACATGTTGACGGTGGTGGATGGGACGGTTGTTGCTATGTGTGTGTAGGTGATGTTTCTTTGTTCGTATGCGCTCCTTTTCCCGTGGTGAAGTACGTCGCAGTGTGTGCTTTGTAGCGACAAATAGCAGGAGATCGGTCGTTTCGGCTTCGTTGGTGACGTTGGACTTGGGTCGCCAGAAAAGTTTTGGCGGGGTAGGACGTGTGGTATGGCGCAGCTGCAATCGAGGAGGGGCAGTGGGCGGTGAAATACCTATTCATCTGTACCTATGGCGCAGGCGGTACTGGTCTGACGTTGTTTTTGCGGGTACCGAACGAGCCCTGGCAAGCTGCAGCTGCGCCGGTGACTAATACCGTCATGTCGACTCATCTCCGGCCGGCCGCCTGTCAGTCAAGTGTCATCCAGCGTCAGGAGTCATCTCAACACGAAATAACGTTTACTGGGGGAAAAAATTAAAAAAAAAATTTCTTGTTCTAACCATATAGCTAAATCTCTACCGCGCCGGTCTGATACTGGCGCTGCTGATGACACTTGTATAACCGGGTCCTTCCGTATTGGCAAACCAACATACCCAAGTCATGTACAACGAACCAATTTGAGCGTTCACTGTTGCAACAGTATCCTCCACGCCGTTCCATCTTCCATCTCGTACATAGACTTATCATACTGTGGGTGCATTTATGCAACCCACTCGCCGCCAAGCCAACGGTTCAAGAAGTCGGACGAGGCCTCGGGCTGGTCCATGGGTACCATGTGGCCGGCGCCGTAGATCTGCATAAAGGTGAAGTTGCCGCTGGACTTGACCTTGCCGTACTCTTTACCCTTGCCAACGGCCAGACTCTTGACCTCAGCCTTGTTGAAGCCCTTTTGGCCAGGCCATTCGAGGGCCTCGGTCCAGGCACGGTTACCGAGCCAGTTGCAAATGTAGTCGGCGTCGCCAGCGTAGATGAGAACAGGGATCTTCTCAAGAAGCTTGGGGACGATACGGTGGAAGGGTTGGAACCAATCACCGGCGAAAAGGAAGTTGCGGTTGATGTCGAAGTTGCAGCTGTCGTAGCTGTCGACCTCGGCACCGAGAGCCTCCTTGACCTCATCCTGGTTGAGGTACTCGCTGATCCAGCCAAGAGCGGAGTAGCAGAGGTTGCTGCTGTCCTCGCACTTGCCGCGGATGTCGTAGACGTTCTGGCCAGTGCGCTGGTAGGGGCCGATAAGAGCGTTGTTGCAGTAGATGCTGGCGGGGACGCAAGACCAGACGCTGCCGGATTCGTAGCAGTTATTGATCAGGCTCTGGCAACGGGGGAGAGCGTTATCCATGGCCTGGCACTCGCCGGCGTCGAGAACAGCGGGGTAGCCGCCCTCGCCGCAAGCCATGGGGCGGTAGTAGCCGTACTGGGTCAGGCCGTCGGTCAGACCGTTACCAATCAGAACACTCTTGAGGTTGATGTTGCGGTCCTCGTGGGAGAGAATCTCCGAGGCGAAGACGGGAATGTAGTGGCCGGCGTACGACTCGCCGGCAATGTGGAAGTCCTGCTTGGAGTACTCTGGGAACTGGTGGAAGAAAAGGGAGAGCAGGGCGTAAACGTCCTTGCCGGCGGCGACCGTGTTGGAGACGGAGGAGCCGGAGTAGGAGTAGCCGACGTTGACGGGCTGATCGAGGAAGATGACGGAGGCGTTGTTGTTCCACGACCAGTCGTTGCTGACGACCTTGAGCTTCTTGTCAACGGAAGCGGGGCCGAGCTCCATGAAGAGACCGGTCAGGGAAGAGCAGCCAGGGCCGCCGTTAAGCCACAAGACGACCGGGTCGTTCTTGGGGTCGTTGCGGGACTCGAAGAACCCTGTGCGAGGTTAGAAGGTGACAACGGAACAGAACACACGCCTGATGGAAACCTACAGTAGAAGAGATGCTTGTCGTTCTCCTCGTCGTCGAGGTAACCACTGTACTGCTTGACCTTGTCGATGCCAAGGGCAGCCGGATCGACCTTCTTGGCGCGCAGGTTGAAGTTCTTAAGGTCGCCAGCGATCTTGCGATGCTTCTCTCCGTTCTTCTCAACCCACATACTCTGGACATCGGCGCCCTTGACGACGTGGTCCCACTTCTTGTCGGACTTGCGGTGGGCGGGCTTTGGCTTGGGGGGGATGGCGTTCTTCTTGAAGGACTCGACGGCATCAGGGGCGAGCAGGGTGATCTCGTCCCAGACGGCCTTGACCTCTGTGGTCATCTTGCCGAACTTCTCCTCAAAGACGGAGAGCCATTCCTGGCCGGCGACTTTGATGCTGTCAAAGGGGCCGTCGTTGCCACCGAGGACCTGCTGGTCCAGGGCTACCGCGGTTGAGGCGGCGCCGAGGACAAGGGCGGAGGTCGAGAACCTCATGATGGGCGAGGAGCTCAAGGGAAATTGATGGCGCAAGCTTCGGTGATGGGATTCTAGATGGGAATGATGAAGGAAAGTGATGTGATCCGACGGGGAAATGGGCGAAGAGAAATGAAAGATGGAGGGAGAGAGGATGGTGTGTTGATGGGAGGTTGGAGCTCGGCGTTAAGGTGTGGCAGACGGCAGGAGGGAGCTCGCGGACGTAATAAATGAAACATGACGGACCCCCCAGCAGTGACAGTGTAGCTTACCTATTATCGGGGCCGCTGTCGTGGCTTATGCACACTGTTGTTGCTGTGGGGAGCTCCAGCTTGATTGGAACGCCGAGCAACGACTGGCCAGTGAGCCCAGGGCCCATGGGTTGGCCAAACGATGGTCGGGGGAACATTGTCCGCCTGATCCCCCCCGCGCGCCTCAGACGCTAAAACGAGAACCTGCCTGTTGCAGACCCGCTATCATCCCTCCACGGTGCTAAGGCTGTCTATCTGTTAGTGGCGGGCTTACGTCGTACCGTCTCGCCCCGCCTTGGTCGTCTGCGTCATGCCAGGTACTGCCGACGGCCGTATACACCTCAGGCACAAGACACCTGTGCCTGGACTGGACAGGGACCTTTTGCTGCGGTCGATGGCCCATGCTTTTCGTACCCAGATAAGCATATCGTGCTTCCTGATTCGCTGTCTGGCCACCCCAGCCCCTCTACCCAAAACGGGAGGATTCCCAGGAATACCTAACAACAGCACATAAACGCCGGACTGCGAAATGCCTACGGTAGTTACCTAGCTACCTAGTTGCATGAGGTAATAATAGTAGGCATGTAGTGTACGAAGTAGCAGACCTAGAGAATTTCTTATACAATACAAACCTATAGAGCGAGTATAGTCTTCCTGTAGCTACCTGAAGAGTGTGAGCGCTTCCTGCGTAGAACAATTAAGGTCAAGGCGCACGCTGCTCCACTGCTGTCGACGGGTAACACAGATAGATTGTCACTTCGAAGTGTGCTCGTAGGAGTAGACCTGATCAACATCGTCGATCCTGGCAAGGAAACATCGCCTCGTACACCCTAGTGACTGACTGACTGACTGACTTGCAAAGCCAACAGGCTAATCCCGGCGGCTTTAGTCCCACTGTGTGAGAGAACCTCTACGGCCATTATCCCGCCGACCGTCATTCTGGTCAATCACAGTCGCTCGCGCCTTGTCCACGCATGCACGCAGGCTTCTTGCGATTCGTGGCGTTTTCCCCAAGTCATGTCTTCAACCTCGTCTTCCTCCATGCCACATAAAAAAAAAGAAAAAAAAGAAAAAAGCCCATTGCTGCCACCTTGAGGCTAGTACGACATCATTGCAGCATCGTTCATCTTTAGCCATGGGGGAGGGGGGGCATTCATGATTCGAAAGGGAAGAAAAAGGGTGTGGTGCCAAATGCCATAGTGAGCTGGCCAGACGTTGTATTCATCTACCGTGGATGCCGGCCTTTCCCAGCCGTACGCCATCATGTCTCCATACTTTGCCATCGCGGCATGCCTCTCCGGCTTGGGTCAAAAACATTAACCGGAAAAAGAAAAAAAAAACCGAAAAGAAAAAGAAAAAGAGACGTGACCATGCCGCAGTTGTTCCCTGGCCCCATATCTTCTCCGTCTGTCCCAATGCCCATAATGTCACAGCCCGCCGACTTGCCCGAACGCCGCCTCCCACTCAGCCTGCTCTTGAGCAGGCGGTCGAGGCCCCCAAGAACAAAGACACAAGGCCCTGCCATCCAGCCCAATGACTTCCACGGCCGTGTCCCTCGTTATCGCCGCCGTTGTCGGGCGGAACACTCAGACCCCAAACACACATTAACTCCGTCCTCGATACTGTACATATATAGCCAGCTCCGTATACTGTGCTTTACAAGCCGATTCGTCAGTGCGGCACGCTTCTCCGGTCACTGTGGATCGCGATTAAATTAACAACAGGGTGGCTCGGGTATATCGAACACTTGGACATCTGTGTGAGCCACCCCCGTTGTGTGAGCTTTCCCATGCCTTAGAGCGCCATCTGGTTGTGGCTGCCAGATCCGGCCCCGACTCGCGGCAAGCCTTTTTATGACACATCAGCCAGCTGTGTCGGCTGCTGGCATTGAGGGGCTCGGCGCTCTGTTTCGCCGGAAAAACTGTAAGGCGTTCATGCGGAATCTGCTCGACTTCTTCTTCACCAACTTGCCGCCCTCCTCTTTGCCAAGAGCCCCCTGTGATACGTGAGAGCCATTGGATTCGTGGTCCAAAAACGCAGGCTCCGGCTTGGATTCAGCAAACGGTTTTGGTTCCGAAATCGTAGGTACGCCCGGCAAATGCTCCGTGGATTCTCTGCTGACAATGCTAGTGCCTTGAGTGCTCGGGGACAGGGGCATTTTGCCGGTGGTAGCACTTGTTGCCTGCGAAGCCCAGTCTCCAGTATATGGCCCTGTCGTGCTTCCGTCCGTTGTCTCGCTGCATCGTTGCTTTCCATTGTGGCCGTGGTGATTATCGGGGGAGCTGCTCGCCCTGTCCCGGCAGTGGAAAGGGTCGCTTGCTGCAAAATCCGCCACCGAATCGAACGATGTCAAAATCCCATTTACCTCCTTGAAGTCCTCCGGAGTGTCTGATGCGTGAGAAGACGTGTTCACTGAACTCGCCAGCTCCGGTGTAAGCTCATGGTTCGCGCGCTGTGACTTGTCCACCAGCGGGGGTGTCGTGGTGATCTCCGCTAGCGGTGTCGTTACGCGAGGGGTTATGGATTCTTTGTTGCTCTCTGGCCCCGAAGCAAAACTCATAGTCCGCGGGGAGAATGTTCCATCACGGAGAAGCCTCTTGCGAGTGGGATCCTCCTTTGCCTGCTCGTCTCGGATGCGCCGCTCGAAGAGACCCTTATTGATCTCGAGCTCATCGACCGTGTACTTCATTGCCGGGAGGATGTCGGCGACGCCTTGGAAGAGGGGGATAGCAAACATGTTCATGAAGCTGAGTTGCGCCTTGGAAAGCGACATCGTATCCTTCTTGGGAGGAGAGAGTAGTGACGACGCGATGTCCAGCTCGCTCTCCATGGAAGCCTGGCGAGAAAACTCGTCCGACAGAATATGCATCCATTTCAGTGCGGTATCATATTTCCTTGCCTGCGGGACCTCAACGTTACTTTCTGGTGATGCGAATGAGATTCGAGTCACTTACCACATTGCTGATGTCTGCACATTTGATTAGTAATGAGCATGCCAGTGCCTTCTGCTCCTCCAGCATGCGCCCGTTCCAGCTGTCGGTCGAGTTGCTGGTAGCCAGTTTTTCCTGGGTGTCCCCGAGCCTCTTCATATAATCAAAGTGCATGCCCATGTCGGTAGCAAGGATGGAGCTGATCAGCAGGTGCCTCATCTTCGTGTCCTCGAATGCACTCGGCCAATATCTTCGGAGGATCTGTGAGTAAGCAGCGCAGTGGAACGACTCAAGCACTGAACGGTCGTTGTACAACTGTGCGAGAGGGGCGTTGAGGGTGACCAGAAACCCGTTGTTTACGCCAGGGTGACCGACGTCATGCCCTATTGCCGTGATCAAGAGCGTCAAACCCTCAAAGGGATGCAGTATGCTGGCCATTGGTGACTTCTCGGTCGTGTCTGCTTCTGCCAAGGGATCGACAGGGTAGGGTGCGAGGGTACCGATGCGGACCAAGAAGTGAAAGGTAGCCTGCAGGACGTCGATGACGTGCCGAAAGTTGTGATATGGAACAAAGTTATTGTAAGCAGCCCGGCAGGCGACCAGAAAGCTGATGAGCTGATCTACGCATTGCCGTCAGCAACTGCCCGCAGGGCACCCGCGAGAAGGGAACGGAAGACTCACCTGTCGGTATCCGCCAGCGATCCAATTCCGGCATAGTCAACGCATGCTTGAACATGACCATAGCTGCCACAAGGAGCTCATCGTCCGTGAAGCTGTGTGCGCAAAAATGCCATTGGCCGACGGCCGCAGCGACAGCAGCCCGACGATCGGTGGAGACGGATATGCTTACATTCGCAATCCGATCGTCATCCGAATCGGCGCCGGACCGGCAAATGCCCCTCATGAGCCCAGAGACCATGGCTTCCCTAAGGTAGGAGAACGGCTTCTCCTCGTTCACTCCGACCCATGAGCGCTTTCGTCCTCGGCGTACCTCGAGCATCTCCTGCTGCTCTCTGGCGGCTTCCTTGTGCGCCCGATAAGCATGTATCTCCAGGCTGGTGATGCACTTCAGATGTACGGGACTGATGATGACGTCGACAGCGCCGAGGTCGAGACAGCGAATGATCAAGCGGCGATCAACTGCCGACGAGGATTTAGGCTTCTCGTCGTTGACGGCCGAGACATCGTCCTCCTCCGAGGCGGAAAAGCTGATTATGGGGATCGGGACGATCAGCCTCGACAGACTACGAAGATGCGCCTCGGTCATTATGCGCTGCAGCAGTCTGAGCCCGTATACCTCCTCTTCTGGGGTATGGATATCGATGTCGGCAGTGGCTGGGCGAGAATGCGGCGAAGGCGATCTAGACTTTGAGCGGATCTTGGGCAGCCTCTCGTCGTGGGGAACGTCAATGAGAACAAGGGTTGGCGTCAGATCCATCATGGCATCGTCCGAAAGCTGGAAAAGCGTAGAGATGCATGCCGAGCCTGTGGAACACAGATAGACTGAGGCACATGATTAGTACGGTACGCCATGTATGATTGGGATCCGAGCCTACCTTCTCCAAAGGTTTCCAGCAGCAGCGTGGCATCTTTCCGGATATTGTCATTCTCCTCCAGATCGGTTGCGCTTCCGTTGGATAGGTGGACGTCCCTCGCGCCGTGTCGGATGAGCCTGTCATGGCGAACCTGGCGGTTCACGTAGACGACGTGGCACGTAGCATTGTCCATCATGGCTTTCGGGAGCAACCAGTCTCGCGACCGGAGCGCTCTGGCCACTAGGACGAGGAGGGTTTACGAGCGTAACGATGCGATTGATCAGAAGACGAGTCGGCAGGCTTCGCAGCGGGAGAGGTCGAGGACGGCGACCCAGTCCTAACAAGTGTCGTGGCACAGCGGCGCGATGCCCGAGGGGCGCCAGTGGATGCGCGGTCCTGGGCGAGCAAGGTCGAAGCGGCAGGTTTCGTGGCGGAAGAATCGAGGCAATTGGAACGCAAGCGTGGTCGGGGCGTCGGCCAGGACCCTCATCAATGGGTTTGTTCCCCCAAGTGCAGGCGATAAAACAGCGGCGCAGTGGTTTCGGAGGTCACCAGAATTGACATTGATTGTGGGCGCACAAAACCGGATTGGCCGAGAACATGAGCGGGTGTAGGGAAACCAATTCAGACGCTGGACCGGAGAGTCGAAGGGATCGGGCAGGGTGCGGGTTCGTCGTTTCGCAGTTGCGGGTACCGTCGCGCGGAAAGCTCGTTATGTACTCAAGGCGAAAGGTGGAGGCTTTGCTATGCTAGGGTGCTGTCGACGGGCGATCAAGTCGGGCTGTTAGTTTTGCATGGAAGACAAAGAGGGGAGATTGCGAGTAGATGCAAAACAGAGCACAAGAGAGAATCGACGACAGAACGGACGTGATATCATGAGGGCAGGCTACGTACAACAGAACAGGGCTGGGACGAACCGGGCGTGGGGTTGGAAAGAAGGGAAAGAAGGCAACTGAGCGTGACTCGGACGGGGAGGATTGGGGTTTGGGTATTGCAGGGTCGCAGGCAGGAAGGAGTACAATGGACGGGTCGAGTACGAAAATTGTTAAGCAAGGGGGTGGGTGCGAAAGTTGAGAAGGCGAGAGCGAGAGAAGGACGGGAGAAACAGACTCTGTATCCGTAGTGCCGCTGCGTATGTGTGTGTATGTGCGTGTGTTACTGCGTGGGTGTGAGTGGTGTGCGTATGTGCAAGTAAGTGAAGTACCACGACTGGGAATGTGTGGTGTGCATGCGTGAGGTGGACATGTGGGTGTGTGGGTGGGTAGGGCGGGCAGGCTGCAGAGGACTCGGAAAGGCTAGGTAAGGTACCTAGGTAGGTAGTGTACTCAGCTCTTCCCAGTATACCTGTACACTGCCAAGTAGCCACGAGTACGCAGTACACTATCCGTACTGCGCTGCAAAGAGCGAGGGCGGCAGCAGCAGCAGCAACCGAGTACGATGTAGGTACCGTAGCAAGGTACCAAGGTACGGCTTCCGAGTGAGACGGAGCACCAGGCCAAGCTTACTTGCCTTTCGGGCTTAGAGGCCCTCCTTGTGCGGGCGGGCGGCCTGCCCTCGCCTTCCATCTCCGATCATGTACGGATACCTACCTGGGTGGGTGGGTAGGTAGGTAGATAGTGTACCTACCCAGTACTTACACGCCACTACGCATGCCTCCCAGGTACATCTACCTACTCGGCCCAACAAGGCAAGACGGAACAGAAGAAGAACCCCCTCCGAAAAGCTCGTCTTGAAAAGAAAGTGAAGCTAGGGGAGTGCAACTAAACTTGCACGACGGCGAACTACCACCACTTGCCCTGTATAGAAAGCGCAGTCCTGAGCCGTTAAGATAGATGCCTTTTCCCTCATCCTTCCTGGTGGCGACTCTGAGTTTGGGCGAATGAGTAAGTGAGGGGGGGGCGACTGCGTGCGCAACAAGGTGCTGGCGTCGTCGTCGTCTTGCTTGTTGTTTGCGATCGCCGAACCGAGGGGGTGTGAGGATACGAAGAGAATAGGGTAAGGGACGAGTGGAATGGGAGAGAAATTAGCGAATGCGGATGAGGATGGCGAAGAAGGTAATGTGGCGGTGGTCGGTCGAAAAGAACCAAGAGCGGCTGGGTGTCGAGCAAGTTGTGGTGCGTAGCATCTACGGGTTCCTTGATCTGCAAAAGGTACCTTACCTCGTGCAAGGCGGGAACGGCTACGACTACCTATGTGGTAGGGTAGTCTCGTGAGCGCGCACATGTGTACCTAAAGGTTGACCGGGCGCGTGCTGTGGAAGTATAGACAGTTGCAGAGTCGAGAAGCCAGAACTGAAAGCCACTCACTGAAAGCCCGGCCAGGTATTATTGCGCTGCCCGGTGTTGTGTCGATGCAGTGCGGTTCACTTTGGCCTCGAGACGGAATGCGGAAATGCTCTGCACCACTGCAACGCTACGCGGGGCAAGACAAGACAGGGCTGGTAACTTGGGTTTCCCAGGCCATGACGCCTGGGTCCGGGGAATATTTTTGGCTGTTGCTCCATCTCTCCCTCTTTCTCGCACGTCACTGGGATACGTATCCACAGCAGATCGTTGTATGGAGTCTTACATGTAGTGCGAGACAACAGGTGGCATCCGTCGTCCCCATGTGCAATGTGGCGACCAGAGCTGCCTCGAGCATAGCACGGCACGATGCCGACGGGTGCGGACATGGAAGCACGCAACCAAACGGACACTGATGGACGAATTGGATCAAGTTTGCGCTGGCGCCAGTGAACGGGCATAGCTGGGTATGTGCGCAGGGCAAGGCCGAGGACATCTACCTGGACGCTACGGAACAATACCTACATGGCTCCCATCGGAGAGGTACACTACGAGACATTAGGTTCAGTGCGAGAGCGAGGGGGGAGGGCGCTAAAGACCGGTCCAGGTCGGAATCAGAAATGTCACAATCGAATCTAGACAAGCTTGAGCCTCGGCGGGCATGGGACGATCACGGATAGGGGAAAGCGCCAATGAGGACTTGGAAATATACTTTATCGCTGCGAATCCGTTCTTGCGGCGCTCTCAGCTCCGCAACAGGATACTCCTCGACCTGTGGAGGTGGTCGAGACAGGATACATTAACTACAATTAACAAGTGCCGCTAAATGAATAGCCGAAAGGCTGCTGCTGCTGCTATGCTGTACAGAATAGGTATACCTACAAAGTGTACGTGTGTACGACCTGTACGGTATGTTTATAGGTAGTGTACTCTGTACAAAGTACGTACACACTTGCTTACCGTATCCACTGGTGAGATCCGGACAAAGCTAAGAAACCCGCTAGCCAGAGAAAGCTAGCAGATATCCTATAGCAGCTAGTGTATATCCACTACGCTAGTCCTAAAATAGAAAGCGGTCAACCTATCAACCCACCCACTTGCCCACTTGCCCACTTGCCCACTTGCCCACTTGCCCACTTGCCCACTTGCCCACTTGCCCACTTGCTAGCCAGCCAGCCCATCTACAGTTAACTTCGCCAACCCATCAACCAACCCACCACGATATTCACGATGCCCGACCACCTGCCGCTAGGCCAAATCAACCCAAATATTACACCACCGTTACGCAAGAAGATGGGCAAGAAGCCTACCCCTATTATCAAGCGACGATATACACCAAAAAACGGCATCAAACGAGTTGAAAGGTCGTATAGTCAGCCAAAGCAAGTTGACGTACTACTATACCTTGAGCACCACCGTTACCCACTTTCCCCTGGCCAGCGACGTCGCCAACGGGCTGGTGATACCCCTCTTGACCCTGCCAATGGCCTCCGCCGCCCAACCCTTCGTGAGGCAGCTGCCCACTTCAAAATACCCCTCCAGACGGTATCTGACTGGTATCAACAACGGGACCGTACGAGCCTAGCTATTCGTCAACCAAAGTGGCCAGAGATGGAAGCTGACCTTTATAGTCACTTCCAGCAACAACGAGCCTGTGACAAAGTAGTTACTACCGGATGGTTCAAGCGGGAGGCCTGGGCCCTTTTTACAGCCAACTATCCCAACACCCTCATGGCCAGCAACCTGCCTACCTATCCCTTCCGATTCTCTGTGGGTTGGTTTACTGGTTTTCGCACACGATGGAACATTTCACACCGCCGGCTTACAAAGCAAGCCTTAAAGCTACCTGCCGAATACCTTACTATTGTTACCAACTTCCTCCACTTCAACCGACGGGTTAGTCAGCCCTCACTTGCCCGGCAGCAACTGCCCATTGGTGGCCTCCGATTTCCACCCGACCGCATCGTCAACTTCGATGAGACCCCTATCCCTTTTGAGTACCTCGATGGGTCAACTTGGGCAGCCCGAGGGGCCCATACTGTGGCTGGCAAGACTGACCGTAGTGGCTGGAGCAAGCGGCAAGCCACTCTTATTCTCTACATCTTTGCCGACGGGGTCCAACGGCTACTGCCAAAGCTCATCTTTCACGGCAAGCCTGCTAGCCTTGGCGGCCAAATTGAGGCACGTGAGGGTGACTCATACAGTAAAGAGGTAACAGTTGAATATAACGATACGGCTTACAACAACGAGTATCTCCTTGGGCAGTGGCTAACAGATGAATTTTTTCCCCTTACAACAGGGCAAGAATACTTGTTAGTTATGGACGTTGCTACTTTTCACAAGACGCCTTCTATATTATCACGACTTCGATCCAACCACGTGACACCAAGCCTTATACCGCCAGGCACAACCTCCCTTCTTCAACCTCTGGATACTGCTATCAACAAGCCCTTCAAGCAGTGGTTATCCGAGGCAACCGACGAGTATACGTGGCGAATGGAGCAAGCTGCCGCCGGCCAGCCCAGCCAGCCCATTCAACGTATACCCATTCAACCCATACCAATTCAACCCATACCAATTCAACCCATACCAATTCAACCCATACCAATTCAACCCATACCCATCAAGTGGTCTACGTCAATGAAACGCGTAATGGTTACCCATACTGTTGCAACAGCTGCCCGTCGCCTAGCTGGAAGAAGTGAGATGGTCCAGCAATCCTTTCTTCAGTGTGGGATTAGTGGTAACCCAGATGGAAGCGACATTGACAAGATTCGGATTAAGGACATACCGAATGAGAAGATATCATGGGATGGTTGGGATAACTTCAACTGCGACGCCTACATGAAGAAGGAAATGACCCAAGAAGAGATATCTGACGTCAATGTGGATAACGACTGCCAAGAGTATATATCTCTAGCTGAAGACGTCCAGCAACCCATCGGAAATAGTTCAATGAGGCCATGGGAAATCTAGAGCTTGGTGGGTAGGTGGGAGGAAATCCAATGCCAACCATAAGTCTGTTTGCTGGCCTTTGCCACCTAACTTGCTGCTGACGTACATGACTAACCCCTGCTTTTGCCACCTCCAGATCCCTGTTTCTGCCAGCGCACTATACCCCTCACAGCGGCCGCGATACCCCTTGCCGTTAGTGGGCTTCTTAGCTTTGTCCGGATCTAACCAGTGGATACGGTATCTGTCTGTTCGTGCGACGACGCAAGGGGGCGGGGGGGAGGAGGGGTTTGGTGAGCGAAGGCAGAAAAGAACGGGAAGGGGCCCTGCCCCCGGTTTTCGGGCTCTTTCTGGAACATCAATCGAAAGTATGGAAGCCTTCCAGAGGGCCACTTTGGAGACTTTGGAAGGGAGGGGGGGGCGCACCGGGAAGGGGATTGACACTGGAACGGCTGGGAACAGGGTTCGCAGGGTACCTTGTGTACCTGGCCGGCCAGGTAGTGTACGAGCACGTCAAAGGCAAGGACAGGGGCCCGGGCCCAATGATGGCGACTGTGAGCTGGCTGGGCCCAGCACTAGGTAGTGCAAAGAGGATAGAATCGTACTAAGTGAGGAAGGAGGGTGGGTTGAGTGATCACTGGCTGTGCAAGCCCAGAGAAGCACACTAGAAACACTGCGAAGGGCACATCCCGGGAGGGGAAGAAGCACCAACGCAGCCACACCGTGGTATGTCGCCACTCACCTTCCCGTCCGCTGCCGTCTCCAACTGGCTCGAACCCTCATCTCGGCTGGATGCCGCCTGGTGTCTTTCACTCATCACGTGCCCGAGTATCGGCATATCTCTGCCTCAATGCGGGCAAGTGCTAATGGTGAATAGCAAACGCAGCTGCATTTTTCGGTGTACTTTGTAACGTACCGCCCGCCACGTTCATGCCTGCCTCAGTGGAGGAATGGCAACGAGAGCCAACGAACGTAGCTGGCCTGGCTGGCTGGCACCCGGTTGACAAAAAAGATAGCACACCTAAAGTACTTTCTTACACCACATCTACCCCAAGACTATTAACAAGTGTTTTTTTCTTATGCTGACACAGCCACAAGACGCAGTTAGGATATAGGAAAAATATATCTAATAGTAGGTAGAACATACTGGCATTAATTCTAACTATTTTATATAGGTATATCTATGTATTTAGTGTTGTGCTGTCTATAATAGTGCAGGGGGTGTTTAGGTGTGCCATCTTTTTTGTCAACCGGGTGGCTGGCTGGCTGGCTGGCAGACTACAGTACTAGGAATGAGACTGTTCTTCCTTCCACCTTCTTTTGCGACACCCCGGTCAATCATTGTTGATGTTTTTCTTTTCCGGGTTAAATCTGAGAACAAGCATGCTGACAAGGTCTAGGTGTTTTCTCTCAAATAAAGTCCCGTTCCTGGAAACGGCTTGCCTTGCCGTCCCCATCTCACCTTGCCAACATCAGCGTCGTTGCATGCGCTCGCTCTGCTACACTCGCGTCTCAATTTCCCGCCGATCGCCGCTGTGTTATTCGCATGTCTCCCTGCACTAGCAACCATCACCCAGCCTCCCGAAATCGCCCATGGTGCTGCAGATAAGAAAGTTGGAAATGTCGTGTCGAGACGGCTCGACTCGTGTTGCCGATGCTCGCCTCGCACGAGCACGAAGCTGAAGCTAGGGCTGGCCTGCCACGCAACGAATCCACATTGCGTCCACACCATGGGCAAACATGGTTCTACATACCTAGTATCCGTACTGCTGCCCTGGTTGCAGGTTGCTATCCCACTTTTTGCAACACCGCCGGCGACCCCTGGTTGGTTCCTTCTTCATGTCTTCCAGAAGTAATGGAGAGGTGAACAAGGGGCGACGACCGATGGCTCATCGCTGACACCATGGTCGCCTTCCGTCATCTCTCCGTGGATAACGTCCTGGATCTACCCCACACGCCGCCCTGATTAATTGCCTGACATCAGCGGACATGCGTACAAAGTCCCAGTCTTTACAGTCGCACCCACAACCATACCCGCAACCAACTACAGGCCCTTTCTCTGACTCCGAGGCTGGGCAACCATCTGGGTCTCGATTGCCACAAAAACGTACCAAGACAGCGCTTGTTCCTTGAGGGTCTAGACAATGGCCGACGCTTGTATGGTTTGCTGTTTTCGAGGGTCGATCAACCAAAGCGAGACTGAGCACTATCGGTTACACAAACAATCTTTGTGGAAAACGCCGCCAGCTCTCAACTTTGCGATATACGCCCCAAGGGAACCGCATCTGGCCGAAGATGGGCATTTCGCCCATGGCTACCGACATCTGTCCCCTTGTGATGCCGGAAAAAAAGACCGATATATACTGCTCTTGGCCAAACCAAACAGTGTCCGATACATCACCTTATTCGTGGTATACTGGTGTCGAGAATAACCTTGCTCAATGTAAACCAGAAGACCCTGTCGGTACACACCCGAGTCCCTACGTCACATTGCGCTCTGGGTGCCGGCCGCCAGGCAAAAACAAGATCGCCTCAGATGTCATTTACCTGATCCTTCTGACGAAAGTTAGGAAGAAAAAAGCTTCGTCTGTTTGCGACTGATTGATAAACATCAAAGAGTCACTCGGATGAAAACGATGTTTTCGATACACGGCCCTTCTGCCCCCTCGATGATCAGTCTGACCGACAGCCTCCCGCCGCGCTCGGCGAGTCTCACTTTTTGGCTCGTTATACCATGCGTGTTTGTCTCATCGAACAGCCTTCCTCGTTAAGGCGTTGTCTTTTGGCTCGTCTGGCGCATACACCCGCCGGTAACCAGTCTACTCCAGATCTCGCACTGTAGATCACTTGTATCTTTTGACGATGATCCATGCCAAGGTGTGCTTCTTCTGGGGGGGGTTTTTTTTTGTCCTTGTTCTTTTTTTCTTTATTAGCTGGTACTCCAACAAATGATGCGAGGCCATCCTGTGGCGCGGCTACATTTGAATCAGCCAGCGATCAACCAAGGCGGTTATTGTGTGGCCAGCTCCAACACCAACTTTGGCCCATTGAACTCCTCGCCGAGCTCGGAATTCACCGTCTCAGCGAACAGCAACTTCGTTTGGTTGTCTAGTCGCAAGTGAAGGCTACCGTACCCTCCAGCTACTTACCGCTGGCGTGTGAGCTGTACCTGCTCTATATAAGCCTTCGGCGTTCATGTCAGTTTTCGTCTGCTCGCCGATGGCATCGCACGCCCCCCATCGACATGGTTGGCGCAGAAGCGTGCAGGTTTGCACTCAATCCTTTAATTCCCTTGCGACGCCAACACTCTCCTGCAAGGGCAGCAAACCGGCATAGAGAGGGTCATGGTCTGCTCACTGATTCCACAGTGCGCCCACGTCTGCATCAAGCCCTTGCAGGTGATGTTTTCGGGATCTTTTTCTTTTTGACTCTGACACCAGGCATCCGTATCCGTCTCGCCCTGTTCTAGTTTACGTGCGCGCTTTGGTGATAGAGAGTCATGAGACGCCAAAATTTCACACTAACCTGACAGCCCACTACTTGACTGACACACACCCCGCCGTTTCCCCGCTTGGTGAGGTTTTCCGGCCGCAGCTCAAACCTCGAGGTCCGCAACTTGATCGGCCTCATCACCAACACGCACGCAGCACTACACCCGCGTCTGCCGAGGAACCATTCTCTCGGCCCAGATACCGCTGTCCACGTCCCGCATCGGCGTCCGTCGATCGCCTACACCGGGCGAGAGGGCGCAACCAAGCCGAGATGTCCTTGCATACATAGCCTGATCGCAATTTTGGGGTATTTCGACCATGGGGCGGTGTCCCGACCAGCAGCGCGCCTCACCAAACGTTCATGTTTGGACGACTCATGGTCGTCGACTTACTCGTTGTTGTAATCCATGCTCTCTTATCTATTGACCTGGCCGGTGGATCTCGACCATGCTTGCCTACATACCTAGTAGTATTCGTTCAATCGGGCTGACGGGGCTGACGGGGCTCCAAACTTGAAAATGGTTTTCGACTTCAGGCCGCTCTACGTCCTTACTGGACGTTGCTTCGGCGCAGTGCGCCAACCTGAGACACCGTACCGTGTCCCCGCACACCACTCACCTCTCGTTGCTGCCCATTGGAAGATGCAGATACCTATCGCCGTCACCCTTGCTGCGACATTCCTCTTCGGTGCTCACAGCTGTCCACGTGCCCTTCCATTCAATGAACTTCTCAGACGGGCAAGTATTCCGATCAAACTTGGCCATCCAGCTCGCTTGTTCTACGGAGATAAGAGGGCATCTGCGCCATTGGGTGTCACGACGCGGCTACGATGTGAACGAGCCAGACAAGGCGATCTCACCTATCTACCAGGCGGGTGGGTAGGAGGGGAGAGAGGGGGGCTGGAAGGCAGCGAAGAGCATGGGTGTAATCCTAGACCGCCGAGGTGAGGCCCATGATGGTTCGCCACTTACGGTTCGTTTCAGCCCTGCCGATCCGCCCAAAAAAACTTCTGTCCCCCGGGATCCACGACGCCCTTAATCCCTCTGGGGGGTTTTTTCTTCTTCTTTTCTTTTCTTCTTTGTTATTCTTTCCTTCTTCTGGAATCATCAGAATCCGGTGTTGTATTTGCTATCAGGTCTTGGCCGAGGAGGAAAAGAGGCTCTTTCGGCGACATGTCTCGAGGGAGGGATCCCACGAGTTGCACCGCACGTCCTATCGAACTCGGGATAACGGGTGCAGTGCAGAAGCAAACCTGTTGTTGCTCGCTCGCGCTCGGGTGGGCGCAACGTGACAAGCGTCCGTGCTCGGTCCAAGCGGGATTCCCTCAGCACTCAACCGAAATGCTCCTATATATCACCTCAACTATGGGTGGGACATCCGATCAAACGTCTCATGGTCTCCTTGATTACTCTTTGTGCGTGGCCCGGCTGCCCATCACCAGCAATGAACGTCGTTTCCAGTCAGGCCCCCTTGGTTTTCGTGGCTTCTTCTAGGGAGGAGGCGAGAGGAGTGACGCGGGCCGGCTGAACGTTCCCTCCTGCTTCTTATCCCCCGAGTCGTAGATTTCGAGCCTTGCCTGCAGGGGCCTCTAGCGCGTGCCGGGCAGGAGGCCAGAAGACGTGTCTCCAGCAGCCCGGGATTCCTTCAGCCGCCGTGGGCGTTTTGCATGGACGGGAAGAGAGAAAAGGCCACGTAGGTTTCGGGATGTCTTTCTTTGAGACGATGCTCAGTACGGATTCCGGGAAGGGGGCCGAGCCTGAGTTCCAGGCCTAACCCACGTCTCCCGTTCATGTTTCTCCTCGTGCCTGGTTCGAGCGGGCATCGGCCGAGGACAAAACCCAGGCGCTCGTTGCTCGCCGGGCAGGGTTTTCGTACACCAAGCACAGCCCGACGGACGCTAAAGCTGGTTTTGTATAGGGGCGGGAAGATCTCGGGGTTCGTGGATCGGCCAGGGCATCGGCCAGCATAGGAGCCGTGGAACTCGTGTCGTGTCGGGGAGGGGGTTCGTTCGTCGGCGTCCGTGTTGCTGGTGGGCGAGTGGGTTTTGGTCCAGGCCCGGCGTGGGCGTTGAATGGGCGATCAGCACTCGCGGTCTAGAAGCCCTCGTAAGACGCAATCCCGTCTTCGGGTATACAATCCCGCCGGTGCGGGGCCTTCTTGACGCCAGACGCCGACTGGTTTCTGGCATATCGGCTAGAAGGTTGACGCGGATTTGGGGAGGGCCTCCGTGGGACTGCAAGTGCAGCGTGAGATGAAGGGATGACGGTCTTTGGGCATTTTGTGGGGGGGTTTTTTTTTTGTTTTTTTTTTTTGCGAGAGAGAAAAGGAGGGTTGAACGTTTCTTACTGACAAGGTCAAAGGGGACGGTTCAAGCGAAGGTTTGGATGGCTCCGGTCTGTGATGCCGGAGGTCGATACGACGCCGGGGGCGAGGATCCTCGGAGGGCCCCGAGCTGGTTTGGAACCCCGGGAGGGGCATCAACGTCGCCAAAGCATCGTTTCCCCCTTGGCGAGATGTGATGCTGCCCTGGGCGATCCGCTGGCCGCGGGATCCTTCGGCATTTGGGAACAAGAGAATAGCTTGGGGAGGGGAGGGGAGGGGTCGTCTTTCTGCTTTTGGCGACACAGGATGATCCCAGCGGCTCCCGAGCACCATCACCTCGCCCTCGTCGAGGCCGGGTAGCCTTGTTGAGTGGGCGGTTCCGCGGAGGGTCGGTCGGCGTGCCGCCCCAAGGCGCCTCGGAAGCCACGCGACAAAAGCGCCCTCCGCCCGCGGGTCGTCGTCCTTGGAACCTGTGTATCTGTACTCTCGCCGGGAACGCTTGCCGGGGAGGCGGCGCTCGGCGACGTCTCCGCACCAATGGGCTGGGTTTGACGAGGGCATCCCCCCCCCCTGAGCTCGCCGGCTGGACATGTTCGGACCTACGCGCGGCAATAGCCCGTCATTGTCGACGACCGTTCTGCTGCCGCAATCCCGTCGTATATATGTGTATACATACATATATATATATATGCCAACGTGTGTGCGTGTCCCACGGGTTTCATGCTGCTCGGGGCGCGTCAGCACGACCAGGAAAAGATATCAGCGAGCTGTGATGCGAACCTGCTGCTGGCGACCGGAGAGGCGCGCGTGACGTGATACCCCCCTGCCTCTCTTCGGCATGTGAAATAGAGAAAAAACGAGTCGGGTTCCGTGGTAACTTTTGGGAGGGGAGGGGGTTTGTTGGCAAGTCATGTCCGTTCGTTGTCCCTCCCCCTCTCCCGATACTTCCTCCACATTCCGGCCTCTGAAAGGCAGAGAGAAAGGTAAATGTTTTTGTTGCCGGACCCTCCTCCGAGGTCACGCAGGTAAACGAACCCAGCAAGTCATGTCCGTTCGTTCCCCCTTCCCCCAATACTTCCTCCATATTCCAAGGCAGAGAGAAAGGTAAATGTTTTTGTTGCCGGACCCCCCTCCGAGGTCACGCAGGTAAACGAACCCAGCAAGTCATGTCCGTTCGTTGTTCCCCCTCCCCCTCCCCCCGATACTTGCTCCATGTTCCGGCCTCTGAAATGCAGAGAGAAAGGTAAATGCTTTTGTTGCCGGACCCCCCTCCGAGGTCACGCAGGTGAACGAACCCAGGACGGACGCCTTCGCTGCTCCCCCTCCCCTCCCCGCCCACCTGCTATCGAGAGGCATAAGTCGCCAACCGGACACACTGGAGGAAACAACACGCGTCTCGGGCCCGACGTTCGCCCACGTGTAAGCCCCCTCTCTCTCTCTCTATGTAGGGGCGCAGCTTCTCGCAAGAGCGACTCACTCGCACACGTCCAAGGAGCGCGGGGATGAAGAGGAGGGGGCAGGCTCTACTAGAAGTATATAGCACGGGCAGCGACCGCGGCGTGGGGTCGCCGGCAAAAGACAAGGGCATCATCAGGCCGGAGAGGCGGGCTGTCGCATGCCATCACGTTGCAACGCACGGCAGTTGGGTGCGGATGTGGCTATAATTCCCTCTACAGCGAGCCCTAATACTCAAAAGCCATACACATGTGGCTCATGCGTCCAAGACTCCCAACAACAATGAAAGCGAGGCCAGAGACCGGCCCCGCATATGCCAGGGACTGAGGGGGCTCTATCTCTATTTACGCCTCATTTGTATCCTCTTACTTTTGTGTGTGTGTGCGCGCGTGCGTGTTTGTTTGTAATGCTTCCCTTCCTGACCCCCCTGTTCATAAACCCCATCATCACGAAACATATGCTTGTGGCTCGATATGCGTCGGGGTTTGCATCTGCTCCCCCTGCGACGCCAAAGCGGGCAACCGTTCCCTCCAACCCTTCACAAAAAATAAGCAGTATCCTACGTTTTGGAGGCCCGACATCTAAAACTCCTAGGACCGTGTGCGAGTGGGTTGTTGCTGCTGCTGCTCAGCCTCGTCGTCGAGGTGGATTTCAGCAGCCTCCGTAGAGGCGGCATCGTCGTCAGCAGCCGGGACGGAGATGACCTGAGGCTTGTTCTGACGGTCCCACGCGGCGTTCTGAATCTCCGAGAGGCCGACCTGAGCGCCAAAGTCGGGTGGCGGCGGGGCCTCGTCTTGAGTGGCCTCGTAATCCCCCATGGTCTCGTCGAAGGGCATGTCCGTGTCGTTGCCAGCCTCGTGATCATCCGAAGAGTCAGGCTGGGCGTCATCGCTGCCGTAACCCTCCATGCCGAGAGAGTTGTTGGTTCCGTCGTCGGCAGACCCCAGCGAGTTCCAGTTCCAAGGCTGCGCGGCCTGAAAGCCGTTCGAGCCGCCGGTGAAATCCGTCATGCCAATGCCCTCGTCCTCGATGCTGTTTTGTATGTTGTCGCTGCCAACGTTGGTGTTGGAGCTGCCCTCGTAAGGCGGCAGCTCGTCATCACCGGCGCGGTTGGCCGTGGACATTGTGCTACTGGCCAAACCACGATTTCCGCGCGGGTGAATTGCTTCGGCTCCGATCCCAAGTCTCGACGATCCAGCTAGGGAGGAGCCCCCGACGAGACGCTGATCTTCCCCCGAATCGGTGTCATCCTCCTCCTCGTCTTCGCCAGCCTTGTCGAACTTTTCAAAGATTTGCTTGAAGCGGGGACCGCCCAGGGGGCCATCGGAACGACGTCGGTAGAAGAGCAGGTACGCAGCTCTGGTGACGACGCTCTCGGGCGAAGTCTTGCTGACCGAGGTGTCTGAAACTGGTTAGCACGTCGCAAAGCTCACGTTCGTGGAGGCGCATCTCACCATTATAGTTGTACCACTGTCCGTCAACAAAGTTGCGTCCATAGGCGGTGTAGTGACCACCGCCCAGGCCGCCAAAGTGATCGTCGACCGCGATGAGGTCATAGATCTCTTCTTTGCCCGTCTCCTGGCAGAGGACACGCTTGTGCAGGTCGAGACCCTCGATAGGGAAGTCAACGAGGACATCCAGCTTGTCACGGCGCCAGCCGGCGCTGCTGAAGCGCTTCAAATGAACGACGAGGATGTCGGGCGTCTTCCAGAGGTCAAACTTCTTGCTGGCACGACGGTGTTCCTTGCAGCGCGGGCAGTACCACATGTCCTGCTCGGAGAGGACTTCGGCCTTCTCGAACTCGTCCAAGCATTCGTCGAGGGTGATACCCTGCTTCTTGCGCGCCAGACGCGACTTGCGCTTCTGGTCCAAGACGGGGTCTCGAAGCTTCTCCACATCGCCAAACGTCTTCTGACCACGGTTGTCCTCCGCGTCGCGCGAGTCCTTGCCGAAAACCAGGTCCCAGGTGTCCTCGGACCAGTCGACGACGATACCCTCGTCGAGGCGAACAAGCGGGCCGCCGCGAACGTTGTCCAAGGGCGACGGCTGAGGTTCGACGTCAACAACCTGGAAGGACTGCTCCTTGCTCGAGCGCATGTCCTTGTTGCGACGCTTCCCGCCCTTCTTGCCATACGTCTTGTTACCCTTGTTGAACTTGCGGCGGGCGCCACCGACCTTGTGGTTGCCTCTGCCCCGATTAGGCTGCGCAATGTTAGTCTCGCCCTCGTTGCATCTCCTTTTGCCTACACCTACCTTGATCACTCGAACGGGTTCCTCGTCCTCCTCCGACTCGTCTGCCATGCGCGTCTGCTCCTCGACGGACCGCGGAGACTGCTCGTCACTGACGCTGTCATGCTCGCTGTCTGCGGCGTTGGTAGAGTCGGGGCTGTTGGGGTCTTGCTCGGCTTCCGGAGCACGGGACGACAAAGGGCGGAAGGACTTGTTGTCGTCCACCGAGTGCCAGCCGGTTGGCAGACCCGAGTCGTTCGTCTCAGCGAAGTAGCCGAGGTCGAACAGGCTCTGAAGCTGGGGCTGCAAGAACTCCTTGGGGTTGGTCCACTTCGGACGGCGCGTGTTGAACTGCTTCAGTGTTGTTTGCCGCTGCTCGCCCCCGCCAATCGACACATTCACCAAGTCATCCTCGCCTTCGACCGACTTGGAGACGACCTTACTGTCTCCGGATGAATCGGCATCCGACTGGGATGTGATGACCATGTCTGTATCCGTGCCTTCGTCGGCGTCGTCGAACCCGGACCAGGTCGAAAAGGTAGCGACCCGTTCCAGAACCTTGCGACGGACAATGTCTTCGCTGTGGGCCTAGGACTCTTGTCAGCACATGCACCATCCAACATTGTTACCTAGTCTCCGAGATTTGTACCTCTTGAGGGGTGAGAACGATGAAGTGAGGAGGCGACGCGATGTCGTCTCCTCTCATCCGGTAGGTGTTGCCCGTGTTCTTCTTGCGATGGAGGACGGGGACAACCATACGCTCCGACCGGGGGTCGACCCAAGGCTCCTCGCTAATGTCCAGCATGGAGCTGGGAGTGCCCATCTTCTTGGTCTTTGGGGGGAAGTTGGTGGGCTCCGACTCCAGCTCGTGGAACGTGGGAATGTCGTTCGACTGAATCTCGTCCGAGACATCGCTATTGTCGTCGTAAATCTTGAAGAACTTGCCCTTAAACTCTTCGGCTCCGATCAACAACTCGACAGGGACGCCCGTCTTGTCCGAGACGGCCTTCTTCAGCAACTCGATGGCGCTGTGCTTCGACAGCTCCACCTCGATCTGCACGGGCGCGTCGTTCAGCGGGTAAAACTTGACAGTCCGGCTCCACATGTCCTCCATGGGAAGCGGCAACGTCAGGTTGTTGAAGGGATCAAAGGTGATGCTGATCTTGTCGCAGGTCGGACACTTGAGGGTCGACTTGTACAGGCCGGTGAAGAGGTCGGCAACGACCGAATCGTCGCGCTTGCGGGTGATGTCCCAGACCTCCTCGGCCATCTTGCGGATGGCTTCCTCGTTGCCAATCATCTCATCGGTAGAATCCGGCTTCTCTATGTACGGCTTCTTCTTGATGCGACTCAGATCCTCCTGCAGGGCGTCGAGAAGGAACCCGAGGAACTCTTGCGTGTCCTGCTGGCCCCAGCCCTGGAAAGTGCTGCGGGCCCGGCCGACCGTGTTCTTGAAGTCGCGGGGGCTAACCGCGCCTCTCGACTCGGCGTATATCTCCTTCAGCAGCCCACCATAGGCCATGGCCACTTGACCCTTATAGCCGAGAGGGTTGGCCTTGTTCAGTTCCTCCTTGTACTGATCCGTCAGGAAATACTTGGTCAGTTCCTCGACACTACGAACACACTGCAGGGCCGAGTTCATGTAGCAAGTGTTTCCGAGGTTCTGCAGGCCGACAGCGCCGAGGCCGCGGCCGGGCTTCTTCTTCTGCTGGGCTCTGCCCCTGGTCACTGGTCCCGAGGGAGCGGGACTGCTTCTTCCGCTGCTGTCGCCGGCCTTGCCTTGAGTGACCAGGCTCGTGGCAGAACCGCGGGAGGCAAGTACCTTGTCATTCTTACCGCCCTTGAAATAGTTGGAGACCCACGTGTTCTTGGCAAGCTCTTCGTCGATGACGAGGGTCATATCCTGCATCAGGCCGTGGACGGAGAGCGGGGAGCTGCCGTTGTAGTTGGGATTGACGGTGTTGTCCACGGCAGGCACAACTTGGCGATCGCCGCTGCCGAGCCTTGTGAAGTTGGGTACCTCAACGAGCATGCGCTGCCAGGGGTCCGACGGGCCCTCGGCGTCCTTGTCCGGGTTGGGGGAGTCGGGCGGCGTGAGCGCGGACGGGGGCGATCCTTCTTGCGCCGCGGGCATCTGGTTGATCTGCCAGACACGCATCTTGCGGTCCAGTGAAACACCGGTGAGCTGCTTGATCTCCTTGTAAAACGAGTTGTAGGGCGTCGTCGCGCTCCGGGGCAGGACCAAGGGGTTCTTGCTCTTGAGCTCGTCGTCGATCTGGATGGGGCTGGGGAGCGACCAGAGTCTGTGGACGGTGAAAACAGGCGGGTTCAACTCGAACAAGACGTTGGCCGGGCTTGTCGCATCTGGCGCCGCGTTGATGGCATGACGCACGACGGGCTTCTGTCCGTCCTTGACGCCGTACCACTCCGAGACGAGGGTCCAGGCGTCCTCCGGGAAGAGCTCGCACTCGCCCATGCTGGTGCCAGGCTTCATGCGGACAAAGTCGTCGCCATTGGGTAACTGGAGGACCTCGAGGATGAGATCCGAATTATCCACGGGGCCCAGCGGCTCGTTCGTTGTCTCTTTCTTGGCAAACTTGGGGTCTCCGCCAAGAGCCAAAGCCTCCTCCACCCATGATCTCGACACAATGTAGGCAACATCGCCGACTTTCGGGGGTTCGTCGTTGAAGGCCTTGAGGAGGGTCTGGATGGTCTTGATCTGCTCTTCCATGGGAGGGAGATCTACAGCAAGCGAATTGCGTCAGCAAACAGCACTCGACGGGTTTTGCTCCGAAGCCACTCTTACTACTGTTGTTGTTGTTGTTGTTGTTGTTGTTCCTGGATGCGCCGGATGCGCCACCTTCAGCAGTCTCGGGCAAGTCGACACTCATGGCTCTGGACAGATGAGCCTTGGACTCGGTCTGGGCAGAGGCGGCGTCGTCGGGGTCGGCGGCGTCGGTGGAGTGGGCGGGGGCGGGCATGTCGACATCCTCCTCCCTCATACTGACATCGGCATCGGGGTCCATGCTGGAGGCACGGCGTTTCAGGGGCGAAGAAGAACGCTGGTGAGGGTTGGCATCACTAGTCATGATGGCACGGCGGGAAACGTTGAAGGGAGACCGGCTTCTGGCTGAAAAGGACGTCAGCGCAGTGCCAGTCTCGGCGCCAGAAATGTCGCCTCCGCGGTCGCTGTCAATGGACAGGTCGGCAACACCGCAAGGCGAGGAGGCAGTGCTAGAGGCGTAGTCGGCCGAGACGAGAGAGGTTGTCTGCTGCAGTCGGGCGGGCAGGCTCGACGCCGGGTAAGAGTCCCCACGAAGGTACGTCGGGGTCGAGTGGCCGTCAGTGGAGGTGGCCGAGAAGGAGAAGGATGGGTCGTCGTTGGGCTCGCACGACGGCAACACAGTGTCGGGGGAGGATGTATTAGATACGTCGTCGTTGTTGCGCGCCTGGTTGCGAGAAAGCTTTCTCTTCTTTGAGGAAGACGTGGTGAAGGCGAGCTGCCTGTGCAGCTCTGGGGTGACGGCGGGGGATATCTGGGTGTGGTGACAGCAGGCCGGAGAGGGTGCCGTGCATTAGAGAAAGTTGAAGGGGAAAGAGGAAAAAAAAAAAAAAAAAAAGGAAAAAAAGAGACAAACAGGTAGTGCAACAACCAGATGCCCACCTTGGGTTTCTCGGGACCTCTAAAAATAGAGGAAAATGAAAAGAGGTGTTGGTCCTGAAGGCGAGGTAGGGCAAAGTTGACGGAGCGGTGCAGCAACAGAGCAGGACGGTGAAAGAACTACAGCCGAGGACCTTCAGACAGACAACTGCGCATTAGGGAGGGGGCTTGTGGGGTGGAGAGCGAGGTAGAGGAAGGGTTAGTGGTGGTAGTGGGAGTAGAGAAAGTGGGAGAGGAGCCTGGATGGCGATTGGGGGATCCAACTGGAGACGGAAACGGTGACGGGCAGGAGCCGTGCAGTGAATGCAGTGCAGGTCCACCGGCTCAGCGTCAGTCAAGTCAGTCAATCGTCAGTACAGACGAAGTGGCGGGTGTGTGGTCTTCTGTACAGGCGTGGAGGGTGTACGCGACTAAGTGATGAACGACGGCGGACGGATGTGTGCGTGTGTGTGTGTGTGTGTGTTTAGGTTGGTGGCAGATTAGATACGCCGTCTGCTTTTGTGACCCGTGCTTATGCCTCTCAAGCCTAGAGGCGACAAGGTGTAAGTACGCTTGGTGATGAGGTACGTACTGCATATCCGGACCTTGGCACAGTTAGTGCACTTGGATGCTGCTTAGCGTGGTGTCTTGGGGCACCTGACAGATGCAGTCAGGGCAGCAGGCTCGGTGGGAGGGAACTGGCGGTTGCGGTTGCGGTTGCTGATGTTCTAAACTAGGTTGGTTGATTGCAGCCAATGGGTTGCTTGCTTTGCGCCTCAGTTTCCGGTCTGTCTTTTGTGTGACTGCCCATGTCAAGTACCTACACTAGCACTCGGGTGACAAAAAAACCAGGATGCCTTTTTCCCACCACAACCAACCGCAAAAAGCTTTTTTTTTGTTCACCCGAGTGCCTAGGTAGGTAGGTAGGTAGGTAGGTAGTCGGAAGAGATCATGGCCGACGAGTCACTTGGCTGAGGGAGCTGGATGGAATGACTTGCGGAAGGGCAGGTCAGGGAAGCGGCTGCCCAGAGCGGATACGTACCCTTCCGGCCAATGCATTCTTTTCCACGGGCTTGAGAAGCAAGTGAGCAAGTGAAGGCTAGCAGTCATCGTTTTTCTCCCATCCATCTATACTAGGTAGGGGGAGTATTATATGACAGGAGGAACAGCATCATCCTGATGTCGTCAAAGAAATGCATTTCACCAGGACAGAAGCTGCAGTAGATAACCACCACCACCACCCCCAAATTGTATTGTGAGCGTGTTGCTGGGGCTCAGCTATGCCGTGTAGAAAAAAGAGACGGTTCAGAGGCCCCCATTATGGGTTTACCGACTGGCAATTGCCGAACCTCGACAAGAACTCGATCGTTCCGTTCCGCCTCTGATTGGAGTCATGAACTTGGAGAAAGAAAAAAAGAAGAAAAAAAACTTTTGTTACCCACAAGAAAAAATCAGGGAAGTGACGGTCAAGACGTTTTTGCACCAGGGGGGGGGGAAGCAAGAGGGAGCAAGGATGATAAAAAAGAGCATAGAAGCCTAGAACCAATCTCAGCCAAGAGAAAACGCCATCGGTTGTCAATTGAGATTCCATGCTGCAATAGCAGGCATCCCCCACATCTATTCTATCTGCATCGAGTATAAGAAAGAAGAGGGGGGAGCAAAAACGACCCGACTTGGAATGGTAAAAGTGCCCAAAAACCAAGGGCCGCTACCTTCCCAAGCCCTCAGTGAGCTAGCTGCACCTCGACCGCCAAACCTCATGCATGGGAAGGGGGGGGGATATTTGTTCCAAGCCCCGCAGCTGGTCATCCAGAGCACAGCCGCCGGGCTCGCCCTGGACGTGCGGTACAAGTCATACTCGATAGTATAGCCTAGATGCAACTAATGAGCCGGTTTGGCGGATGCGGTAAAAAAAATAAAAATAAAAATCCAACTCGCGAGAGAGAGAGAGAGAGTCGTTCCATAAAGGGCCATCAACAATAGTATCGATGCAGTTTATCAATGTTGCCAGAAAAGACCTGCGTCTTCTACCTAGGGTACCCTACCCTGCCTCCTCTCCTCCTCCTCTTCCATCTCCACCACCACCACCACCCCGGTTCCCCTGTCCAGTCTTCATCGTTCCTTCCCAAGATGGAATAATTCCATCCAAATCCACGGCCCTCTCCCACCGCCTTCCGTCCCCCATCTCTGCGTAGAAAAGAATAAAAAGAAGAAGAAAAAAAAGAACTAAAAAAAACTGTAGTCGTCCTCCAGTCGCCCGCCCAGCCGTCCGAGCGCCCTGCGCGAACCCCCTCTCCCCCCCCACATTCTCGCACCCTCCGCTCCCGCCGCCTGACGTCAGCTTTTCCCACCCGCCCGTTACGGTTCGGACGTTACTGCCACACACTATCTGACGGTCTGGCAACGACGATTGGGGGGGGGTCCAAAGAAGAGAAGAGAAGCGTCCGGGCGCCTGATATGGATTTAGTTTTTGCGTTTCACCTAATGAGAAAATACCCAAGAGAAGGTGGTCAACTTGTGTCGGGGGAGGGGGTGCGTGGGAGGAACTCGCGGCAGGCTAGGTAGGTATTACCAGTCAGTGTTGCGGGCTCAGTCAGTGTGGCTTTTTCGTCCCACAGTTTTCGGCATCGTTGCATGCGTCGTCGTCGTCGTCGTCGAGCCTTCGCCGTGTGCCTTCCAATCTTGAGTCGAGCAGATTTGCTTATTCACATGTACAGATTAATTATCAACGTACGGCTTTTCATTCCATCACCGCAAGGCCAGACCAGACGCGTGCCAACCTTGAGTCCTCTAAACGAGTACGTCCTCTCTATCATAGCACCAAGTGATGATAACGTCGTCTTGTTTGTTCATGGACTGACATCTCTGGCAGGCGGGATCAGGGGCCGGTAAAGCTGTGACGATTCTATCCGCGTCGCGATGCCTCATAACATCATGTGCCTCTCCGGTTCTAACCTTGAATGCTTGTAACCCCCCCCCCCCCCATGACCGAATCAACCAGTTGTTTTCAGAACAACGCTCGTCTCCCCAGCTCATGGTCGACAGAGGACGACGAAACGACACCCAGTCGCCTGTCTCTCTAGCAAATGCCTCTTGGAAAACACCACCGGGAAAATAAACGTCTCAACGCCGCCTGTACGCGAACCTCTTGGACTCTTCTCCTCCGTCGTCCGTCATCATAGTTTGGCATCAGTGTCTTCGTACTCGGCCAGATCCTTGGCAGGCCGCGCCCCGCAGGTCGCAACGAGTCCCGCCCGGAAGCTGCGGACGTCCTCGATGAGAACCGGCGGCTTGGAGTCGCTCGCCACCTGGGCCTCCTCCTCGTCGTCCACCTTGGCGACACCATTGACCTTGGCGTCGGCCCCTTCCTTTGCCGGTGCGGTGGCTTGGGCGCGTAGGTGTACCGAAAGTTTGGCCCGCGTTGGCGAGCCGGGCTTGATGTACCTCTGGAAGAACTCGACCATGTCTGTCTTGGTAAGCGTCTTGATGTGCGAGGCATCTTGTTGGGCTGTCATGAAACGGCTGTTAGCGTCGGCTCTCCCTAGCGGCATGGTTGGTGACTTACGGAGCTCAAAGTCGTAGTATTCGCTGGCGATCTGGGCCCAGTGTCTGCTGCTCTCCTGGTCCAGGTTCTTCAGCTTCTCCAGCCGTCTGACGATCAGACTGCGCTTGTGGCCCTCAAAGTCTGCGTCCGACATGGAGTCCAGCGTGTTGGAGAAGAGGTTGAGGAACGCCTCGATTCGCGACTCGAGGTACTCGGGCATTCGCTCGCTCTGGATGATGAACCTGAATCCGTACGTGGTCGAAAAGCTCCGGGCTCCGCTGAAGACGACGTACCCCAGTTGCTCCTTGGTTCGGAGCTGGTCGAAAGCCGGCTCGTGACACATCTGGTCAAGAAGCATCGTCTTGGCCCGGACGAGCCTGTCGCCCTTGTCTCCGACATAGAGCCACACCTCGATGCAGTGGTTGACGTTGGCCGGGTCCTTGAGCGTCTTCTTGTAGACGTAGTTCGATCCCGGAGGAATGACCAACGAGCGGATCACAGGCCACTGGGGTCGCGGAAGCACGCGGGGCTTCAGGATGCTCTCGACCATGTCCGTAAGCTTGAGCGCGTCCTCCTTGTAAAGGTTTCCGTGCACATAAGACTCGATGTGAATTTGTGAGAGCATCTGCTTCTTGAACTGCCGCACGTCCTCGGCGGTGACACTCGGAAGCTCGGCCAAGTACTCCTCCACGACGAAGTCGCGCTCCGAGTTGAGCCACGTCGTGTAGTCCGAGACCTGGCTGAACGGCTGCTGAAGCTCCCAGTTGTTGTACCCGCGGTTGAGGCGCTCCTTGATGATGTCGAATCTCTCATCCCTGATTTTGAGGTCCCGGATCGTGATCAAGACCTGCTCCAGAAGGACGGCCAGCTTGTCGTTGTATCCGCTGAGGTCGAGGAAGAGGCCGCGGGCGTCGAGCGAGACACTGTACTGCAGGCCTGCCAGCTCCGCGTCGTACGAGTAGGCCTCCAGAGCGTCGCGGACCAAGTCGGTAAAAAACCTTGCCTTGACGGCGTTCTCCGCGGTCGAGTAGATGTTGGGGTTTCGGCAGCTGATGACCAGATTGGCTTTGGGCACCCAGAACGTGTCGTCCTTCTTGAACCACGTCCGGGCGAGGCTGTCGTTTCGGACGACACGCGGGGACAGAGCCGGCTCTTTGACCTCCTTCTTCTCGACCTCGAGCTTGGTGGGAATGAAGTTGTTCTTATGAGGGAGTTGGAGCTCTTTGAGACGCTCCGAGGCCGAGCTCGAGACGGCCTTCTTGATCTCGGCCATGAAGTCTTCGGGGATCTTCTCGTGGCGGTACTCGGTGCCATACCACTTCTCCTTCTGGTCCCAGTCACCAGGGAACTTCTGTGACACAATCGTCATTCTGAAGTTGTCCGGTCTCAGGCATGCCAGGCCCTTTTCGATCAGCCCGGAGTCGAACTTTCTCAACCGGCTGTATCCGCTGAGAAGCCACTCCCGAGGGAGGGGCTTCTGCATGACGGAACTGATCTTGCTCGTGAATCGGCTCGCGGGGGTCTTTTGCTTGAATTTGAAGTCGACGTCGGCCATGCCCTTCTGCTCGTCAAAGATCCATTCCTGCGGCGGCGCTTCCCGGAGAAGCGCAACGTACTGGAAGAAGACCTTGACGATTTCCTTGTAGTTCTTGAGGCCCTGTCGCGTGCACGTCAGCATTGGAGGCGGGGAGGGGGAAGCGGCATTTCATAGCCGACTCACCTCCTCAGTCAGACGAATCTGGCAGTCAAAGATACCAGGGGAGCCCGGGCAGACCGGGTAAGCACCAGCACTCAGTCCGTTTGCCCACCCTTTCTCCTTCACGTAGGCCATGATGCTACCGGGGCCCTCGTGGCCAATCAAGTGGCTCACGTATCTGCTGGGCTGAGACTCGTACATATTCTCCTCATCCAGGAAGGGAAAGAAGAGATTCAGCTCGCGCGAATCCATGACTGGTTTGGCGAAGACCTGAACACCGAGCTCGCTCTCTCGGAAGGGCACTTCGTCCTCCCACCGGTTCGGCGGCAGATCCTTGTTGGGCACTGCAGAGAAGAACTCAGCGACCCACTGCTCAAGAACGTCCAAAGGTTCCCGTCCCAGGACAACCAGCTTCATGCGATTCGCCGAATAATGCTTGTCGTGAAACTCCATGAATTTTGCGCGCACGTTGATGCCCTTGGACTCTGGTTGCGCCTTGAGAACCTCCAAGTTGCCGGTCGAGAAGTGGCAGAATGGATGCTTCGGGTTGGACAGAGACTTTTCCAGCTGATGCAGCCGCCATTGATCGTTCTGCAGGTTCTTCTTGTTCTCCGAGTCTACCGCGCGCAGCTCGCGATCCAAAGTTGACTCGAGGAACAGAGGCTCGATGAAGAACTGTGCAAAGCGGTCGAGAGCGCCCTTGAATGGTGACGGGTTCTCGGCCGTGGGTTCTTGGTCATCGGCAGGCTTCGCAGAGACGTCAAAAAAGTAGTTGGTCGAGGTCGCGCCGGTATAGGCGTTGGAGCTGCCTGAATTGTTGGAGAGGTACTGTGAGTATTCGTTCTCGATAGGGAACTTTTTGGTGCCCATGAACAGCAGCTGCGCATGGACGTGTTAGCAGAGTGCGGGCAAGCGAGCAGAAGGGGCGATTCCCCTGTGGAGGGGGCCTCCCGTACGTGTTCGACAGCGTGGGCCATGCCCGGCATGTCCTCCTCGTCGCTAAAGTTTCCGACATTGCAATCCAGGGCGGCGCTGGCCTTATCCGTCTCTGGATCGTGTACAAGCAAGGCCTCGAGCTTGTTGGACAGTCTCACCACGCGATAGGTGCGATCATCGAGGGAGGGGGTCTCGAGCTGGTCCGTCACCCGCTCGACGGGGGGTTTGGGGGGTCTCGGCTCGTGATGCCCGACGGCAGCGGTATCGGTGTCGGGCATGTCGAGGGTCGGGTTTGACGAGGCGTGTCTGGCAAACGAAACTGGCGCGGCTGTGAAGTTGGTTCAGGGGCAAAGTCTTGGACGGTGTATTCAAAAAAGAAAAGAAAAAAGAAAAGAAGAAGAAGAAAAAGTTCGAGCGTGCGTATGTACGGCACGAGACTGCAGCAAGACGGGTTGGTAAATGGGATGCTGGTCGGCCTGGCACGTTTGCGAGACAAAAGCTCAGGGCGTGAGGTGGGGGACCGCCACTTTTGAAGGACCAGAAAAAGGGACGTGGACAAGATGATGTCGGGAGTGGGTTCTTGCAGGCTCGGGCTTCTTGCTCTGGCTCCGGCTCAGACTTAGGCGGCCTAGGCTCAGGCTGTTCAAGGCCAGTTTGTTGACAAGGGTCAGGCCTGGGTTGGTTGTGGATAGGAAGAGATGAACGTAGTGGACAGCAAATGCAGACCGATGGCGGGCCGTGTAGTGTAGTGTAGTGTAGTATAGTATACGATTGAATAGCAACGCAACAACAACGTCTTGCAAGCAAGCAAACAGGCGACGGCGAGGGAGGGAGGGGGTTTAGATACCTACGGTCGCTCGCACAATAGGCATGTACCTTATGTACCTGTGTAGTAGTAGTAGTAGGTAGTAGGTCGGTTGCAGGAGGGGAGGAGGTGTAATGTATAGAAGTGTTAGCCGCGGAATGCGGTAGGTAGTAAGTAGTCAGTGGACGAAAAAAGGTGGCAGAGCGGCGGGGGGTTTGGGCGGGAAGTTGCTGAAGTATTGTTTTTCTTTTCCCCTGTGGCTGCTGTGGTAGTGTAAGGAATAAAGAAGCGAAAGGCTTTGGTGCAAAAAGAAAAAGATACTTGCGCTGGAGCCAGAGAGAGGAGGATGGGAGAGGATGGGGGTGAGACGCAGAAGGAGGCAACAGCGATGACACTACACCCACCCGAAATGATGCTTATAATGAACTGACTGACCAGACTACCTACATACAGGTATACTAGGTACCCCTAAGGTACGCCATGTACCCAGGTAGGTAAGTGCGCAATGTAAATATCCAGGTAGGTACCTGCTGAGGGGAGGGGAGGGCCCTAGATACCGGCGGGGGGATACAAAGGCTAAGAGCTGAGCCTCCACCTCCTAGGCAGGACATTATTCGTACTACGGCAGTGTAGAGTGGTACATACGCTAGGCATTGCCTATCTGTGGTTACTAATCAAGATGCCCACCGCCTTGGAAGTCGCAAAACCGCAAATCCGTCATTGACACGACCTGTGGATGAAATAATCCTCCCCCCTCTCTCTCCGAAAAGAGACAGAGCTAATTAGGTACAGTATGTACCTTTGGGGGTCCTGCGGGACGAGGAGCATGGCAGCAGGGAGGGGCAGGGCCAGGGGAGTGAAGAAGTAGCGTGATCCTGCGGCAGGCGCGCGCTGTGGACTACTCCTACTCCGTACACTCGTTTCTTCGTGCCTTCACCACGCGATCAACAACAACAACCATCCATCCATCCATCCATGTCTTAAACTCCGACGGCCCAGCATAGCACCGGGGCACCACTGAAAGGACACTTGACCACACGGCACATCTCCTCCTCACCCTCGGAAATGGACACCAAAGGTCCGTGCTAAGCTGTGGGGATGCAGGGCGACGCTACGGCTGTGACACCCAAGGGGGGGGGGGGTACCGGCTAGATGGGCTCTTCGAAAGATGGACGAAAGCGGATAGGCTGGCCGCTGATCGATGGAGCACTGCCCGGGATCCCCATGTCGCAGGGAGGAGACCTGCCTGTTTGCCTGCCTACCTACCTACCTACCTACCTACTCCACCGACAATAAGTTGCTATCTGGTCGGTTCACGGGCTGCAGCCGCACACCACTCGAGCAACCACCTTGTCAATCCGCTGCATGCAAGCCGTCATGCTAACGAGGTGAGGGCAGGCCTCTCGGAAAGAGGAGGAGGAGAAGGACACGGCCAGAAAGAAAGCGAGATTCGGAAAAGGAGAAACGAAACGACTGGGTACTTGCCAATGAAATCAGGTGGCTTCCAACCTTGAACTAGAGACTTGATTGGTTCTGGAGCTACATACGGAAGAGGGACCGCCGCTGACCACGGTGAGTACTGGATCAATGTTGACAACTCGAGGCTTCTTTGCGAGACTGACGGCGTATGGTAGGCTAGGAGACGAGCACGAGGTGCGACAGCCGAATGCTGGGTTTTCTCCCCCCCAATACTAGCGCGTTGGCACTTATCGTGACAAACGCGCCCCGTCCAGTGCATGCACATCCCAGTCATACGTCGGGCTGATAAAATACGGAAGAGACGGACATTGATGACGACGATCTGTCAAGACATGGTTCGGCCGATGTCAAGGTCGGCGGCCATGACCCTCCGATACGCCCAAGGAGTGCTCGTAGCGTCCTGTTCTCGACTGGAACTGACTGGCGCAGATCGGAATGCTTCCGGGGCCCTTCATCGCCCAGGTAACGGAACGAAAACGCGTTATCAGGCGCCCTCGTCGTGCCGCGCAAGCGTGATTCCCACCTTCGTTTCCGATATTACGAGGCAAGTAGGCAAGGCCACCCTTAACCAGTTCGCCGTCGGTATCCTGATATGTCATTCGTTCGTGCGTGCGTGCGTGCGTGCGTGCGTGCGTGCGTGCCTTGAGTGGTTATTGAATCAGTCGTTGGTTTGCATCCTCGCGTTCCCACCATCCCCTCAACTGGCTCATGGCCCGGGGCTTAGAAGCCGGGTGAGATGGGGGAGAGAGAGAGAGAGCTGTGTAGAATAAAGTCCAGGCTGCTGTCTGAGTACCTAGTGTAAATGAACTGTTCCCGAGTAGGGATGCTCGCACTAGAAGCCTCGTCGAGTCATCCTTCCCAGGGGGGGGCTCTTGTCGTCGCTGGGGTGCCCCAGCCAGAAGAACTCCACGTGGCAAAATAGCGCGCAACAGGCACATCGTCGGTATCCGCACACAGTCCACGTGCAACATGTTTGATGGATACTTGACTGTCGAGCTGCTGGACAGCAACGACATGTCCGGAACCCCCCCTGACCGGTAAGATGATTGGTGGCTCGATTCGAATTGGCGCCTTTTCTCCCCCGGTCACTCCTGGTTCTGATCAAATGGCAATAATAGGTTCTGTCAGAATTTGTGCGAGGTTGGACGCGGAGCGACGGGAGCGGACCGGCCTGGGGAATCAGGACGGACGCCGGCAGGGGGTTCCATTAAGGGTGCCGCCGCGTGCGACGACGGGACAGGGGTCGTCTCGGTCTTGGTCTCGGCCTCTATTTTGTTTCTTTTTACGAGAAACAGATCTTCTTCGCCTCGTTCTTCGGAGAAAGCTTATTGCTGTTTGGTTGCTTTTGTCTGTCGACCCTTGGTTCGTAGAAGTGATGGGCTAGGTATGTTTTGATTCAACACGGCGGCCGGCCCATGGTACGCAGCGAGCGGTTTAATCCGGGCTGGCCCGCGCCATCTTTGGAAGTGCCCCTGACAATCAACACCCTCCTCCCCCCGCCCCTCGTCGAGTTTTCGTTCCCATCTCCTCGGATGCCTGTCATTCGACCACCAACCGCCAGGCCGTGGGCAAGTCGTTGCTGCGACGCAAAGAAGACGCGGCGGTGTTAAGCACGTAAGCCAGGCGGTAGGCCGGTGAGTTCCGGAGGCCCTTCAGGGAGTAGGGAAGCTGGTACCAGGTCCTCAACCAGCCCGGGTTGGCTCTGTTGGCCTGTAAGAAGCGATGGCGTGGCGTCGGAGATGGTGATAAGGGAACTTGTTTTAGATGTTGCAGTGTTTCGCGTCGGCCACCCAGTGCGAAGATATTACCAGACATGGTGTGGGGGGGCCCTTGTCAATGTCCTTCCCGACAATCTGGTTGCATGTTTGTTCGGGTTCCAGGGCCTGCATCACAACTGTCAAAGCCCGAGAAGCTCGGACTACCGCAAAACGATGTCAGCCGGAAGTTATAGAGGAAGAAGAGGGGGGGGGGGATTGAGGATGCGGGCATACTATTACTCATCACTTCCCCTTCCCTCCTCTCTGGGCTGCTAGCATTTATATCGCTGCGCCGTGACGTGCCGCGCTGTGCGACTGGACCTGTGTGTCGCTGTTCGCATCGGACGAACCTACATTGTACATGGGTAGGCAGCTCGACAACCAACACTAGCATCGTCAGCCATCGATCGGCCAACGACATATTGTTGGGCATTCCAACGCCCACGCACAGCTGGTGTAGGTCCTACTTTGGCCATGTACCGGCACGGATACCAGACCAGCACAACACGTTTATGCTAACTTGGTACTGCAGGCGGCCGGCAGTCGACGACGCAATCCACCAACAAGGCCTACCTGTACTCCGTACCTGATGACTGGAATCCTAAATGGCGGAAAAGGGTCCGATCCAATGAGGGGTGGCCGTCTCGCCGGATCAACAACCGACTGGACTTCCTCCGAGTGTCTCCAGTTTGCCAGCTCCGCCTCAACAGCCAAACGACGCAACCGGCACTAGAACGAGGGGTCATCGCAGGCTTCGACTCTCTTCATATATGTGACGGAAAGCCGCAGGGACGAGAGCGGGTCATGGTTGCATTGGCCTGTCGAACCGAAGTTGCAGTAATGACAGGATCGTCTCACTCCACGTTGCGTGTACATAGTAGACGAGGACGTGTGGAGGAGCAAGCGTGAGCCCCCCCCCCCCCCCGCTATCAACTCCTGGAATAGAGCTTTCCGTCCATGTCTAAGCGATGCTGGGTGCAGTGTGCTCGCTTGACTTGCTCACAACTGGGTAGTGACGGGGTTCGGCGCACCGCAGGGGAGCATTCCGCCGGCCGGATCGACGCCGAGTCGCCGTCCACAGAGCTGCGTCGGGCAGACGAGTCATATCCAGCTCCCTGCTGATCGCCCATGTGCAACCGGCTTGCTTGCTTGCTTGCCCGCCCAACTTGCTGCTGCTGCTCCCCCTCCTTACATCCGATGCGAGTCCCCTCTCTAGTAGTACGCTACTTGTAGCCCCCTCCTTCTGCGTCACCCCAGACCCATCGGTCCCGCTCGCCTCGGCGATAGTTGTTGACGACGCACTGCGCTACCCTCAACAGGAAAACAAGGCCGCCCCTTGTCCGGCATGAGCATTGCGAGCATTGATTGTTCGGGTGTCTGTCTGGCAGTTCTCCTTACCACAACTTGCATCGTCTCATGTGCGGAAAACCAAAGTGTTGGAGTGACAAGTGACGGGAGAGAATAAGACGCCCTGCCGAGCCACGCAAAACGCCATGGACCCGGTTAGAGTTTCGGGTAATTCACTGGTCCACGTCGAGGGTTCCGGCGAACATTGACTCGACTCGGGGGGGGGGGGGGGGGGGAGGGGTCTCGGATGCTGATCCGAATTTGATAGCCCCGGACGCGGAATCCGTATTCATTACGGTTGCTCGAAGGAAGACCCGGGAGAGTCGGCTGTCCTCCCGAGGACACGAGTAACCAGACTGCCGATGCAAACCGGGAACGCGATTCAGCAGCCGCTGACTAACTCGCCGACAGAACGCTGAAGGAAACCCGCATTCCCCGAGGCCGGACGGTCTGCAGGCTCGGCAAGGCAAGAGGGAGCGTTACGGCTTCATATGTCATACTTCTCAAGTTCGACAAGGTTAACGACGTCGCTAGCTTCACCTACCGACAGTTATTGCCGGTTCGCTGGACGTTACAGCCCATGCTTCCTCCACTTACGGACCCTACGGGTGACACAGCAAGCAACCTTTTGTCGCCGCAGTGTACGGCCGGCCGGCCGTACGGGCAGAATGAGCGTGCTCACTACTGAACAGCACGCTTCAGAAGTAAAGAAATGTCCTCGTAGCGCTGCCGGCACCACCCCCACACGGCCCCGGTTGTTCTGGTTTGACGTTCGAATGAGGGGGGCGCTTCGTGGCGGCGATTCAAGTCTCGTTTGTAAACATCCCACCTTTGCGATCGGACCATGGTCGCAAACCCAACCTATGCGGACTGAAACGCATGCGTGGGAGGGGGGTGCGGCTGGCATCCCACTCGTCGTTTGACCAGGTCATTTCCCGAGCCAGATATGAAAAGTCGTGAGTGATGATGTGTCCGTGCCTCTATCCGAGGCAGTCGAGACTTTGCGTCACGGATGAATCCAACCATGCTGGATATCAAGAAACGGCCTTGTTGAAACGGTCAGAAGTCCACCCTGAAGCTTTTTGTCGCAAGAGATATCGCCGCTAGGCCATTATCTGCAAAAGAGAGGACCCCCCTCGTTTGAGTGACGCCGGGCATCTTGAGCACGTATCTATTTCCATCAACCAGTAGGAGAGAGGGCGTGGGCGCCAATCTACCGGGCATGTATATGTATATATATCTCTATCTATCTATCTATATATCTCTATCTATCTATCAATATATCTCTATCTATCTATCTATATATATATCTATATATATATCTATATATATATGCACCCATCAGTAAAGCTGTTCGTCCAGCTCGGTCAGCCAGTGAAGACCACGCCGGCGTATATGCCCGGCGTCTGTGCCTGCCTGTGATGGATCAACGGACACATTCGTCTCGTCTTGAACGCATACCCAACTCGACGCGGCTGACCTGGCAATCGAACCCCTACCAGGCGACCCCAACTCCTCGAGAGGCCCGGGGCACGAGCAACTTGCTGGGTATGAGAGAAACATGGGCGTGATTTTGTCTGTTATGCCATGGAATGCCCAGGACGAGCCCCTCAAAGACTCATCGAACAGCGTCCAAGCCGATGCTCCCGCTCCGCTTCGAGGCGTCTGACAGCCAACGCTTTCCCCCGGACTTCCAGCCGCCTCTCCAGGTTCGCCACAAAGGCCCATCATTGACACACCGAACGCAGCAGAGACCAGGATGATTCCGGGCCCGTGTCTGAGCTGGAGGGGTTCGCATACGAATCAGGGGCGGACGGCGTGTCGGGGCTGCCGCCGACTACCCCGATGTCGACGATTGGACCCGCGAAGCAGGCCTCGGTTCGCTGTATCGATTCTGTCCATTCGGTCAGGTACGCCCGCCAGTCACCGACAGCCAGCGCGAACCCCCCCAAATCGTGTCGTTGCCGGGGTCTTGATCCAGCTTGGCCGCCATATCCCGACGCACCCTTGACCGACGGGTACCTGATCTGCGGCGAGGCGGCAGGAAGCGCTGCAGGGCCCATGGCGGTCATGGATGGACGCCAAGGCCGAGAATTGGCCGGCTCCAAGAGGGGGGGGGGGGGGGGGCCAGCGAGACCGGCCCCAGAGCGTGCAAGAGGCCCGTGAGCGTGACTTTGCCTGCACCAGTTGCGAGAAAGGATCGTCAGGAGGGGGGCGGGGGGGCATGCGATGAGTGCGGAGCTGCTATTTGAACGGCGCTGTCGCTATCGGGGCCTAGTGCGCATCCGCCGGGTTCCTAGCGTGGCCGGCGGCCAAGACGTCGGCCTCTTCCGGTGTCGAGTTAGCCGTGGCCGGGAACTGGACGACGACGTCTTCCGGGGAGGGCCGGGCTGAGTGTCGCGGCCGAGCTTCGCCGACCGCGTCGTCAAGACGTGGTCATTGAGCGCTGTATCTTGGTCCGTCGACCGGGGAATCGTCCCGCAGGCTCTGGAGCAGCTCTCCATGGAACATATCTGCGCTGCTGCCGTCCAAGTTGGCGTGGTCGAAGGGCGGAGGAGCACTTCCATCCAGTCCGCACCGGCCCGACGGAGCACCGCGATCTTGCATTCCGGCGTCGTTTTCGTGGCTTGGAGGACTGGGTGTTCGGCTGCTCGTACGAAGCACGCACAAGAGCCTCCTGGGAATCGTCGGCGTTTCCTTCCACTGGCCGCCATTCGATGTGCTCGCCAAGCTTGGTGTTGTCCAGACGGACCCAGTAGGGCTTGGTGGTTCTCTCGCTACAACACTCATCAGTCTCCCGCCCCCAACGGTGCAACTTTCCACGAGGCTCCGAGTCGCCGGATCTTGTGTTGGCCTACGTGAGAGGTATACCGACGTTTGTTCGCCCAAAGCCTCCCTCGCCTCGGACGTCGACCCTGCGGCAGGGCGACCGCCAGAAGTCGGGTTATAAAGTGAAGCCTAAGCCCGCCGATAACGTATATCAGACTATGTTGGTTGTCAAAGTCACAAAAGTGGAGGCACCCTCGCTTGGAGATAAATTGAGGACCTGCCAAGTGCCGTACTCTCTGGCTACTACTTCAACACCACCAGCTTACTAGACCGGACATGACCAAGAACAGCCGCGCGGGATCTATGGGAGCGCGGGATGCGGAATGCGGGATGTCCGCAAGCGGGTTAATTGTCACCCTAAATCACAGCCAGAGATTCCAGACATGGGCAAGACAGGAAGCACGTTGCGGGGGGTCCCATCCGTCACTGTCCCAGTGGTCAATTATATGCATATGCAGAGGGACAAAGTGCGCATTATTGATCATGCTTTTGTGAACTTTGACAGTTACACTGCGTCGGCCGAGCCCCTATCATCTAATATCGGCATCGGCGGGATATCCGGATCGGATGCTTATTCCCCCCTGATAGGTCGTTGTACGAAGCAGAAGGAAACACGCCACGGAATGATACGGGTTCAAGTGTTTATGCTGGCTAGACATGCCCGTCTTCGCAGCGACGCCCTGTCATGTCTCTCACGGGTCGTGCATTACAACCTCGACAGAGACGACAGTGGGAGTAGAGGACAAGCACGACGACAACATGCGTGACGCAGAGGGAAAAGGAATCGCCCCAGACGAATCGACGACACAAGACGGTGGAGACGAGGCCAGATAGATACCTTACCGGAGCGTAACTGGGGGCCACGTCCTCTTCTCCTCCCTGCGACTTTCCGTCTTCCTCGTTACCCCGGACCAAGCCATCACTGCCCCGGCTCTACGGGCCATCCATCACAGCCGAGTTCGCTTCCATCAGGAACATTGGGTGGTACGGATCCCCGCACCCCATGACCCAGACGCCGTTTGCACGGCAGCATCTGCCACCTCGGCGACATTGAGATGACGTCCAGGCCAGCCAATCGGATGGTGCAAACACCCGCTCCCCCGCGGTGGCGCCAACATCCGCGGCTTTCCATCGCCATTGCGGGCGTCTCTGGGGGTACGTGGGGTATGACCTGGCGCCTGTGTTAACCTGAATAGGCACCACCTTGTCAGCGTTAAACTTACAAGTCGTGCAGGGGTCTGGGGACGGTGAAGGAAAACCGGTCGCTCGGGGGGGACAAGAAAGACGGCCCGTTTTCCCATGACCACCACTACTACTCCCACAGCTGCTGCAATAGGTAAGATCGCTTCCAGTACATTAAAAGCCTTGGTGGAGACGGCCATCCTCAATCCTCAAGGCGGGCATGGTGTACTTCCGATCGGGGATAATCGCAATCGTGTCATCACTAACAGCGGCGCCTCGCAGATCCCGGCCGGTATGGGACACGGGACACGGGACGCGGCAGGGGCCGTCTTGCGGGTTTACACGCTGGGCCTGGCGCAATACGTACTACTGGTTACCAACTAGATAATGTAAAAGGTGTTCCCAAAGCCAGTATCAAACCAACTAGGAGCAGCGCTCCCCCTACCGGGCGCATAGTGGTGTGTGGTTAATTTAAATAGATACGGGCCCCCGGTACGGGACTGGCGGAGTTAGACCTGCTAGTAAGTGCTTGACGAGACTGAGCTCTGGCTGATACTGTAGTAGTGATGTGACCCTTCGGCCACTCGTCAGATCACCCATCGAATGATTCAATAGCCAGAAAAGCTAACATGGCCCCCCTTGTTAGCTTTATTGCACTAGTCTGCGCCAGGGCCAGTCGTTAGGGTGGGTTAGGGATCTTGGTTCGGACCCAGGAATCGTTGGTTCGATTAGTGGAATAGGGACGGCATCGTGCTGGGCCGGTCCACCGTCGGTTGGTTGACACGGCGTTTAAAGTGATATATCCTTTCTACCCTGCCTGTCTGCCAGGATCGTCGAGATAACGTCTGGTGTGTTCTGCCGATATCTCCGGAACTACAGTCCATCTCCCTGCTGAATCTCCTCTTCTTCCCAGAGCTCTATTTGCCAGGCATGCTTCAGCCGCATACTGCTCTGCTTAAGCTTGGTTTCTGACCAGGCGTTGGGGGTGGCGACTCTGCGTGTTAGCATCATCGGCACTGTAGTTCTAGATGAATAGATGAAGGGCAGTCGTATCAGTCGGCATCTTAATAGTAAGATAGGGAGACGGTAGAAGGAGGCAGTTGCAGGTAGACAGACCAACATGGGGTTATGGTAACTCTATCCTTGGAGCCACTCTTGACCTCTCGAGTCCGGGCAGAGATTGCTTGCCTGATGCGCAATCTTACGAGTGCTCAGACAAGCTGATAATTCCTCGCCTCCTCCCTAGTTAAGCAACTGATAGCGGATCTACTAGTGGACCCGAGAGTTACGTAAAGTTGGGGGGTAGGTAGGCGTGGGTTGATTCGGGGTTCTGTGCCAACTTCCAAGGGATATAATACTATAATACAGCAAGGCGATATCCAGCACCCTGGTCCCATCCATCCCCGGGCAGCAGCTGACCGACCATACGCTACTGCTGGTCCAAAGCTTCTTTTGAACAAGCAAACAACGTGAAAGCAACCAGCGTACAAGCCCCGTTGCTCGCTTGCCAGCCAAAACGATAGGGAGACATATTATCGCCCACCACCTATATGATCAGGAGTCGAAGACTCCCAGATCATCAGTCCTCCCGTCTGCCGTGTAAAACATTACCCCGCGTTTTGTTTTCTGCCTTGCAGTTCAACATGAGCTCTTCTCGAAAACGTGTCATATCGTCGTGCATACCTTGTTATACTCGAAAACAAAAGGTAAGTCTGTCAGTTGGGAGCCGCTCGTAGAGGCATCCAAGTCTCCATCTCCATCTCCATCTCCATCTCCACCTCGAGATTTGTCATGTGCTGAGCCAATACTTTTTTTTTTGCTGTGAACAAACAGTGCAACCGCGAATACCCTTGTAACCATTGCACACGCCGACAGCGCATCGATGGCTGTGTCTACAACATCGTCTCGGCCAACAGCGCAACGTCCAGCCCCCCGCCCCTCCATGTCGTCGTCGAGCCGCGTAAGGATCGAGACGGATCAGAGAAGAAGGCTCCTCCTCGTGCAACCCATTCGCCGCGGGACGAGTGGTGCGAGTCGTTTGGGTACTTCCAGGACAGCAACACCAACACCCTCGCCCTCATACAAAAGGCGAGCAGTCCTTTCCCGGAAAAGAAGGAAAAGGAAAAAAAGAAAAAAAAAAAAGTTGCTTGACAACGAGAAGAAATATTGACTTTTGCTCCAGCTGGGGGTAGCCTGCCACGACGAATCCCCTCCCACCAGCTCGCTCGCCCTTGGCCCCGAAGCCGCCAGCGAGGTTCTTCGCGTCATTGAGCGCATGCCCGACAGACAGGTTCTGGACTTTCTGGTGTACTTCTTTGCCACCGAGCTCTGCTGGTCAGTCGAGCCGCCACAACTTGTGCTCCTACACGATAGCTGACATTTCGCCGCCGGCAGGATAGATCAGCTGGTCCACGTTCCGTGGTTACTGGAAAAGTACCAGAGATGGAACGCCGCCGAGGGGGCCAGCCTTGCCCCGGACGTCGAGTTCGTCGTCCTGATACTGCGGATCTGCTCTTACGCACTGCAGTTCTTGCCGTCCCCGGCCTATCCTCTGGATCGCATCCGCGGGGAGCTGCTCGCCGACCTGCGCAAGGCGTGCAACGACGCAGCCGACAGGGCCGAGGCCATAAGCGCCGCCGCCGACGGCCGCGGGTCGCCCATCAGGGTGCAGCACCTCGCCTTCCTGGGGCTCAGATACCAGGCGGAAGGCAAGATGAGAGCCTATGCCGAGGCCCTGGGCCGCGCCATCCGCGTCGCGCAGAATATCGGCATGCACTGCGACGTCGCGCGGCCTCGAGGGGAAGGCGCCAGTGAGGCCGACCGGGAGATGGCTCGGAGGATCTTTTGCAACCTGTACATAAGCGACAGCCTGCTCTCTCGTCGGCTGGACTGCGCCCCTTTTCTCCCCGGACGTCTGGCCCACGGTGGCCAGCCGCAGCCGCAACTCCTCGAAGACCACGGAAAAGCGGGGGGGCCGCCGCCGCCGCCGGCTGGCCATCGGTCACAGCAGCAGCCGCAGCAGCAGCGCATCGATCCCTTCGACGAGCGGCTGCTCCAGGCACGGCTAGCCGACTTCTGGCGCAGCGTGAGCCCTCCGGGCGGCATCGACTACGACGCCATGGCGGCCGAGGAACGGTACGACAAGTTCTGCCGCGAGTTCCTCCCACAGCTGCCGCCGGCCTTTGCCCTCTCAAAACCCGACGAGTCGTGGGACAAGCAGTTCCCGAGGCTGCCTCTCCAGCGGAAGCTTCTCCACACGGCCATCTACGACTCGCTATGCTGGAACTTCCGGCCGCTGCTCCTGCGTCAGCCCTCGTCGCCCCTCCCGGCGTACAAGGCCGTCCTCCTGGGCTTCCAGAAGAAGACGCTGGCCGTCGCCGCGTTACGCTCCCTGGACAGCGTCGGGCAGCTCCACGCGCTGCTCGGGGGGCGCCACACACGGCTGACGTGCATCGTGGTGTCGACTTTCGAGGCGGCCGTGTTGCTCCTGTCTCTGCTCGCGGACCCTTCGTTCCCGGGCGAGCCGCAGCGCCACGACGCGCCTCCTCACGAGACCGATCCGCTGCAGGCGGGCATCCCCAAGCTCTCGCGGTCCGGGTGCCTGCAGGCCGTCCAGGGCGGCCTGGACCGGCTGAAGATGCTGGCCGAGGTCAGCAACATGGCGGATCTCGGCGCGGGCACCCTGGGCCAGCTGCTGGGCAGGGTACCGGAGGGCGACGGAGGGAGGCGCCTTTCCGCGGCCGCCTCGGACGTGGCGACCCCGGGGACCCAGGAGGATGGGGCGTCCGGCAAGGAAAGCGGGGAGACGACGTTAGTGAGCGCGGCGGGGGGCTTGCCGGCGAGCTGGGTGCCCGGCGGATCCGACCCTCCGGACCATCGCTTGGCGGTCGATTTCACGTCGGGTGGTGGGGCGGGAACATCGCCGGCGATCGACGTATCTCAGTGGCTTTCGTTCGATGCCGCCAGTATCGCCACACATACCCAGAGCGGGGACTTTTGGAGCGACATTCCATTTTAGCGAGGCCATCGTATCATGTATGTTTAGATGCACATTCAGAGAATCAACACAGCGTCAAGATGTTCAACTAATCCAAGGGTCTTTTTTTCTTTTCATTTTGGAAAGAAAGGAAAGAAAGGAGAAAAAAGAAGGGAAAAAAAGGCAAATAATAATAATGATAATGTCAATGAAGATATTTATGTATATATAAATGTCGACTTATACGGGAGTGCTAGTTGGAAAATGATATCACGTGACGGTCACGTGATCCATCGCCCACCGGCTGAAAAGTCTACCCACTCGCACATAGCACAATCAATTACCCGGAGTACCAGTCCGGCAGCGCCAAACACCCCCTCCTCACGGATCTGCCCACCAACTGCCCACCAACTGTGGGGATGGGAACTAGAACAAGAACAACAAGAACAACAAGCACGTATCGCAACCTATTGGTGCACCACTTGACCCTTGCGAAAAACCAATGAGAGCTTTCATTTCTTGTTTTGCTCAACTCCCGTTGGCAAACATGAGGCTGCTGTCCAGAAAAGGAAATACAAGCTGGAGAGGCTCGGCACCATCCAACCCACTTCTCTGAGAATTCGGAGCCCCGGAATCATTTCGGGCTCACCATGTTTGCCCGGTGGGCCGATTACCAGGGGACGTCGGTGCCATCGTAGACGTTGGGGCCGTTTGCGTTCTCCCAGCCTTTGACAAAGACCTTTGGCATCTTGCCGTTGGTCTGCTCGTTGGGCCTGTAGATGATTTCCAACGAAGCCTTGGCTCCCTGCTCGGGAGTCAGGTCTGCCATGTCGCCTCCGCCGAGCTCGGTCTTCATCCACTAAACAAGCAAATAGAAAACATTTCATCAGCCGACGCTCTTTTGACACGAGAAACTTGAATGGGGAGGGGGGGGGAGTGGTGAACATACGCCGGGGCAGAGAGCCATGAAGGAGAAGCCCTCCTTGCCGTGGTCGAGGGCATACTGAACCGTGAGGGCGTTCATGGCGGCCTTGGAGATCTTGTAGGCCGGGGAGGGGGAGAAGTGGAGGTAGGGCATCATGGTGAGCGAACCGAAGGTGGTTGAGCTGTGTGCGAGCGAGCTCCGAGGTCAGAAAATGAAGGGAAAGTTGCGCCGGGGACTCTCTGGTTTGATGACGTACATGTTGGCCACCTTCTTGAGCTTGCCCTGCTGCAGCAGAGGAAGAAAGGCCCTCGTGACCCTGTGGACACCCAAAACATTGATGTCGAAGCTCTCCTGGAGGTTTTCCCTATGCGACTGGTGTATTAGTAAAGAAACCAACCATCTGCGTGGGTGCGTCACGGCTGGAACTTGCATGGACTTGGTACCGTCGGGGGCAAATTGGCAGACAGCGGCGTTGTTGACCAGGACGTCGAGGCCCTTGGCGCCAAGCTTTGCCTCGACCTCGGCCGCGGCTTTCTTGACAGAGGCATCGTCGGCGACGTCGAGTTTGACCACGACGACGCGGCCGGAGGAGTTCTTGGCGACCTCGTTCAAGTCGCGCGAGTCTCCGCGGGCCGAGGCAATGATGGTGCCGACCTCGGAGGCCGGGCGGGAGACCAACTCGCGCGTGAGTGCCAGGCCAAAGCCTCTGGAGGCGCCGGTGATGAGGAACGAAGCCATGACGGTCGGCGGAGGTTGTGGTGGGTGGAAATGGGGACTGGCTGGCTAGGAAATGGTGTGAGTATGATGGGAAGGATATATCTATCCGGAAGAGATAAATAAGATGGGAAATGGGAGATGAGTGGGTGAGTGAGTGGGTGAGTGAGTGAGTGGGTGAGTGGGTGAGTGGTGAGTGAGTGGTGAATGAGCCAGTAAGTTACTACCTACTTCAGTCCGTCATATCTGGTGGCCCTTTCATTACATACTCGAATCTTCTGCACCCCGCAACCCGTCAACAAAGGTTGCTTGGTAATCCTGGTTCGTTGGTTCCAAGTCTTGCAAACCCCCTTGCGAATGCATCAGCCGACGCCCGACGCATTTCGCCCGATGCTTCGGCCCGATCCACTACGACCATCGAGCGCCAGCCCCTGAGCCTGCCGAGTCCATGATGGGTCGCTGAGGAGGGGTCGAGGGAGGGGGACAAACATTGTTCTTCGTCTTGAGAATTCTTAAGGAGAACAAAGAACTGGATATGCCGTCTCCGAGTCGGTTGGTTGTCCCGAAAAGGACAAACCGTACCAACCGATTCGTGAGCCCTTGGAGCAACCCGACACCACGACGACGATGATGCAGGAAAAGGCCGCACAAGACACGGACTGGACCCTGACAAACGGCCATGGCTACATTCTGAACCGTGACCGCAGCCATTCGGCCGCCGCCCGTCTGAATCTCCAGTTCTACCTCTGGAAGTCTGCTCTCAACTTCAACATCCATCCTTCCATCAAGTCCTCGCTCCCCAGCACCGCCGCCATCGCCGACGTGGCCTCGGGGAGCGCCATCTGGCTCATCGACGTCGCTCGGGAGCTGCCGGAGGCGCAGCTGGACGGCTTCGACTACGACCTCCGCCAGTGCCCCCACCAGCAATGGCTCCCCCCCAACGTCCGCGTGCGGCATCTGAACATACTCCGGGACATACCGGATGACCTGGTCGGCAAGTACGACTACGTCCACACCCGCCTGCTCCTCCTGGTAGTCGAGTCCCAGGACCCGCGGCCCATCATCAGGAACCTCGGCAAGCTGCTGAAGCCGGGCGGCCGCCTGCAGTGGGACGAGCTCGACACCGTCAACGCGCGCGTCAGGAAGGTCGACCCGGCCCTGCCGACGCCGGGCCTCGACCAGCTGCGCGACTGGACGCGCGCCGGGGGGCGGCACGACTGGACCGTCAGGCTGGCCGACTTCGTCGCCGGGGAGGGCTTCGTCGACGCGAACACGGACTTCGTCGGGGACGGGCTCGAGCTGGCGCGCGCCTTCAACGACCAGCATCTGCTGACGGCCGAGGAGTTCGCCGAGGGCCTCGCCAAGCTCGGCAACCCCGAGTCGGCCGCCAAGTACTTCCGCATCGTCGAGGACGCCCACGGCGAGTCCGTGAAGGGCGCCGCCCTCTGCGTCCCGAGGGTCGTGTGTACGGCGAGGAAGCCGTTGTGAGACGAACGTGCACCTTGTGTGCCCAGGAGCCGTCTTTGTAGAGCTAGCTAGTAAATTACAAGGGCTCCTCCGATCTTTGCACCGTTTCACCAGGAGCAGCTTTTATAGTAATTCGTCCTCCATTCTCCAACATGCCATCCATGCCTGTACACTCCTATACTCAATGGCAAAGCCTCAGCCTTCGCTGCCAGCGTGACAGAGTCCAAGGCAACCTTGCACAGCGCCTTGTGTCCAACGCAGATCCTAGTCGTCCACGAGGCAGATATTCGGACATGGCTACTGTGATTCGCCGGGCTAATTCTGCCTGAACGACTTCTGTCCATTCATCATGTATCTGTCCATTCATCGTGTATCTGTCCATTCATCATGTATCTGTCCATTCATCATGTATCTGTCCATTCATCATGTATCTGTCCATTCATCATGTATCTGTCCATTCATCATGTATCTGTCCATTCATCATGATCTGTCATTGTATCATGTATCCGACACCATCTCTATAAACCGCTAATGGCGTGTAATCAAACTTCTCAACTTCAACTGCTTGGGAATGAAACGTTGAAAACCGACATGACCAGCAGGACTCTCTCAAGTGCCCAAAGATCCCGTGCAAATAGAGACAAACAGAACAACCCCCCCCAATGCAAAAAAAACACCCCTAAACTACGCTTCACGCCTTTGAAGACTGTGCTAACGCGCCATCGGTAATGTCGGCAGCCCGCTTACTGATGCCCACGGCCGGGTCGAGCAGGTCCAGCATGCTGATGTTGGCCCCGAGCGCCTGCAGGAACCAGTTGCGCAGCTCGGCCGCGATCAGACTGTCGACGCCCAGGTCCGCAATCGACTTGGCCGGGTCGATGCTCTCGACGTCGACGAACAGCATCTCGGCGACCGCCTTGACGATGGCGCCCTGCACGAGAGCCACGGCGGAGGACCGCGCGGCCGCCCCCTCCGCGACGGCCGCCGCGAACTCGGCCCGCAGGAGCGCCGTGGTGCTGAGCGACGCGTCGCCGGGGGAGCCGTCGAGATGGCCGGAGAGCTGCTGGACGTCCCGCGAGGCGCGCATCATCAGCGAGGCGCGCGCGTCGCTGTACCAGCGCGGGGCCGCGCCGGTCGACGAGGGCTCCTCGCGCCTCCTCTTGGCCATGGCTCGGGGGTTCAGGTAAGTGTGCAGGTTGGCGCTCGAGAGAGGGTCTCGCTGCCGGCCGGGCCACTGCGTCGGGTCCGCCGCGTCGTGCGAGGTCCGGTTGTCCAGGAACGCCGGCTCGAGGAGCTTCAGGAACTGGGACTCGCCCAGCGTCGTCGCCCTGTTGCGCTCGAACAGGTCGATCGTCGCCGTGTCGGTGCCCACGGCCGTGGCCTCTCTGATGAGGCTGAAGGACACGGTCGACGCGGGGAGGCCCAGCCGTCGACGGTAGCGCGCGAAGGCGTCCTGGAAGCTGTTGGCGGCCGTGTACGCGCCCTGGGTCGCGAACGCGTAGAGGGAGAGGGCCGAGGTGGTCATGACGAAGAAGTCGAGGGGCATGCACAGCGTGGCCTCGTGAAGGTTCTTGGTGCCCTGGACCTTGGCCGACAGGCCTTCGTTCCACCTCGGGGCCTGGATCTTGTCGAAGCTGAGATCCAGGTACGAGACGGCGGCGTGCACGACGCCCCTGACGGGCCGGCGCGACGAGATGCGCTGCATGGCGTCGGCCAGCTCTTCCTTCCTGCTGACGTCGCAGGCAAAGCACTCCACTTGGACGTGGCGGTCGGCGAGCGACGAGACGAGCTCCTTGGCTCCGGGGACGTCCGAGGCTGCGCGGCGAGAGAGGAGCGCCAGGTACCTCGCGCCCTGGTCGGCCATCCACCGGACCAAGGACTGCCCCACGCCGCCCAGGGCTCCGGTGACGACGTAGCAGGCCTCCGGGTCGAACCTGGCGGCCGGCGCCGGCGTGACCATCCTGACGAGGCTCTCGGGGTTTTGGAAGCTGGCGACGAGCTTTTCTGGTGTGTTGTTGTTGTTGCTGGTCACGTCGCGCAGAGCCGAAGACAAGCGACCGACGTCGACCGTGGTAAGCCCCGGGAGAGGCCTGATGAGTCCTTTGCGGTGGTAGTCGCCCACGCTCTCCATGAGCTCTGCGCCGAGAGCCGGGTCCGCGTCGAGAATGGCGAACGCGTCGATCGAGGAGTAGGTTGCCATGGGCGGAAGCAACTCCAGACTCACCGGGGGTCCTGTCTGCGAGTCGGCCCCCCGGCCTCCGACGTCTATGAGTCGTCCAAGGGGCGTCAGGACCTCCAACAGTGCGGGCGGGAGGCCGCCGCCGCCGCCGCCGCCGGAGCCAGAAGCGCAGATGACGGCGTCAAACCCGCCTCTGCGTGTGTTTTGCGCGGCCTTCCGGAGACGGTCGAAGCTGTGCCCCTCGATGACGTGCGAGGCCGGAACGACCAGGTTGTCGACGAGATGGCTGACCTGTTCGGGCGTCTCGGCGGTAACGCACACGTCGGCCCCCTTGGCCCTCGCCAGGATGATGGACGCCGTCGCCACGTCCCCGGCGCCCGCCTGGACGAGCACCGATTGCCCCTTTCGCAGATGGGCGACGTGGTCCAGGGCGTACACCGCCGTCGCGTACGCCAGGGGCATCGAAGCCGCCTCCGTCGCGTCGACGCCTGGGGCGAGCTTGCAGGCGAAAGCGGCGGGGACGCGCGTGTAGTTGCCAAACTGCCCCTTGCCGAGGCCGTAGACGCGGTCGCCGACCCGGAAACCGTGCGACGATGATCCTGCGCCCACAGAGGCGACGACGCCCGCGTACTCGGAAGAGAAGTGGTCTCCGTCCAGGCGGCCCGTCCACACGCCCACGTCCCGGCCGTTCACGCCGACGGCCTCGACGGCCACGTCAATGTACCCCGGAGGGAGCGGCCGGCGGAGCTCCTTGTAGGGCGTGAAGTACAGCGAGTTGGGCACCCCGGGCGTCTCGAACGCGATGCGGACGCCTCCGTCGTAAGTGGCGAGCGGGAGCAGCTCCGGCTTCAGCTTGCGGCCGTCGAGGCCGTATCGCGAGTGAAATCCCCCGTCGGGCACGTGGCGGCTCACCCACAAGCAGCCGTCTTGCCAGGTGAACTCGCGATCCGGGCCCGTCTCTCCGTCGCCCGCCGTGGGGGGCTCGTGGTCGAGACCGACCTCGAGATGGGCGATCTGGCGGGCGAGTTCTTCCGCTTCGGCTGCTTCCATGTCAAAGTTGTCCGCGTCCACGTCGACCGACAAGTACCGGCTCGCAGGGTTCTCGTTCTGGAGGACGCGCAGCAGGCCGGAGAGCAGGGCGCCGTCGGCGTTGCGGCCCCTGGCGGCGCCGCAGCTCGTGAGGACGAGCATGCTCGAGGCGTTCAGCGAAAGGTGCTGGAAAACGCGCAAGTCCTGCTCGCTGGCGTCGACCAAGAGGTGCTTGTCGTCGCACAGAGCCACCACGCGAGATCCCGGCGTGATGGAGCTGGGTGCGGCGTCGAGCGGACCGGTCCTCACCTCGAATGCTCGACGCTCCAGCTCTTGGGCGATGTGCCGCACCAACGACGGAGCCGGCCCACCCCCATTGCCGTTGCCGCTGTGAAGCAGGTGAACCGCAGCAGCAGACGGAGGAGGTGCCCTCGTCGGAGGTTCTGCCAGGACTGTAGATACCATGACCGAAGTGGTGTTGTGCGGCTCCGGGAAGTCGTCCAGCACCAGGTCGAGCCCCGAGAAGCCCGCGTCTCGCAACGAAGACTCCCAGGCGGGCAGGCTTTGGAACGGAGCATCGACGCGGCCGTCGGGGATCCCGGCCCAATAGCCCGTGAAAGTGCCCACGACGATGCCGGGCACGATGAAGTTCTGGTTCGTCTCCACCAGTACGAGCTTGCCGCCCGGCTTGAGAAGGCTGCGGCAGTGCGACAGGGTCCTGTGCATGCTGGATGTGGCATGGAGGACCTGGCACGCGATGATGAGGTCGTAGGCCTGCTCGTCGTACCCTTGCTCCAGGGGGTCCGTCTCGACGTCCAGCACCGAGAAGCGCATGTCGTGAAACTCGGCCATGGACTCCCGCGCCGCCGAGAGGAACCCGGCAGAGATGTCGGTGAACGTGTAGTCTCTGTAGGCCTTGACGCCGTTGGGGCCGGTGAAGGCCTTCATGGCGATGCGCGTCGCGCCGCCGGTGCCGCCCCCGATCTCCAAGACGCGCGAGTTCGGGTTCGCGTGGGCGAGGCCCTCCAGGACGTGCGACAGCTGGGGGTAGATGCCCGTCATCAGCAGGCCGTTCTGGTAAAGGGGCGTGAGGAGGCCCGCGCCTATGATAACGTCCATGCCGGTCCTGCGCTCGAACAGGATGTCGCCCGCGTGGTCGTGGAGGAGCTTCGCCGTCTTGACCTCCACGACGTCGCCGGCCTGGCCGACCAGCTCTTCAATCTTGTCTAAGAGGTTGCCGTCGGCGGCCAACTTTCTGGCCTCCCTCATCGCGTCAGAGCCGTCGTTTTGGGCCTTTCTCTTGATCCAGTCAAAGAAGTGGCCGACCTCGCCGGAAGGCTTGGGCCCGTCTGCCAGTCTTCCGAAGCTTTCGTATATGCTGAAGATGATCAAGTGAACCACCTTGTTCGTGATGCCCCACAAAGGCGCCCTTTCCACGTTTTGCTTGGGCGGCGGATATAACTGGCGGGCCTGTCGGTTCGTAAGCATGCGGATGTCGGGCTTCCAGACGAGCCGCGTGAACGGGCTGCTGAAGGTCATGTCGTCGTCCGCAGTCCTCGCCTCGCTGGAGTAGCTGACGCAACGGAGGTTCTCCGTGCTGAGAAGGACCTCGCCGTCGGGGCCCAGCATCTGCAAGTCGAGGTGGGCGCTGCGGATGCCCCGCCTCGTCCCGCGAGCGGTGACGGTGCACACGTCTTGCGCAATCTTGTTCGAGATGTAGAGCCGGGGGATCTGGACGGGCAGGAAGGCCGTGCTGGCCTCATCGGCCCGGCCTTTGTGGCAGGCAATCAGCCCCAGCTGTATGGCACCGTCGAGGGAGGCGGGGTGGACCGGGTATCGTGATTCGCCTCCCGCCAAAGTAGAAGGCTTGAGGTCGACGGTTGCCACGGTGGCACCAGTGACTGGGTCGACGCGGATGTCGGACAGCGGTTGAAAGACCGGGCCGTAGCCGAGACCGATGTCGAGGAACTTCTTGTACCAGAGTTGAGCGTCCACGGCCCGCGAGGCATGATGGACCTGATGCTTGTCTAGGGCGTGCTCATCAGCTCCAACGTGGATTTTAATGCGGCCGGTGCTATGCTCCGTCCATTCGTCCGTATCGCGCTTCACGGAGCTGATGGAAAAGGTCGCCCATGCCGGTGACTGGGACGTGGCCTGGTCAACAAGCTCCATGCTCGTCAAAACCTCGACGCCATAGTCGTCTTCCGGGATGACCAGGCTCTTCTTGATATCCATGTTGCGAAGTGAGAAGCCCTTGACGTCCGACGTTTGAGACTCGGCATGAGCGCGTAAAGCAGCTTCCACTGCCATGGCCACATATGCCGCCGCCGGCAGCACGGCATCTGTAAAGTCACCACAGGTTACGATCTGTTCTGAACTTGTATCGCGCCCATATGGATCAACTTACCTGGCACGAGGCGATGATCGCCCAGCCACGGGACGTCTTTCAGGCGGATTATGTTCCGCCATTGAGGCCGCAGCTTGGCGTTACCGGCAACCTTGGAACCGAGGAGATCGTGCCTGAGGATGGACCGAGAGCGGTACTCCTTGCTAGCCCGGCTCTCGTGATAGTTCAAACCCCCATAGGTGTACTGGTATGGCGGAAGGTCAGAGCTGACATGGCCGTGTTCCAACCCTGTCCCGTCTGTGCTGTCGACGGCGTTGACGGCAGCGAGGTCGACGCTTGCGTTCAGACCGAACAAGGTCCCGGCACACTGCAGTAACGAGCGGCGGCCGTCTTCCTGTCGCTTCAGCGTCGACGTATACGCGACGGTCTTCCCGGCACCCTTCACGTTCTGCTCCAAGGGGCTCTTCAGCGCCGGGTGAGGACCAATCTCCACGAGCACGTTGATGGGGACGTCTTCTCTGCTCACGAGCCTCGTAACAGCCTCCGAGAAGAGGACTGGGGACTCCAGGTTGGCTCTCCAGTACGATGCCGCATCGCCAAACTCGGCGGTGCTCTTGGCAGGTGTCACTGACGATATCCACAAGGTAGGGTCGTACCGCCTCCTTGCGGACTCCGGCCCAAGGTCTCGAGCGCTTTCAAGCCCCTTGGCGAGCATCTCCGAGTACTCCCGTCCGATTGGTAGCATGTGGTGCGAGTGATAGGCGTTGCCGCCGGTCTGTAATTGACGATTGAAGACGCCGTCCGCCGTCATGGCTGCAGAGATGTCTTTGATCACGGCCGGTTCGCCGGATAGAGTGACGCTGCCTGGGGAGTTGATGGCTGCCACCTTGACTTCATCTTCTCTGCCGTCGAGGTACCGTGCCACCTGCTCGAGCCCGAGGCCCACAGCCAGCATTGCGCCCTTTTGGCTGTTCCTTGCGACCGCCTGGCCACGGAGGTATGCGGCCACGATGGCCTCGGCCGCCGTGATGCGGCCAGCAGCGTATGCCGCTGCTATCTCACCAGACGAATGCCCGGTGACACCAGAAGGTCTGATGGACCACGAGGCAAGGAGGTCGACGAGACCGATCTGCACAGCGGTGCACACAGTCTGGGATATCTCGGCGGTTTGAATCAGCGCAGCGTCTTGGCAGTCCCCGGAGAGGATGCCGAGCAGGGACCACGAAGGAGGATTCGCGAGTGAGCCGAGGACGTGGTCGAGGCTCTCGATGGCTGTTCGGAAGACGCGGTACTCGAACAGCTCACGGCCCATGCCATGCCACTGCGCTCCCTGGCCGGTGAAGATGAAGCCCAGGTTGGCGGTTTGCAAAGGTGCCCGCGTAATCTTGTGAGGCGTTGCGAGCCCCTGAGCGACCTTGTTCCTGTCCACGATGCAGAACGACCGTTGGGCGAACCGCGAGCGCCTGGAACTGAGGGTGTAGGCGATGTTTGCCAAAGGAACCTTGTCGATGACCCGCGACAAGGCGGCGAGGTTCGACTCGAAAGAACGTTCCGTGTGGGCCGAAAGCGGCAAGAGTACGAGCTGGCGTGTAGCTGCGTTGAGCGAGGCAGCCGACAATGGCTTGTGGACGACTGAAAGAGGTTCCCTTGGCTCTCCTTGTTGGGCTCCGTCGGGGTGGCCGTTGATGTAGCCGTTGGTCTTGCGCTGGTAAACTCCAGGGGCTACATAATCGGGCAGTACGATGTTGACATGGTCGATGATGCAGTGAGCGTTGGCGCCACCGTAACCAAACGAATTGATGCTTGCTCTTTGGGGCCGATCCTTGGGCCACGGGGTGACCTCTGTTACTGGCAGGACGTTGGCACCCTCAAAGTCAATGTTGGGGTTTCGAGTCTGGAGGTCGAACAAGGGAGCAATGGCCCCATTCTCGAGAGAGAGTACCACTTTCATGATGGACGCCAGAGCGCTGGCGCCTTCTCCGTGTCCGACGTTGCTCTTGACAGAGCCGACGAGCAAGGGGTCGTCGGCCGACCTCTCCGGGGCGAACACCCTCCCCAAGGCAGCCACTTCGATGGGATCACCGACGTAGGTGCCCGTTCCGTGGCATTCGAAATAGCTGGTGTCGCGGAAGGGGAGATGGCCGGCGCTGCGGTAGGCCTCCCGGATGACCATCTCCTGGCCCCGAGCGCTCGGCCGCGTGATACCGCCGGTTCGGCCGTTGGAGTTGATGGCGGTCCCCCGGATCATTGCGCGGATGGGCGAGTTGTCGGCGACGGCCAGCGATGGCCTCTTCAGGTAGATGGCCCCGTACCCTTCTCCCCGGGCGTAGCCCTCGGCTCTGGCATCAAAGGTGTGGCACCGCGACGACGCAGAAAGGGCGCCGAGTTTGTCGAGGGCGATCTGGACTCCGGGATCCGCAATCCAGTTGGCGGATGCCACGATTGCGGCATCGCAATCCCCGGCCCGGATCGAGTTGACCGCCAGGTGGAGAGCATACATGGACGACGAACAGGCCGTGTCAACAGTCAGGCTAGAAGGGGGGCTCATCAGCGGCCGTTGCGGCATTGTTCGGGTCCGCGCTGGAGAGGGAGGGACAAACACACCTTGGCCCCTGAAGGTTGAAGATGTAGCTGATGCGGTTGGCGAGGATGCTGGTGCCGGCCCCGGTAAAGGCGTACGGCCTCGGGTTGTCCCAGTCGCGCGACTGGATCATCCAGTGGTCCAAGCAAAAATTGCCTACAAAGACTCCGGTGCGAGACCCGGAGACGCTGTCCCATGTCTCTCCGGCGTTCTCTATGGCTTCGTACGACACCTCGAGCAACTTACGCTGGGACGGATCCATCGTCTCTACTTCGAGGCCCGTCATGCCGAAAAAAGCGTGGTCAAACAGCCGGGCATCCTCCTTGGCGAGAAAGGCGCCTTTCATGGACACGGATCCTGGTCTATCGGGGTTTGGGTGGTGGAAACCGCGTGTTGAGAAGCGCGGTTCGTCGAATTCCTTCCAGCCATTCGTCTTATTGCACAAGAACTCCCAAAACTGAGAGCTGTCATGAACGCCACCCGGCCACCGGCATCCTGTTGAGGCCCTTTCAGTCCATGGTTTGCTTGGTGAAAAGGGGGAGGGGGGAGGGCTCTCCTACCCATGCCTACGATGGCCACCGGCTCGTGCGGGTCGTGGTTTTGCTGGGAGAGAGTCATGGCGAATCGACTTTTGACGAACAGAGGAGTTTGGACGAAAAACTAGGTTTACTGAGCAGTGATGTTGAATGGAGTTTTGCTCGTTGTATGCCGCAGTCTTCTAGACGATGTTCTGCGGCAACAACCAATAGGGAACGGTGACATATAGTTTGATAACACACTTCACGCCCCCCCTTTGCACGATCGCTGGCCGTCTCACGCCATTCCACCTTGACTGTAACATCTTGCCTGACGAGACCACTTTTACCTGTGTGTGTGTGTTTGCGTATGTGTGTCCCTTCGGCCGAGGCACAAGGGCCGACAGGATACCCTTGTCTTCATCCGTCATGCCCGATGGCGGGGGCCATGGCAACTCTTGAATCGTCTCATTCGGAACAGAAAACACCGAGGAGCAGTATTCCCGAAGCTTATGTCGTCGAGGTGTTGTACAGGCAAGTCTCGTCTTCTCTCAAGTCTTCCCCCCTTATCCCGGAGACCCTTCATCGCAAGTATACGCTTCTTGTTCTAGACTCACTCGCTCGTCGCAGCTTAGCTTGTTCACCAAAACACATCTCGGCCAAAAGAAAATGACTGACCACGCAAACACGGCTGTTGCTCAGGATCCGTCCTCGTCGATCCTGGGCCTGGCACAGGACGTCCTGGAACTCACGCAGGATATGACCAAGTACTTCCAGGCCAACAACATTGCCGCGCCGACGTTTGCGCTCAGCTCCCAAGACCCTCCCGACACGCCGGATTACCGCCGGCTCCACGCATCGCTAAAGTCTCGCCTCGAGGACCTCCTGCACCTCATCGATGGCCCCAGCAAGTGGCTGAGGGCCTTCTGCTGCACGGGCTACGACCTAGGCGCCCTCCAGATCGCCCTCGACTTTGACTTCTTCGAGCTGGTGCCGGCCAACGGAGACATCTCGCTCGAGGACCTGTCCGAGAAGGCCGGGCTGGACCTGGACCGCACCGGCCGCGTCGTTCGGCAGCTCATGACCTACCGCATCTTTGACGAGCTCCGGCCGCGGATGATTTCTCACAGCTCCACCTCGCTCGCCATGAGACAGGACGAGGACCTTCGCTCGGTTGTCCACTACTCGCTCGACGAGATGCTAAAGGCGGCGGCCGACTGCAACATCAGCCTCAAGGCCAACCCCAACGAGTCGCACCAGAACCTCAACCCGTTCGTCACCCGGCACGGCGTGGGCATCTTCGAGTACTACAAGAACAACCCAGACAAGGCCCGCCGGTTCGCCAAGGCCATGGCCGGCCTGAGAAAGATGGATCGCCACCTCGACTACCTGCTCAAAGACGGCTTCAACTGGTCCGCCATCAAAGGCACCGTGGTCGACTGCGGCGGCGGCAACGGACACATTTCCAAGAGTTTGGCTCAAGTAAGCCCATTCATACCCCTCCTTGGGAGCTCACTTGCCGCAGCAAATCTAACAACCGCAGCTCTATCCCGACCTGAACTTTATCGTGCAGGATTCCAACGCCGAAATGCTTAGCGAGGGCAAGGAATCGCTCCCAGACAATCTCCGGGATCGAGTGGCGTACTCCCAGCACAGCTTCTTCGACCCCCAGCCCGTCAAGAACGCCGCTGCTTTCCTGATCCGCCAGTGCACGCACAACTGGGCAGACCGGGACGTCGTCAGGATCTTCAAGTCGTTCGTCCCCGGGCTCGAAAACTCGAGCCCCGACACGCCGCTGCTCATTAACGACATCATCATTCCCGAACCGGGTAAGTGGCCTCGCCACCAGGAGCGCATCGTGCGGCAGGTGGACATGGTCATGTTGGTCAACTGCGGTGCCAAGCAGCGCAACGAGGCCGAGTTCGCGGCGCTGCTGAAGGAGGCAGATCCCAGATACGTGATTCGCAACGTCTTTGACAACGGGCCGCTGGGTCTGCTCGAGGTCTATCTGGAGCGATCCTGAGTCATGGCCCCAGGCGAGACTGCAGGGCGCGTCAATGCCAAGGATTGCGACCGAGGGAAGGCTTGTGGCATAGTCGTCGTCGTCCTCGGGTATTTCCAGTAGATTTACTTATCCCAAGTAGTAGACATTACATTGTACGTCTAGCAGCCATCCATCTTTCTGCGGGGAGCGTCTGCAATGGAAGATCCAGGTTGCGTGTATCCGTCATTTCTCCCGTGGCCAGTCCCATAGTATTTCTTCGGCCGACAAGTCCTTTTGCTGCGGGCAAGCGTTCGGCCGACGTATGATTCTGACCCCTCCGGCCAATCGTGTTGCTTTTGGGCGTACTGCCGTTCGCTCCTATATCATTGGACGGCGCGCTCCGAGGAGGCCATGATGCGCCATCACCGTTGACACCGGTTTCACTCGCAAACCAGAGAACTCTGTGCTAGCACAATGTCTTCTAGAATCCACACCATCTTGATTATTGGCGCCGCTAGCGGCATCGGCGAATCCCTGGCCCGTCGGTTCCACGCCATGGGCAAGAAGGTCATCGCTACCGGGCGCGAGCAGAGCAGAGAGGCATTGACACAGCTTGCCCGAGACCATCCGGGCCTCGAGTTCCGCGTGGTGAGTTCTATCGATGGATGATGACCCTCCCTCAGTCGTCCGGTGGCTTGGCTCATTTTCGGAATCTCAATCCAAGTGGGACTTGGCGGACCTAGGAAAGATGCGGCAAGAGGTCGAAAGCGTCCTGTCAGAATTCCCCAAGCTCGATACCGTCCTGGTCAACGCCGGCATCCAGAACCACTATGACATGTTTACGCAGCCGCCTGACGACGCGGAAGTCGTCAAGGAAATGACAACCAACCTCACGGCGCCGATACTTGCCGCGCATTACTTTGCGCCGCATCTCCTCGCGCTGGCGAGGTCCGGCACCAAGACGAACATATTCCTCACCAGCTCCTCTCTGGCGTACTTCCCGGTGCCCTTCTATCCGACCTACTGCCCTTCCAAGGCCGGCGTTGCCGCCTTCGCCAAAGTCCTGCGCATGCAGCTGCAGGCCACCGGCTGCACCGACATGAACGTTGCAGAGATTGTGCCCCCCTACGTCGACACACCCCTAAACGCTGCGCACCGAGATCAGACGGACGCGCTGCAGGGTGGGAGTGACAAGGCGGTCCAGCCCATGCCGCTCGAAGAATACATCGAACGGTTCTTCGCCGCCCTGGAAGAGACGGCACCGGACGGCTCTCTGAAGAAGGAAATTGGCGTTGGCTTCGGTGCTCAAGGTGCCGCGGTCTGGAACGATGGCTTCGGGAAATTGCTCGCGGGTTCCGGCATGGCAGCGTAGATCTCGTCATCGGCTCCGGCTTCTCAAGTGAGAGAGGGAGGGAGGGAGAGAGAGAGAGAGGGAGAGAGAGAGAGAGGGAGAGGGATCGTGTAACTAATCAGAAACCGTTGGCATACGGGGGAAACCAGGTCACGTTGCACACCGCCCACGGCAGAAAAGTCTGCCCCGCCAACTATTATAGCCCATGTCCTTGTCAGCCCGCTTTACATACTTCACAACAACAAGGAACGGCTGCTCTCTGACTTTGTGTGCACCAGCCGGTCAACTGGGGATATCACACCGCAACTAATTGCCAATTGCCTACTGCGTAGTAGTGATGAACTAACCTGACAGAACCCTCTCGGATGAGGAGAAGTGGACCAAGACGCGCAGATTCATATCTCGCCGAGCCTGACATAGCACTGCTGCGGCACTCGCGCAATCCCCTCCAGTCCAGCATACGACGACAACTCGGGCGGGATCGGCAGCAGCCGGAAGTTCCAGACAATCAAGGCGACGACGATCCTAATCTCCATGTACGCCAGCCTCCTGCCCCAGCAGCTGCGAGGGCCGAGGCCGAACACCAGCTGCGGCCCGGCCGCGCCGTCAAACTCTACGTCCTCGGCCAAGAGGCCCTCGCCGTCCTTCTTGCGGATGAGCCAGCGCTCGGGATCGAAGAGCGCCGGGTCTCGCGCGGCGTCCCACGCGGCGTTCACCTTGGACGCGCGCGAGTGTTCGCTCCGCTCTCCGGCGTCGACGGAGAAGGGCGGCGAAAGGAAGCCGGGCCCGTTGGACATGAAGAAGACCTGAGTCCCCTTCGGGATGGGGCGTCCGAGGATCGTGGTGTCGCACATGGCCTCCCTGGTCACGGGGACGGCGTTGATGCGCAGCGCCTCCTCGATGACGGCGTCGAGGTAAGGGAGCTTCGCGTGGCGGATCTCCTGGAACGTGAAGAGGCGGTTCTCCCGTCTAGCGGCCGACAGCGTCTCGTAGAGCACGGAGCGTAGCTTGTCCTGTATCTCGGGCGAGGTGGTTAGGTATTTGGTCAGCCACATCAATGCTCCGCCGGTCGTATGGTGGCCGCCGATGATGTTGCCGAACATCTGTCGGTCTTTGTTAGCGTCATGTCGTGGTGTCAGGAAGAAGAAAAAGAAAAAGAAGAAAAAGAAAGAAACGAAAAAAAAAAGGGACTCGGGCTCACCTCGTCACGGAGGACTTTACTTTCAAAGCCGGCGGGCCGGCCCTCTTTGTCGGCCCGAGCCGCCTCTCGCGCCACCATGTGCTCTATGCCCGTCTCGACGTGCCCAGAGCGGTAGTTGTCAATCCCGATGGCGACTTGCTCCTTCATGACGCGCTCTTTCTCGTCAAAGATGGCCCTGTACCACGACTGCTTCGACCACCACCAGGTCTGCAGCTTCGGCATGAGGGCGTTGATGGTCTTCTCCACAACCTCGGGGGCTTCGTAGACGGAGTTCAGGAAGTCGGCGAGGGGGACCGTCGGGAAACTGACGGGGTCGTCCGCCGTCTTGATGTCGACGTCCTCCAACGCCAGCCTGCTCAGGAGCCGGACCTGTGGACCGAGTGCCGTGTGCTTCCAGTTGCTGCCGAAAGCGAAGTCGAGCATGACGTCGAGCGACGTGTACTCGAGATCTTTCTTGACGCTGAACGGACGCCCTCTCGCCAGCTTGGCCCTCAGCCGCCACAGCTCCACGAGCTCGAGGCCCTTGTTCAAGACGGCCGGCCCGACGTGATTGTCGAGGAAGCTGGAGGTCATGAGGTCCTGGATCAGCTGGCGGTTCGACTTGAACTTGTCTCCGGTGGTGTAAATGCCGTGGAAATAGCCCATGCTCGCCATGCCGTCGGAAAGGAAAGACGATTTGTCGAATTCGCGACGGCGCGTCAGGATGTCTTTGGCCTCCCGGAAGTCGGCCACCAGGATCCAGGGTTTGGAGAAGGGCCTGATGAATATCTGACAGAGCGGCGAGCTCATCCTGACCACCTGCTTTGCGCACCAGACTCGGAACTCGCCCGTCACGGCAACCTCTTTGACCATGGCGGGGGCATCGCCGAGGAGGGAAGCCGCCGCCTCTGGGTTGTAGGCGATGCCAGGGATGGGTTTGGGCAGAAGCCATCTGTACAGAGTGTAGAGGGCGAGGCTGACGGCCACCAGCGAGGCCGCATAGTGAAGAATCGCTGGCCGCTCTACCGCAGCGCCCAAGGCTCGGAGGGAAGACATGGACAAGATGCTGTGTGGGGGTGCAAAAGGTGCTCTCTCACTCACTCTTTGGAAACCTCTGTTTCGACGTGCACATCTCATTAGTGATTCGCGACCACACAATCAACTGCCTGATCGCCATGAGTACAACAGCGACGGCATACATAGTCGGTTGTGGTCTTGGGAGGGCTCAGCAGTCCCGCCTTGATACAGCTCGCCCTCGCCATGAAGCCGCGTCTTCCTCCCAGCTTCGATTCCACGTAGAACGGCTCGGGTATGCGTCCAACAAGTCTCATCTCCGCGACCCTTGACTGGGGCAGGGTTCTAGTCGGCCATCGGCCGTGACCCACACGCCACACCCTGCCGTCGGCCGACAGTTCCAAGTCCCTTTGGCGTCGGTGTCAGCTGAGTCAAATCCAGAGGCCTTTTGGACATTCAGCTGAACTTAACGTTGGGGGCGTCAGACCGGCTGTATGCCGGCTAAGCGTCACATCGTGTCACCCCTTAGACGACTGGGCCAGGCTCGAGTGATCAGGTGATGATGGTGCCGTGCCTCTCGATTCGCGGCTGACCTTGGGTTCTGATCCAACAGCCTCTATACTTGATATCGCACAAATGGCAAGTTTGCTGCCCACACCCCCTCCCCCAAGGCCGATGCGCCACTTTCAATATTCCAGCCTCGATCCTCGATACAACTGCGCCGCTGGGAGGGATCCGGGGGCTTGCGAAGGGATCTCTATACTCCACTCGACGGACGGATGTTTGTTGCCTGGCCTGGCTGACGCCAGGAAGAAGACCTGGGAAAGATACGAGGCCGAGATTGCTCATTTGCGCTGATGAGAAAAGGGTATATAATGATGATGCGGGCTTGGAAGACATGCAGGAGTTTCTGCACTGTAACCTCGCACTACGTACACGTCAAGCAAGATGAAGGGCATCGTTTCACTCGTCCTCGGCCTAGTAGCCGTGTTTCAGCCCCTCGCGTCTGCGGCGAGCGTCCCCAACTACTTTGAGAGGTCCCCCACAACCCGTTCGCAGTTGGACGCGAACCAGATCCAGGCAGAACTGGGCCAGCTTGTTTCCAAGGAAACCGTCATCTTTGGCCCGGGCGACGACCGGTACGAAAACGCGACGTCCAGGTGGAACACCTTTGCCGTGCCCCAGGTCCAGGTTGTCATCTCCCCTGGCTGCGAGTCCGATGTGTCGACCATTGTGGGTTCTTGCCGAGACCGTCGTCCCTTGTGATCCTCTGGCTGACTTATATCATAGGTCAAGTACTGCAATGACAACAGCATCAACTTCCTGGCCATTAACCACCACCATGGCAACCCCCAGAGCCTCGGCTCCTTCAACGGCGTCCAGATTAACATAGCCAGCCTGAAAAGTATCAAGATCCAGCCCAGCGGGAAGTCTGCCTGGTTCGAAGGTGGAGCGTACGATGGCCAAGTCACCAGATACCTCTGGGATCGCGGCTACGTCACCACTACCGGCGCCTGCGACTGCGTCGGCGTAGTAGGAGCCGCGCTTGGAGGCGGCCACGGCCGTCACGAGGGTCTCTATGGTATGATTAGCGACAACATCCTCCAGCTGAATGTCGTGCTGGCCGATGGTCAAGCCATCCGTGTGAATGAGACGAGCTATAGCGACCTCTTATGGGCTATGAAGGGCGCTGGGCACAACTTCGGCATTGTCACCAGCTTTGAGCTTAACGTCTTTCCCCGTGGCCCTGACGCCTGGCACTATCAAAACTTTATATGGCGTGGAGACAAGCTCGAGGCAGTTTTTGACGCTCTCAACGAGCTCCATAACAACGGCACGACTCCGGTAGACATGGCTATCAACTTTGGAAACTTCCTCATGAACACCACAATCACCGACAAGGAGCCTGTCATCTGGTGGACATTTGCCTACCGAGGGAGTGCTACGGATGCGAAGAAGTATTTGGATCCGTTTACCGAGATCGAGTCCGTCTACCAGGAGTCAGGCGACGTGCCGTACCCAGAAATCTCAGTAGCCCAGGGAAACGACGAAAACGGCTTCATCTGCCAGGAGGGCCGCACCCGCCTCACAGCCACTGCGGGCCTCCAGGTGTACAACTTGACGGCCGAACGCCAGATATTCGACGGGTTCACGAAGCGCGTCGCCAGCAACCCCAAGCTTGCCGCCGGCGGCGGCATCCTCCACGAGGGCTACTCGACCAGGGCGGTGCAGGCGCAGAACGCCGCCGACTCGGCCTACCCGTTCCGCGACGACCACCACCTCATGCTCGCGCAGATCGTCGTCGACGACCCGTCGCTGGAGCCGGCCGGCTGGGAATGGGCCAAGGAGGTGCGGGACTTTTGGAACGACGGCCAGCCGACGCGGCCGGTCAACGCCTACGTCAACTACGCCAACGGGTTCGAGCCCGTCGAGCAGATGTACGGGCACGAGGCGTGGCGTTTGGAGAGGCTTCGTGGCCTCAAGGCCAAGTACGACCCGTACAACCGCTTTCGGTACTACAACCCGATCGTCGGGGGTGAGACGGATGGACCGATCTAGAGGTGTCGGGGCAGATGCTGCAAGATTGGGATACGTATGTAAGTTGTGTTGGCTACTCGGCTTGGGCTATGAGTAGCCCGGCTGTCAGGGCCACAGTTCCATGGTCATCGTGGGTTTCGTTTCTTAGACCTTGTAGTGTATTTTCTTTTGTAGTGTACATATTCCCTTTCCAAGGTTTCCCGTACGCGCAACCAAACATGTTCATGTAGAGTTCAACTGTACAACTTGAGGACGGACGTGTTCACAACTATCACACCAAGTACCAAGGCACCTAGGCATACCGGAACCCGGCTGACAATTGGCGTGGGTGGTTACTATTTGTACCGTTTCGAAGAGGGATGGATAGCCAGCCTAACGAGCCTATCCATTCCCGAGAGCTATAAATGTAAAAGCCGTCATCGTCAGGCGTAAAGAACTCATCTTCTAATGCAATGCAGATGAACCATCGTCTTGGCATGCCGACGAATCCATCGCGTCGGGTCCAGTGTCCGTCCCAACGAAGCGGCAAACACGCACTGACCAGCTAGCCTATTCATTTACCTAAAACCAAGAGAAAACAGCTTCATCTCCATTAGCTTCAGTTTTCTAGAGAGTTTCAACCTACAGAGACCTCTACGTATTGCTCTGTAAGCTAAGGAGGTAGGGGTGGGTGGGTGACTTGGAGTTGGAGAGTTTAAAGTTGGGGGGTGGATCGATACTCTTCAAGGTTTAATTGGCGGTCCCCGCAGTCTGGTAACCGTAACCAATCTCTCGGCTGAGGAGGACAAACAGGGATGGATGCCCATCCGGTTGAAGGCGCGCAATCACCGGCCGCCGCAACCATCGGTCTTCGGCCGATGACTGTCCATCGGTTCGGCCGACAGCCGTCTGTCGGGCTGCGTCTGGGCCGAAGGATGGGAGGGGCACTGGTGGGCTGGTGCGACTGGCGCTTGTTAATGGCAATGAGAAGCTAGACGCGGCGCATTCAGTCAGTCAGCAGTGCCGTTCTGTCGGTTCCCAGCGGCGTCTCATAAATTCATCTACATGGCACCGTGGGGAGGGAACATGGGTGACTGGCGTGACTTGAAGTGTGTTGGTAATGTTATATCGCGGTCCTTGTCTCCGTCGAGACCAACGAGCTCTGCGCCTCGAGTGACAAACAGTACGGTGCAGCGTCTTCTTCCTCCCCCCGTCAGGTTTTGTCAAGATGTCGCCCCAGGAGGAAACCCTCTGGAGCAGGACCGATATCAAGTCGCTCGTCCTGGTCGGGGCGGGCACCTACATCGCGTACCACATCGCCAAAGTCATCTACAACCTCTTCTTTCACCCCCTGCGGCACATCCCCGGCCCGAAGCTCGCGGCCGCAACATACATTCCGGAATTCTACTACGATGCGCTGAGGTCCGGCTGCTACACCCAGCAGATATGCAAGATGCATTCGAGATACGGTATCTTGGTCCCGCCAACAAGAGTGAAGAAAAGAAAAAAGAAAAAAAAATGAAGACAAAAAAAAAAAACCGCCCGAGGAACAAAGAGAGCTGACTTGGCACCCGAGGTCCCATCGTCCGCATTAGCCCCAACGAAGTCCACTGCAGCGATTACCGTTTCATCGACGACATCTACGCCGTAGGGAACCGGAAACGTGACAAGCCCCTACACCAGGTCAGGGGCAGCGGAGTGTGAGCAGCGCCCCCCTTACGTGATTCCGCTGATCGGCGTGCCCTGTTCCTGACCTTTGTTTTTCCTTCCTCAACCTCCAGCGCCGAACAGGCAACCTTCTCGACCACCGACCACGACGTCCACCGCATGCGACGGGGCGCCGTCTCCAAGTACTTCTCGCGCGCCCAGGTCTTTCGGCTGGAGCCCACCGTTCGCGACCTCGCCGAGCGGCTCTGCGACAAGATCCTGGACGTGGGCAGGCGGGGCCCCTTCGACGTCACCTCCGCGTACAGCCTGTTCACAACAGATGTCATTTCCGGCTACTGCTTCGGCCAGAACCTGGGTCTCATCGACCAGGACGGCTGGGAGCCCAATTTCCGGGAACCGCTGTACGCGCAGCTGCGACTTGTGTACTGGTTCCGGTTCATCCCGCTTCTGAAGCATGCGGGGGTCGCAATGGCCGTGTAAGTCGCCTACCCTTCTGTCGTCTGCGTGTGTCGCGTTGCCTATAACAGCCCCGTCATAGGTTCACCAAAAAACTTTCCGAGGACATGGAGACACTTTTCAATGCGCTGATAGTAAGTAAATGGGAAAGAAAGAAGAAAAAAGAAAAAAAAAACAAGAGAGCGAGCTCGTCCTTTGGATACGACGGGCCAGCCGCTGATAAACGATGCCTCGCCAGGTCGACATGCCCAACAATGTCAAAAAAGCCCAGGCCAAAGTCGACAAGGGCATCGACGACGGTACGTCCGTCTTCGGCGCCCTCCTGACGTCCGATCTGCCGCCGCGCGAGAAGGCCCTCCAGCGTATGGCCGAGGAGGGCTTCTCGCTGTTCGCCGCCGGCACCGAGACCGTCAGCTGGGCCCTGGCAGTCGTCACATACCACCTCCTCACGAAACCGGAGCTGCTGGAAAAGGCCACGGCCGAGGTGAGCAAAGCAGTCGACGCTTCCGGGCAGCTGCCGTCCTGGACGGCACTGGAGAAGCTCCCGTACCTGGACGCCGTCATCCACGAGGGCCTGCGGCTGTCGTACGGCCTCGCGACCCGGACTGCCCGCGTGCCGATCGGGGAAGACTTGGTATATCGGGGCGAGTGGACCCCGGAAGGAAGCCGGTCGCCGACCGAACTCGAGTACGTGATACCGAGGGGATACGCCATCGGCATGTCGGCCGTCATCGTGCACCATGACGAAAGCGTGTACCCGGACTCGCACGCCTTCGTCCCCGAGCGGTGGTTGGACGAGGAGGGTCAGCATCGGAAAGACCTGGATCGGGCCCTCCTAGCATTCTCCAAGGGGAGCCGGGGCTGTCTCGGCATTAAGTAGGTTTCGAGAGCGTCCCGCGATCCGTCGTCTGCTTTGGACTGACAGCCCTCCCCCCAGCCTAGCTTATTGCGAGCTCCATCTCTTGCTTGGGCTGTTGATTCATCGCGTGTTCCCGCGCATGAAGCTGTATGAGACCACCGAGGCCGATGTGGCTTGGGATCACGACTTTTTTAATCCATTCCCAGTATGGAACAGCAAGGGTGTAAGAGCAGTCATCGTGTGAGGTGCCGAAGCTCACTAGTCGGCTTGGTGATGCGCAAGACGAGTTGGAAGATACACACACACACACACACACACACACACACACACACACACACACACACACATGCTGGAATAAACAAATGCCTGTCAGTTGTGACGGGGCACACTCAAACTTTGCACTGGTCCGGGTTGTGGTTAGCGGCCAGGGTGAGAAGTCCACTGTCAGGTCAACTACTATGTACCTTACCTACCTAGTATCTACTAGTCAACATGCTTCAGAAGCCAAACGGCTTCGTAGCGCTGCCAGTGCATTCGACGCCGTCGGAAATGCATGTCTACGCCGTGTCGAACTGCCATGTGATGAATAAATACTTGCCGTCAACCCCTTGTGGAAACTCCCTTCACCGTATGCTGCATTACAAGGTCGGTGAGGGAAGCCATCGCCGACGTCGGTTTAGTTTAGTATAGCAAACAAGGGGGTTTGGAGGGCCGTTGGTATGTGGTGAACTCGAGAGAGCATGGTATCATTATGAGAGGCGACAATGCGCTTCGCAAAAACATTAGGTTTACCGTGATTTCCCAAAAGACTTCCGATGTCCATCTCCCCTCCGTTGACCAGGGCAATCCGCGGCCTTGTGCCCTGGCTTGCCGCAGTTGTGGCAGTTGAAGGGAACGTTTGGTTTCGCCGCTCCAGAGATGCTGCTAGCACCACCAGAGATGGAAGCCAGCTTGTTCAGCTTCACTTCTTTCTTCTTCCGCTTCTCTCGAAACTCTCTGGCCTTCATCGACTCTGTCAGTTTCTTAGGCTGCAGGTTGACCCGCGTGCGGCCTTGGCCGCCGGATGATAGGCCTTTGATGGGCTTGGCAGGCTTCGGCGTTGACTCCTCGTCGCCAGAGGATGACTCGGCGTCGTCCTCGTCGCTGGACTCCTCCTCCGAGTCGTCCGAGTCACTGAGACCGCTCGAGTCGCCGGAATCGTTGTCGACATTCGGCGTGCTTTCAGTCTCGGTCTTGAGGTTTGATGGTTAGCCACGGCGCATACAACACGACAACACCTCGGCCGAACAGGCTTACCTTTGTCGCCTTCTTCTTGCTGCTGCCGACCTTCTTCCTGCCGACATGTACTGCAGGCTTGGTTTCATCCTCCCCGTCGGCACTATCAATGTCGGCGTAGCCAACATATACAATGTTGGGCGGTGCCGCCTCGGCCTCGGCAGGCTTACCCCAGTCGCCATCCAGCACCCAGTGCGTGTCTGCCAGCTCGGCCCTGGAGGCCTCGAGCGCCGACAGGCGCGTAGCTTCTTGCTGCTTCATAGCTGCCTGGACAGCGGCCTGGTCGAAGGAGTGGAAATCGCCAGAGAGAGGAGAGTTCTGGAACTTGCGGCGCTTTGACGAGGGCTCTTCTGGAGACGATTCCGGCGCAGGCCCGGCGTTGGCGGCTCTTTGCATGAATTTCATCGTCAACAGACGAGAGGAGATGCCCCTGCTAGGAGGGGTCTCGGGAGCCATGTTTGTAGTTGGCGGCATCGTACCGAGTCGGGTCTTGGTCCAGGATTGGTGATATCAGTTGTTCTCGGATCGGAATTCCAGACTTGGGATATCACTTGTAGGCGATAACGATGTGCAGGAGCCCTGAAGAGCGCGGATCGAAGCTACGTCAGAGGGGGGAAATGGGTCAGGTCAGATGGAAATGTGAGAGCAGCCAAAAATCTGGAATTCTGCCGTCCAAGATGCAAAATGCGCCGTCACCGCTCAAGCTAGTGGCGTACCTAATGGTCCGTGCTCAATGCTGGTCCAGGCAAGGACGCTCGCTGGTACGTACCGTGCTCGTGAGTTCGTTACCTACCCGCATAGGGACCTAGTAGGCACATACTAATTACTATGGTACCAGGCCGAAGTTTTATCGCCCCTGTCAGGTTTACCCCCCTCCAGTCCGCCAGTCCGCCAGCTGTCAACGCCATCTAGCTATTGCGCATTACCTATCACCACCACTATAGATTTCTATAAGAGATAGGTAGGATGCTTACTACGTAGATACTCCGTACTGTCTGGCGACTTACATCACTAGGGCCATAAAACTTTCCCTGCCACCCTGTAGGTAGTAAAAGTAGGTATTATCCGGCCACTCGGTGCAATGAACACCTTTCCCGACTGAAGCTAGTCGGTCTCTCTCAGCAGACGTCCTTTTCTTTGCGACTGCGCTCGAAGTTATCTTCGCGCTTGTTTCCCCTGCCAGTTCACAACCAAACACCGGCAGCAGCGGGTCGCGTATCCATATCCCACGTCGTTTAGCTGCCTGGCCCAATCAGACTGCGGACTACGCACTTCTGGCATCCAATAATTGAGCCACAAACTCTGGCTTCGCAGGTCCGGAACGCGCAGCTACCTGCCTACCTACCTAGGCTACCAAACCAGAGGCCATTGTGGTTATGCCTCGGTCTTTCTCCGGAAGCCGCGAGGACAACGACCTGTCGCCGCCGCCGCCGCCGGCGACTTACCCACGCCGCGGATACTGACTGCTCCAACGGAAATCGTGGGGTTCCCCAGCCCCTTGTCCCGCATTCTCTGTTCTGCACCGAGTCATTGGCAGCGTCTGTATGTAATTTCAGTTATAAAGAGACTGGGCCACGTTCCCCATTACACGACCTTGTTAGCGCGCCAAGAGCGCCGTCGCTTCGTCGCCGGAGGGTCTACCGCTTGTCGGGTGGCCAAGGCCGCTCCAATGAGAACTCGGCCCGCGTTTGTGTATCGGCAAACCCCCTCTTCTCCGGGGCCCTATCTCCGGGTCTCAACGCTGCGACTTATCGTCAGGTGATAACGGAACTCTTGTTGGTCAGGCTGGGGCCGGGGTTCTGAGATAGGCGATCCTGATTAACGTGGGATATGAGAACACCGGGCCGGGTGCGTCTTATCTGCAAAATGCGCTCCAGGCCTGGAGTGCAATGAATGTATGCTGTATATAGACCTACCTGTATGCGGTAGCTTCGTCCACGGCCCCCGCGTGTGACAGTCCATCGCACGATCGCCACTACGCACTGGGAGTCCGCAAAAGAAGCGTAAGACGACATGAATTTTGGCAACCTTGCCTTCACGGCACGCCATGAGCGGACACCAGAGGAGAAGAACCTTGTCCGAAGGTCAGCTTCTCTTACGCACAAGTGTTGGGTTGAGCAGTGTTCTAACGCCGTCAAGGTTGGACATCTTCTTGATGACATTCGGCTGTGTTTCGCAGGGTAAGTCCCGATCCTGTGTTTGCGACTGGCACTGGAACTAAAATGAATCGGTCTGCAGTTATCAAGTGTAAGTGACATCGCAATGAAGAGGGGAAAGCCCGGCCAATTGACAGGACCGTCAAGACCTCGACCAAACGAATATCAACAACGCCTACGTCTCTGGCATGAAAGAGGACCTGAATCTTCATGGAAATGAGTTGAACTAGTCCGTCACATCCTACAACAAGCCCTCGGGGTTCCAGCGCTAAATTCTTCATCCCAGCTTCACGACGTATTTCAATGTCGCGTACTGCATCATGCTCATCCCCTCGCAAATCATTCTAACCTACGTACGCCCGAGCTATTGGCTGTCTGGTCTCGAAGTCTGCTGGGGCATCATCACAGGCATGTTCGCTCTCGTCAAGAACGCGCAACAGGTCTACGTGCTCCGCGTCCTTATCGGTCTCTGCGAGAGCAGCGCCTGGCCGGGTATGATGACGCTGTTGATGTACTGGTACACCCCTTCAGAGCTTGCTAAGCGGATGGGCTTCTACCATTCGTGCCAAGCTGTCGGGTCGATGATGTCTGGCGCGTTGCAGGTCGCGATTCGGAGCTCCATGCATGGATTACACGGTATGACACATTTTCTTCACGTCCAAGGGCTGTCGAGAATTTATGACTAACACTGGAACCGAAGGACTGCCCGGTTGGCGCTGGTTGTTCGTCGTTAATGCCATAATGACGATTGTCGTCGGTGCTCTGGGTTTCGTGTTACTGCCCGACACCCCTAACAACCCCAACCCACGAGCGTTCTGGTTCAAGAAGGGACACGCCCAGCTTGCTATGGAGCGACTGGAACGTCACGGCAAGGCAGAGCCGAAGAAGATGACCTGGGCCGCTGCGAAGTACGACGACCCATCCCCGACTGAAACGCGCGAAGACTGACTGGCAACAGGCGCGCATTCAAGAGCTGGGTCATCTATTTCATTCCCATCTTGTACATCGCCACAGTGCTCGAGTCGTACGGCAACAACTACTTCGGCCTGTTTTTGAAGAGCCTGAAGAACCCCGATGGAAGCCCCAGATGGTCGACTTCCGAGGTAAACGCCATCCCTATCGGGGGAAGTGCGATTAATGTAGTCTTCGGTAAGTTTTGCCACTGTCATCGAACCGGACCAACAAGGGGGCTGACGCTCGTCGATAGTCTGGATCTGGGCCATTCTATCCGATCTCTTCATGACGCGATGGACTTTGATCGTCGCCCAGGGTAAGCACCCCCGGAGCTCAAACCAGCCGAGGACCATGTACCTAATTCCTGCCATAGGCGTGATCGGCGTCGCCGTATGCATCGCCATGAGCGTCTGGTCCGCACACCCCGCCACAACACCTCTCGGTGTAGCATACGCATCCAACTTCATCATTTTCACGGTAATGGGAACGGCTCCGTTGATCTTTGCATGGCTGGCCGACATCCTGCCCCATGACTCCGAGGCAAGGACACTGGTCGTCGGTGTGTCCATTGCGGGCTACTACGCCATCTCGGCTTGGTCGCAAGTTCTGGTCTGGCCGGCAATCCAGGCCCCGTACTGTGAGTTTCTGGCCCTCCCAGATTTCAATGCGCCTAGAATCTCACTGTGTACAGACAAATACGCGTGGCAGTCAGCTATTGCCATCGGCATTCTCGTCATCGTCATGACATGCGTGCTTCGCTATATTGATGTCAAGTACCTTGAGTACGTCACCTTCTCTGGTTCGCGTTGAGAGACCCACCTGCTAACCTTTTGTACAGGCCGAAGAGGGAGATGTACAGAACTACGGTAATTGAAGCGGCGACCAAAGATGACGGCGAGCTGGCAGAAAGCGCCCAAGATGTTGCCGATCGAAAGGTGAAGTCCACTGCGATAGTGCCGGAGGTCTGAGCTACTGGTGCTCGAGAACAGTGTGGACTGTGTAGACAAGATGAGAGTCTTGTTTCGCAAACATAGTTGAGCATATCTCGACAGCTCTTGTGCGGAACTTCAGGTGAGCATTAGGTGATGGGTGGAAAGTCCCCCTCGAAGCGGAGACACCGACTAGACGGCCGCCTCCCCAGGCGAGCTGCCCCTTCGTTAGGCCAATGCGTATATACACACACCTATAGATAACATTGCCCAATCATCTGCCAGAATGATGCTGTGCCAACCAAATTTCCCTACTGTCAATGATACATGCAAACCGTAGTGCAGGCTTTGGCTGAGGCCGTTGCCAAAATACAGGCCACAAGATTGGCCACGATTAACTGCGCTGATGCTTGAAATGCGTGGTTCCGGGCCATTTACCGGTATTTAAGAGCTACGACTCACCTTTCCAGGGCCGCCGAATTAGCAGGTTGAAACCCAGCAGGCTGGGGACCGTGCACATAGTGGATCCGGGCTCGGCCGACGGGGCATCAATTCTTCCCGGCGAATGACAGTAGAGGTAATCAATTGCTTCAGAACACCAAGCTTCACCAGTACCGTCCTATCTGGTGAGCCAGACGAACCCCCCTTCGAACGAACCCAATTGAGCCAGCACCATGTTGTCGGCATCCAGACGAGCGACGAGCGCCTTGTCGCGGCAGCTCCGCGTTGCCTCGAGACCATTTTCCGTGTCGACGACGCTCCGCACCACCGAGAGACCCGCCGTCGTCGAGAAGAACGAGGCGGCGACCCCCCAGGTGGCCGACAACACCGTCCCCGAGACCATCAGCCAGGCGCCCAACCGAGCCGCGATCTGGTCGCGCAGCCAGAGGCCCCGTGCCGAGGCCATGACCGGCCCCCGATTCGAGCAGACCGACTTCTCCCTCCAGGTGAGACCGCCATGAGGCACTTGACCACCGATATGGCGAGGCGGATCGGGACTGACCCTCATGGATTGCAGCCGCAACCCTACGCAGCGATCGAGCTCATTCACCAGGAGCCGGTGCGGTGGACTCACAAGCGCGTCGTCGAATGTGACGGCGGCGGCGGCCCTGCCGGCCACCCTAGAATCTTCATCAACACGGACAAGCCGGAGATCTGCACCTGCAACTACTGCGGTCTTCCCTTTGTATGTTTCTCTGCGCTCCACGGGCTCGGGCTTGCAACGCCCGCAGGCACGAGTGCGTCACCTAGTCGAGTGCGAGCTGACCAGTGGACCAGGCCAACGAGCACCACCGCGAGCACCTCGAGTCCCTTCCCCAGACCTCTTACCCTCTAGCATAAAGGTCCAGCTGTGCCGGTGCACGGGTTAGTAAGGTGGTGGCAGCGCAGGGGCGAAATAGAGCGTCACCCTGGGCTGCGCAGCGGGCTCGCGATGTTGTGTATATATAGCAGGATCAGTGCTTCGGATAACCATGTTTACATTTCAAACCGACGAGAATCTGAGTGATGTCAGCGCACCGACATGACTAACTGTGTAGAGGCTCCTCTCCCGGAAGCCCGTCTACAAGTCGTACTACGAACTGCCTGCTGCTGCCGTTAAAGAGTCTATGTTTGCAGAATCAACAAGCCAAACCAGGGTACGTATAGAGGTGGGCAGCCTCTCATAAGACCTGGCCTTGGATTCCACAGAACCGGCAAGTGGGATGCTATTGTCCTTGCGGTCGGAGTCTTAACCCATGTCCGCTCATGGTACATTGCCTTGTTCTAATTCTAACATGATGCTGGCTGGCTGGCTACTTAGCGGGCTTGCTGTTAAACCTGGCTGCGCGATACAGCTGTTCCTGGATCAATGTCGGTTATTCGTAACTTTGCACAACAGCAGGGAATTTCTGTGAATAAACATGGCTTGTTAAAACCCCGTCCGGGTGCTCTGCGTGGCTCAAAAAAAAAAAAAAAGACGCCCTGCTTTCGCAATTCATCTGACCTCACTTTTACCCATCGAACCTGCCCCACCAGATTCGACCGCCCGCATCATTTTCACCTCCCAGCGCCCGTCAAACATGCCCTCGACACCACCACATAACCGCCAACAAACCTCGCAGACGACCACCCTCCTCGTCCTCGGCTTCATCATCGTCTGCCTCTTCCCAAACTTGTTTAATTTCCTTTGGCACCTGCCCCTCACGCTCCTAGGATACGCATTCTCCGGCCTCCACAGCGCTTCGACGGCGACCCCACGTCATAGCCCCCCACCAAACTCGCACTCGGCGACCATGACGGGCTCCTGGTTCCAGAAGCAGTTCACCCTGCCCGCGCGCTCGCGCGGCTCGTACCTCATCACCGACGACGTCGTCGGCGCGCTCCCCGAGCTCAAGAACTACAAGGTCGGCATCCTGCACCTGTTCGTGCAGCATACGAGCTGCGCGCTCAGCCTCAACGAGAATTGGGACAGTGATGTCCGAGAAGGTTCGAGAGCTAGATTCCCTGTCGAGAGCCAGAGCATACGCTGAGTGATGATTCAGATATGAGCGATGCGCTGGACCGCATTGCCCCCGAGGCCGGCCCCAAGGGCCAGGAGCTGTATCGGCACAGCGCCGAGGGCCCCGACGACATGCCTGTGAGTGTCCACGTCTCCCCTGGCCCGGTGTGCCCGCGGCGGCGGCTAACGTGACGCAGGCTCACATCAAGAGCGCTCTCATCGGCGCAAGCGTGACCATCCCGATCAAGGATGGCAAGCTGGTAAGTCAAGCAGAACCCCCCTCCCTCCCGAGACAACGACGCGGCTCACTCGCGACACAGGCGACGGGAACCTGGCAGGGAATTTGGTACCTAGAGTTCAGAGCCAGCAAGCACCAGCGCCGGGTCGTGGCCACCATCCAGGGACAGCCCAAGGCATAGGTTCCAGCAGACAGATGATGCACAATCATAATAATGACAATCACCTATTCCGTTTCAAACTGAGGATACCAATTTTGGGTGGTATATAGTCAAACCTATTGTACAGCCACAGGTCTACTATGGCACTTTTTGACATACGCCGAACGCCTCGCCCAAGCCTTTCCGTGAGATGCCTAACCACCCTTGCCTGTTAACAGCCGCGGGTTCACTGCTCTCCATTGTCATCCTCCTTGGCCTCCTGCATATCCGTGTCGTCGCCGCTGGCCAAAATCTTTGTCCTGGGCACGTACCCCTCGGGCGCGCTAGAGCCGGGCGTGGCAGCGACGATGTTACCGTTCTCGTCGACGAATTCAAAGTTGTACCTGCTGAGCAGGTGGGGGATCGCCGAAAGCTGGGGACCGTATCTGGCAGTATTGTCGTAGAGCTCGAAGAGAGGGACGGCGAGGAGCTTCATGTTCTTCGGCACGCTGAGCACTTCTGTCGTTCGGGAAAGGGACGGAAGGTTAGCAAATGCGGTTCCAAAGCTGCGTCTTGCTGGCCGCGACGCGCGCGCGCGCGCCATTTCGGGAATACGTACTGCTCTTGGGCAACTGGATGAAGTACAGCTTCTTGCATTCCTTGGGCCTGGTGACGTGCGCGGGCACGAAGGGGTACATGAAGGTCTCGAAGTTGGGCCTCCACCACTGCGCCAGGCAGTCGCCAACCTGCCAGTCGGCGGGCTCCTCACCCTCGCCGATGCGACCGACGGGGGCGAGCCTCTCGTCCAGGCGCGACTTGAAGCCCTCGACCTCGTCGTCCTCGGGGCGGAGGTAGTCGCCGGGCAGCTTGAAGAAGGCGTTGGCGATCTGCAGCATCAGGATGTGCGGGTGGTTGTGCTCGTGACAGACGAGGATGCCCTCGCAGGTGCGGCGCATGCCGTGCTGGTTGTAGTGCTCCTCGAGACGCTTCAGGCGGGCGATCACCGAGGGGTCCTCCTCGGGCTGCGTCTCCTTGACGCCGAAGGTGTAGTTGGAGAGCGGGTAGAGGCGGATCGTCTCCGGCTGGTTCGAGTTGAAGGCGAGCGGGATGATGGGTGCGTGGCCCGATTGCAGCGCCGTGGTGGTGATTGTCGACATCGTTGCTGCCTTGTTCCGTTGGGATGCGATTGCAAGGTTGCGGGTTGGATTATTGCTGCTGAGAACTTGTGTCGGATTGCGAAAGGGCGCGCGTGGTGCAGAGGACTCGGGGGTGGGAGCTCAGGTAACGGAGGTGTCGAAGCTCCTCCACGATTCGAGCAGGAGGCAGGGGCTGATTGGGGAAGGCGGTAGGTAGGCAACGTCTGGACCCCTGGCTGTCAGACCCACTCCACCGACTTCCTCACCGAGGTGAGCCGCGAACAATCAGATTGACGACATCCCGATATTGCGTCTAACTTACTGGCCCCACAGAAACAATGGCTCAGACAATAAATGCAAGGCCGCAATTATAAAACAGAAGCTCATCGAACCTGTTACCGAGGGTAAAAAGGTACTTCATTTCCTCCGTTGAGGGGAGAATGAAGATGAACAAAGGCAAAAATAGTTTACATACAACACCAGGTATTCGCTGGTCGTCACCGACCCAACTACTAATCCGGCCCTCACTGGCTTATCTATGGGAGAGCGGACGGGATCCCGAGTTCTCCAGTGGGTATGGTCGTATGTGTTTGAAGAACGTGTGTAAAACTCCTAAGTACCCTAGAGTGACATTGACACCCATTTCTTTGCTGCCATAGGCGCAAGAGTGACTGCTAGTGTCTGCTTCACCGTGGACTTAGTACAGAAATATATGGCTACAAAAGATGCATCAATTCCTTATTGATTGTCATTTTCTAGATGTTGTCATCTTAAGCCAGTGTAATGCATCAGCTTGGGTCGTTGCTTGCATTGATGTCTGATTACCCTTCCAACTTTTGGTCATTAAATCGACCCTCCAATATCACTTTGCTTCAAATATTACCTTGGTTTCTTACTACTGTTTGTTCTCATGTTCATGTTCTACATCAAGAGGAAAGGGCCAGAAAAATCATTTGCTTCAAAAACTATATCCTACAATGCAGGTGATGCTGGGTGTATTGAGGGGATGCACTGAAAAACCATCATAATGAAACACTTGATTAATGCTTTGTCTTCATTGAGGAAGAGTTCTGCCTAAACTTCACCCTCACCACAAAGAAGGTTCGCCCATATGTGTTCAAGTCGCTCGCAGAAAGAAGAGCACAATCAATAACTTCCATGAATGAATGATAAAGACATCTCGGCCAAGAATCCAAACCTAAGGCTTGTAGAATGAAGTCAAATAAACAAATAAAACGCCCTGGTCAGAATACCCATTCGAGGCTTGCTGCCTCGATAAGGCAGGAGCACCTGCTTCGGTCACCTTCTCCGACGGAAGGTACGCTCCTCAAGACCTGCCTTTCTACCACACACCTCCCCATTATTTCTTTCCCAGGCAACCTACCTACAAAAACAATATCTATCTCCCCGACACCAACTTTTGCGACTCCTAGCTGAGCAGAAGCACCCCCATCCGGTGTGGCTCTCGATAGGTGTATTACTTATTCTGCAAGGCTGGACGCAGGCCAATATCCAACTTTTGATCAACTGAACGATATTCTCTAGAACTGGCTGGCATTGAGCCTGAGCCTGTTCCTCTTCCCTGGTGAGTCAAAAACCTCCTCCCTGTTGCTTCTTCTTTCTTTCTTCACCCCCCTTCTCATCTTTGGATGCTTCATTCGCATATAGCACTGTTGGCTGAGATTTCTTGCCATCACCTGAGTTACTCTTTCCCTCTCATCAAGTTCTGGTGTCTGTGTCCAGATAACTAAACCCGCGACGAGTCCATCACTCTCATATCCTTTCTGCATGGACAGAGTCTCGATCATATCTTCGATACATTCTCTGCGGCATTTTCTTGTCTAGCTTTCTCTACTGCAACTGGTAAAACTTACTGACTTTCAATACTCGACTTCTAGACAAGCGCAAACTCCGTCATCCAAGCTGTCTTGAACATGGCAACAACACAGGCTGTAAGCCCTATGGGTCTCTTAGCTCACCAGAAGCTAGAGCTAGCCAAGAATGACAGGGACCCAGCAAAGCTCAGAGAGGTGAATGCTAAGACGACCGAACTGCTTGGAGACATTCGGGAAGCGCTTGCTAGCATTTCCAGCTTGAAGCGCGCCGAGAATTGGCGGAAGTCGATCGAGAAGCTCCAGTGCGAGTACAGAATGCCTCGATTTGTCATCGGAGTTTTGGGTGATACCGGATCAGGAAAAAGCTCACTTATTAACGCGGTCTTGGATGAAGAGCGAGTTGTTCCGACCAGCTGCATGAGAGCCTGTACTGCAGTGATCACTGAAATCTCGTGGAATCAGTCTGAGGATCCCGCCAAGAAGTACCGCGCAGAGATCGAGTTCATCACGCAAGCCGAGTGGACGACCGAGGTGATTGCTCTCCACCGCGACATTCTGAATGCCAACGGTGGTATTTCGTCGGACGTTCGTAATGCCGATAGCGACGCCGGCATCGCCTATGCTGTGTTGAAAGCAGTGTATCCCAAGCACACCGACGAACAGCTCAGAGACACCGATCCCGCCGTGCTTGCCAACTTCATCAAGGTGCGGGAAGTGATCGGAAAGACGCAGATTATAGAAGAGGAAGAGTGCGGTTCCTTCTATTCAAAGATCCAGTCATTCGTGGACTCGGAGGAGAAGCGCAGCAAGGATGGCTCGGAGATTGCGAGCACCGCCAGCACCATCCCCCAGGAAGAAAGCATGGCTTTCTGGCCCCTCATAAAAGTTGTTCGAGTGTTTTTGAAGTCGGAGGTCCTATCCACTGGCGTTGTGCTTGTGGATCTGGTAAGTTTCCCAAGGCGGCTAATTCAAACCAACTAGCTAACATCTTCCAAGCCTGGCGGCCGCGACTCCAACGCCACTCGCGCAGCCGTTGCCGCGAAGTATGTCAAGGAATGCTCGAGACTCTGGGTCGTTGCACCCATCACTCGCGCCGTAGACGACAAGACGGCCAAGACTCTCTTGGGAGATCACTTCAAGCAGCAGCTCAAGTATGACGGCGCTTATAGCAACATCACATTCGTCTGCACCAAAGCGGATGACATATCTCTTGATGAGGCTGCGCCAAGTCTCGGCATTGAGGGGTTCATCGCCGAGGAGCAAGAACGGAAGACAAAAATGGAGACGCAAATAAAAGAAAAGCAACAAGCATTGACAGTTCTGGAGCCCCGGAAGTCGAGCATCCAGGAGAAACTAAAAAATGTCAACAGAGACGTCGATACCTGGAACACACTACGCAAGCAGGTTTCCAAAGGACAGAAGTCTTTTGCCCCCATTTCTTCCCCGCAAAAGCGAAAGCGTTCCCAACTTGAGACTGACAAGGACGATGCGGCAGCTAAGAAGATAAAGAAAGAGATTTTATCGAGCGACACGGATGATGATACCAGCGATGAGTCAGACCTTGGTGAGAGTGATGACGACGGCTATAGCGGAGACCAGCCTCAACCTCTGACTCTAGAGGAAACGCGGAAGAAACTCGATGAGCTCAAGGCTGTCAAAAAAGGCATGAAAGAGGAGAAACGCGTTCTGACTAAAGGCGTGTCGCAGCTCAAGGTCGAAATCAAGGACCTCAAGGAGCAACGCTCGGCCATCAAGACCAACATGCACCGGGTGTGTATTCAAGGGCGAAACTCGTACTCTCGGGGTGCCATCAAGCAAGACTTCGCCTTTGGCCTCAAAGAGTACGTACTAGTATTCACGCGGTGATGTACCCCTATTTTTTGACTAAAATGTTTTCAGGTTTGACGAGGAACTCCTTGCGGAACAGCAACAAGATAGCACGCAACAGGTGCAAGGAGAAACCCCCGACTACGAACAGATCGGAAGAGACCTCCCTGTCTTCTGTATTAGCAGTCGTGGGTACCAGCAGTTGAGAAAGCGAATGAAGAAGGACCATCGGGTTGTCGGCTTCACCTCTCTGGACGATACGGAGATCCCAGGTCTTCGTAATCACACCCTGCAACTAGCTGCCAGCATTCAAGCCATCCACTTCCAGCATCATCTAAGCGATATTCGTCGTCTATTGGGAGCTTTGGACCTTTTCGTTGCGGGTGATGTTGCCAACCTCAAGCTTTCGGACAAGGAGAAGCAGAAGGAGACAGAGAACCTCGAGAAGTCGCTCTCAGAGCTTGGAAAGGTTTGTCAATGGCCGCGAACCCGAACTCTGGAATTGCAATTGATAGTATCACAGACACTGGGTGAGGCTATCACCCGATGCATGGCGGACTGCCGTGCAATTGTGAATAAAGGCATTCTCAAGAAAATCGTCAGTGGCACCCTCAAGGCTGTTGAGAAGGCCTTGTCCACCTCCGAAGGCTGGGGTGCCAAGTACGATGCAGGCGGTCTTCGCTACATGACCTATAAGGCAACCTGCCGCCGTCTGTAAGTTCGACGACCCACGATATAGACAGAATATCAAAGTGTGGCTAATCAACTACAGTGGGGTCTTCAAAGGTTCAGCAGGGCCTCGCGACTTCAACGAGGGTGGGTTTATTCTGTTTGTAAGGCAAGTCGCCGAATATCGCTAATACTCGTTCAGATCTTCTGAAGCCACTGAAAAACCACACCGCGCATGATTGGGACTCGACGTTCCGCAGTCGCCTTCCAGAGAAGTTGACGACCCTCGCAACCTCCATGAAACAGCTAATCGGTGGCTTCCATGAGCGGATGAAAAATCGCCGGTTTCTTGTCGAGAATAACGGAGTTATCAACGAGATCCTCAAAAAGCTGCTCACTGCGCAGAAGGAGACTCTCATCCACATCAGTAGCGAACAGCTGAAACTAGTGCAGGAATCAGGAAAGGAGGCAAATCGATTATTTGGACCCGCCATTCAGCGTGCTATGTCGCAGGCGTACAATGGATGCGTTCAACAGCACGGTGAGACGAGATAAGAATCTGATTACCAGTCATGGGCTCACTAACCCGGGACATAGGCAACGGCTCCTTCATCATCATGAAGGAGATTATGACCACGCACGTCGAATCCACCAAGAACACAATGTTCGCGGATGCCGCCAGAGAGATTGGGGAAGCCGTAAACCGCATGCTCGGGGATCTGGAGAAAACCATGAGAGATGACACCAACGACGTCATCAACGCAATGCAGGAGGACTACATAGGCCTTGTTGGAGAGGTAGCCACCGAGACTGACAACCGCGCCAGAAAGACCCTGGGTCCTGTGCTCACGGAGTTC